TCCCACCGATAACGGGTCAGCCCTCCACGATGTCATGGGCGTCGCAAACCGACGTGCCCGAGATTGCAGCTGCTCGTCCTCCATTGACCTCGCACCAGTCGAACTCCCTTCCTTCCACTCCATATCAACATGCGCGCAATCTCTCCTTACACTCTCGGTCGCCGTCCCCCGTCCGCGGAAGCACTTCCCCTCGATCCACACACTCCGAGGCAACACATCTACCCCCCTCTGCTCGGCAACCCCTCGGCCGATGTAAATATGAGACCGCCATGTCTGCATATCGAAGACGGATGCCGTACAGCCTGGGTGCAGATGTATTACCAGAGGAGAAGGAAGGTTTGAAGCGACACCTGGAGCCGGAGGAGGAGAAAAAATTGACGACGGATATCATGGACCTCTATGATCGACTATTACCTTCTGCCGAGAGTGACGACCGAAGACGACAACTGGTTCAGAAGTTGGAGAAGCTTTTCAATGAGCAGTGGCCGGGCCATGAGATCAAGGCAAATATTTTTGGCTCATCTGGGAACAAACTCTGTTCCAGTGACTCGGATGGTAGGTGTCGCACTCGACGTTGAACGGAAAATATGCTGATTTAGGCAGTGGATATTTGTATTACAACCAACTTCAAGGATTTGGAGCAGGTGTGTCTGCTGGCCGCAGTGTTGGCAGATCGTAAGAGCCCCATTGACCTTTGACTCACCGTGCATTGACTGACTTGGATAGACGGGATGGAACGGGTGGTCTGCGTGTCGCATGCAAAGGTCCCTATTGTCAAGATTTGGGATCCCGAGCTGCGATTGGCCTGTGACATGAATGTGAATAACACCCTGGCGCTAGAAAACACTCGCATGATTCGAACATACGTCGAGGTGGACGATCGAGTACGGCCATTGGCAATGTGTGTGAAGCATTGGACAAAACGACGAGTTCTCAATGATGCTGGTAAGTAATGCGCAGCTGCCGATTTGGGGCGTTGGAACTAACTGAGTATAGGACTCGGCGGCACGTTAAGCTCATACACCTGGATCTGTTTGATAATTAACTTCTTGCAAACGAGAAAGCCTCCGATTCTCCCCAGTTTGCAAGCTCGTCCACACAATAAGAAAATCACGCCTGATGGGTTGATGTGCTCCTTTGACGACAATCTTGATATCCTGTCTCAATTTGGCCGGAAGAATCATGAATCCGTTGGAGAGCTGCTTTTTGAATTCTTCAGGTATTACGGGCACGAACTGGATTTTGAGACAAATGTCATCTCCGTACGAGAAGGCAAATTGGTCAACAAAGATGCCAAGAATTGGCACATAGGCATGAACAACCGTCTTTGCGTGGAGGAGCCCTTCAACACGTCAAGAAATCTGGGCAACACCGCGGATGACACATCATTCCGCGGACTGCACTTGGAATTACGCAGGGCTTTCAAATCCGTTGCTAAGGGCGATCTGGCAGAGTGCTGTGAGCAGTTTGAGTTCCCGCAAGAAGAGGAGCGGACTTGGGAACGACCACCACCTCAACCTCGGCCAACTCTTACTCCTTCGCTACCGTCACGCGGTGGACGTGGGGGAAATCGTGGGGGCAGATTTGGCAACCAACCCTCGCGAGGTGGACTCGGTCGTCGAACGTCAAACACTGGGAACAAGGCAAACTTCCGGCAACCCAATGCCGGCAATGCGCCAGATATCTCACTACACGCACAACAGCAGGCCCAATTTCTTTTGCATGACCAGCTATATCAGCAAATCCAGCTACTGCAGGCGCAGGAACAGGAATTGCGGATGCAGCTGCACAACCAAGCATTAGTCACTGGAAGACCGCCGCCAGTATTCATTCGGCAGCCTTTCATCCAGTTCCCCGTACCACAACAACAAGAGTTTAGCGATGAAAGCACACGGTCACGGTCAGGGACAGGGACGGCTAGTCAATCAACACTCAGCCCAACACAGCGACAGCAAACATTCTACAACCCCAGTTACGCTGCAGTTGGTGCCGCTGGGGCACAAGGCAGCACTACGAATCCTCCCTCTCCGTCGGCCGCTTCTGCTCTGCCTGATCTTGGTCGTATTCCCCGTCGTGGATCTGTGGTCAATGGGTCTCCTAAGTCCCTTCGGGCCCATTCACAGCCTGCACGCCCCCAAAACTCACCCTCACTTCCTAACTACGTCCCTGTCTATAACATCACACAACCAGTGGATGGCTGGTCTAAGCAACGTCAGGCTCCCGAGTCATCAGAGGGTGGAGACGGTAGCGGGGATGAGCACGCAATGCGATCAAACAGCCTTGCCAGCAATGGGTCCCGCTCGGATTCGGTTGATGAGAACCGGCCGCAAGAAGTCTTGAGTTATTACATGACTCCTCAACAACTGCAGGCCTACCAGCAAGGTTCCATGATGTCACCGATTTCTGCGCAAATGGGCTTGCAGATCCCCAATGGGCATTCCTATGTTCCCATTCAGCAAGATTACCGACAAGGATCATTTTCGTCAGCCACTGCTCGTTCTGAGCCACACTCAGCACCGAAGCCTTCATCCCAGCCAGCCAAGTCTCCGCGGCCAATTGTGCCTGGTCCGTTGATTGTCGATGGCTCAGTGCCTCCAAGCGAGTCTCGCTCGTCATATGCGTCGGAATTAATGGATCCCTATTCTGCCATCAGCCATTATACGTCGACTTCGGATGACCACAACATGAATACGCCTGCCAGCTTTTCGGACTCATTGTCTCAGGATTACCAGGACTCTGGGTCCTTTGATGATATGGATCAATCTGCTGTCTTCAATCGGACGTCTACTGAGACCCACACGGTGAACGGCGCGAATGGTGAAAGGCCAGACACAAATGGCCGGCCCGAGCTTCTCTCCGATCGGTTGCAGAACTACTATTCGTCAGCCGCCAAGCTATCCCAGCAGGTAGCAAAGACAAGTCCGGAGCGATCAAAGAATGGGACAGCACAGAGTACAAACAAGGACTCTCAGCCTCGAAACTCAGGTGGTGACAAGCCTGCTTCCTCTGGACCGAATGAAACCCGACACCAGACAACCAACTCGAAGCGTCGAACGAATGGCGACACATCCGACAAGACAAACGGCGTCAACGGCAAGACCAAGTCCAAAGGCCGTCACGATGCGTCTCACAACACCGCCCAGGGCTCCAAAGACCGACACACAGATCACCCGCCCCGAAAGACAGGCGGCCAGACCAACGGCACCAACGATACAAACCATGGCGGCTGGCAGACCACAAAAAAGAAAAACCGCAAAAACACCAAATCATCCAGCGACTCTCGACACGGCATCACCGGTGGCCCTGAGCCCCTTCCAACAGATGAATCCCTGCGAAAAGGCGGCTAAACTCGAGAGTCTGCCTTGTACGATTCCTTTCTCGTCATTCCGTTTCCCCATAACCAAATCAATCACAAAACAAATCTCATAAAAAGCAAATAGACCATACCTGGTCTACTACCCACCTTGCTATCCCTCCCACCAGCATACAACTCGGCAGATCAACCTGAATTTCTCCGAACATACCGAAACGTCCATTCCTCTTCCGTTTTGCCCCTCCCCCGTTGAAGGATTGTACCAGAAGTAACAAGGGGGAAATACCATATGCATGCATCCATCATTGTCATCGCAATTGTCATTTTCATCGTCATCGTCATCGTCATACTCATCATCGTCATCAAGGAGAAAGAAAGAAAAAGAGGGTGGCCGGTACGCCTCATACGCATCGCGACGAAATTTTTCATTTTCCCAAGCTGTTTGGAGTTCTTTTGAGTTTGAATAGGTTAGGTTAGATCCAGGGCTTGTGTGTGTTTGTCTGTGTGTGTCTGATTGTGTGCCATCTTCGATTTCTCTTTTTTTTTTTTTTTTTTTTTTTTTTTTCGGTCCTGGTTCTGTATAAAAGAGATTAACTGCCCTTGTTGCCAATGAAGAAAACAAACCAAATTTTTCGAAAACTGCTCCCTTTTGGTTCCTTTGCTTTAACTGCCTTGCCTTTCGTATATAGTTTTTGGATGGGGGCTGTATAGTAAGTATGTTGATATTGGGAGTTGTGATAGTGATATTTACATCTCTCTTCCTCCGTTGCCCCCGTGCTTTTTGATGGTATATGATATCGTGCTGTATAAGCTCAACAATAACAGGAGATATCTAACTAATGTCAATATCAAACAAAAAGAGATAAAGAAAGCAAAAGCAAAAGCAAAAGCAAAAGCAAAAGCAAAAGCAAAAGCAAAAGCAAAAGCAAAAGCAAAAAAAAAAAAAAAAAAAATTAGTTGTAAAGGCTTGTATCAATATGAGTATACCTTAGAAACCCCCAGAAAGAGGAGGGAAAGAGAACCTCTTTATAAGCTCTCATTCCCTGCCACGGTATTTGCATTTTGTGTTGGCATTTGCCTGCTTCCTCTCGTTTGTCCGCCATTGCGCCATTCAGATTATCGTTGCCGCCATAGCCTTGTACTCGTGACAATTGGGTGTGTTTGTATTTTTGGTTTTGTAGGCTGCATTCCTGGGCTGCATTTTGGATGTTGGGTTACTGGATAGGTTAATTTGTACGTGCATCTCCGATAAAGGGGGGTCTTTGAGGGTCTCTGGGTTGTAGGCTACTTGCAGCAGATATTGAGGTTCTGGTGCGGATGATGAGACATACGGGATGATACTGTTCAATGCTTTCTGTTTATTTAGGAGTCATAATGGAACAACAGTGTTGGTCTAGCAACAGTCGTATTCGGAATGTATTCATATTGCACCATCTATTACTGAGATGGTGGTATTCATGGCATGTAATGTGGTATAGTACATAGTGTACAGGTGTAGCACAGATCTCGCAATGTATCAAAAGTTAGGATACAAAAATTAAATCGCATAAAGGCGTCTGAAAACAGGAGGGCTGGAGGGGATATTAAGACGAAGGCCAACAAACATGTTCACCAGAAAAAGAACGAAAGGGAAAACAAACCAGATAAGAACCTCCTATGCATCGCTTTTGGAAGGATGAAAGCAAGGTCAATACCAGATCTCAGTCCAGATATATGGTAAAATCACGATGCAGGCTGTGTACAAGATCATGAAGGCGTTGTATGGAAATAGGAGGATCTGGGTCAGAGGGGTGTCGGTGAAGAGGACCCAGATGGAGAGGAAAGCGACAGTGAAGAAATGGGAGACAAGAATGAGAGGCTTCTTGATAAGACCTGCCAGTAGTCCGATAGGCCCTCCAACGGGTCCAATCTGGAAGTAGCGGAAACAGCCACGCTGAAGAGCTCTTAAACTGGGATCATCGGCAGCGAAGAGCGAATACAAAGCCTGCGCGAGAATATTGATAACGGAAGAAGAATTCTTTCGTGCATAATGGAACTCGCCAAGTTGCTTGAGAACGAGATCTGTATCGGAGAAGCTGGGTACCTTCTCTGGGCTCAGCAAATCGCGAATGACGCAAACATCGCTGAACGCCACTGTCATTCCTCCTCCTGTCAATGGGTGCCGCATGTTAAGAGCATCTCCCAAGATCATCAATCCAGGTGTCGTGTTGGTCGAGGCAGGTAGGAACGAGTTCGGCATTGACCGTAGCTGGCCCTTCTCCAATGCATCCGAGAACGACGCCTGCGCGCCCTCTGGAAGCCTTGGCAAAATAGTGTTCTTCATATAGCCCTTCACACCACCATTCTTTACCGACGCTCCTGGGTGATTATCCGGAATATCGACGAGGATTCGCGTTTCGTGTGTACCAATCTGGTACATGAGCACAGGCGGGCTATCGCTGAGAAGGACGTGACCGGTATTGGGCGCGGGAAGCTTAGCATCAATAAGCTCCAACCCGTAGAACTTTGAACGACGCTTGGGTGTGTATTTGTGGTGCTTTTTGCGGAAATCGGAGTTGTAGCCGTCGGCGGCCACGGTGAGCTGGCCAAAGTAGCAATCCTTCAGGTCTTTGGTCACACACTCCACACCCAAAACTTCGTTGGTATGCGAAGATGTGACTAGCCCAGTGACCTTAGTCTCGACCACAGTGACATTTGGACAGCTCAATGCCGCCTGTCGGAGCTTCATCACGAATCGTCCATGGTGGAACGCTCGTCCTAGCGGTGCCGGCCCTGACGCGGTGGACCTGGGATAGTTGAGGAGGACTGGTTCGCCAAAATAGGAAACCCAGTATCCCTTCACGTCAATTCCATCAATGTCATCGAGGCAGTCGCGTAGCCCTAGTTTTTCCAGCGCTTGAACACCTCCCGGTTGGAGCAGCTCACCCACTATGCGATTGGGCTCTTGCAAGGACTTTTCGAGTAAAATCACGCTTCGTCCTTGCTTTCCTAGTGCAAATGCTAGCGCACAGCCTAGGATTCCAGCACCGACGATCACAACGTCGGCCTCGTGGTGTTCGATGCGGCGTTGAGCGGCTTGGGAGTGGACGGCATGGCCGTTGAGGGATGTCATTGTGGACGAGGGAGTTAGGATTGTCAGAACAGAAACTGCAAGACCATTATCGACCCGAGCAATTGGTTTAAATGAGAATTTGGTATGGTCTGATGTTTTCTTGAGAAAGGGGTGTAAAGGGTGGCGTGACATGTGAAAGTCTGCTCTCTCCGCCTTCTGAAATCTACGCTGCACGAGACATCACGGGACTCAGATTTATAGATCTATACTCTTCCCTATACTCTTCTCTATACTCCAGATAATACATGAGTTTAGTACAATTATATTAATATACATCACATCCCCGGCACGTAATAATCATCCCAGGTTTGACGCTTCCACATGGGATAGTCGCGCTCTTCCGCTGCCATAGAGTGACAGTTCGAGAGGTTGTGCTCTGCCCAACACTTGGTGTGCTTCAACTGCTTGCGTTCCAGTAGTAAATCCAACTCCCTCTCTTCATCAAAATTCATGATCAGATTCTTGATAGAGTCCCTAGGCAGGAAATGGTTTTCCTTTTCAGGCTGAATAAGCTGGGAGCGGTTTGACTTCTTCAACGCTGGGTCAACGCTGATGCTTGCCCATTTCTCGTCACCACGAGACTTAGCTTGTAGCACCTCAACGGCCTCATGTAATGTCCAAAGATTCGTTGGCGTACTGCCGGATGCACCGCCCAGCGCTGCGTCCAATGAAACCATCTGGGAAAGAGCTTCCGCGACAAATGAAGGCTTGATCTCCTCTTGTCGTGATAGGACCGTTAGTATACACCACCAGACACCCTTGAGGTTGCGGAGCTCGGCATAGGCCCGCAGCAGTAGCTTCAGCAGCACCTGGTCAAACCCATGGGAAATCTTCCAGCGAGATTGATAAACTGTCGTGAGAAGATCGACAACAAGTTCTGGTGATCCACCCTTGAGGAGGTACTGACAGTAAGAAGCCGTACAGTAGTGCTTTACACCCATGCCTGGGGTACTGTTGCAAATTGTGTAGTATTCGAAGATGGCCATCTTGATCAGTCCCGCGCGTCCCATAGCGCCTGGATCAACACGCCAAATCCGCTGGAAGAAAAGCGGTTGCCATGGTGTGAAGCGCTTGCTGTAACGAAGTGTTGGAACCTGCTTCCAGTACTCCCATTCGGAGGTCATCAGGCGTCGCGCGTTATTGACGCCATTTCGGCCATCTTCCAGAATTGAGGCAATCACGGCCAAAATTATATGGTGCGGTCTGACAACGTGACCACTATTGGTGGCGTTTTGGTACGCTTTCAGAGCTTCCGCATGCCGACCATTGTTGAGATGGTGCTCCATCTGCTTGTGGAGCGGGATGTATGAACTGGCATCTTTGGTGGGTTTCCCCATGTTACTCAATGTTGCAGGGAAACTTTCCTCCGCGGGTGCGTGAATTGGTAGGATCTTTTCTCCTTGCACTTCCCAGACCTCAGAGCTAGCACCAAGGATGCGCCGAGAAGAAGACGAAGTCATTTGTCGATCCTTGGCTGCTTGCATCATTCGCCAAATTCCCACCGGGCTATTGTTCATTGCGAGCCGTCTCGTTTTTAAAATATTCGCAACCTCTTCATCGCCAATGCCAGTGTTCCATTGGCGCTGGGTGGCCATTTCCGTCATGGCTTCGAGCATTTCCTCACTACCCTTTTCGACAATTGCTTCAAGCATGTGTCGATGAAGAACTCTGTCGGGCACAATTTCAAATTCGTTGATAGATGAAATGAGCAGGTCGAATGTTTGTTCGCCCGTGTGAGTTGGGTAGTATTCGAGTAAGACACGGTCAAAAACTAGCGCAAAGTCTTTCTTTTGCTTGGTGAATCCTGCATCGTGCATGGCGTATAGCCCATCCATTACCCGAACCCAATCGCAATGGAGCGCTCTGCTATAAATGATCAAGCCAACGGTGCGGGATCCAGGCTGCACGTCGTACTTGCTTGGCATCTCTTGAACCATAACTTCGGCTGCTTCGGAACGACCCGATTCAACCAGGGCCTTGACCATCGGGTTAAACAGCTTCTCGGTTGGCTTTCGTCCGAGGCTTCCAAGAGTTTCGAGAATGCTGGTAAATTCTGTGTTGAGTAGTTCAATACTCCTGGTCTTCCTCCATAGTCCATCGAGGTAGGCCCCACACAGACCGCAGTTATAGTCATCCTTGAAACGCAGGTGGAAGAGGTGTTTGGCCTCATCCAACCGCTTGGACTCAATCAGGCACCGGAGAATAACCTCCAGCAAGTGAGTAGGAACAACAAATTTGGTATAGAATCTTCCATAGAGTACACCGACAGCGTCGATGTGGCCCTCTTTCGCGAGTAAATGCATCAGGGTGGCCCACATCTCCTCAGAGACAAGACTGATCTGGTCGAGCCGGTTGAAGAGAGTTCGGGCGATGAATATGTTTCCTTTGATGCAGTTTGCTGTAAAGATATGACACGCAAGTTGTCTCCGCTCCCATGAGATAGCATCCACACGAGAGGTGGCCGCCAGAAACAAGTTTGCGGCAGTAATCTCCCGATCCAGGTTTATCAATCGACGAAGTTCAAAATCTAAGGAATTTTTGCCGTTCATCCGAGCATGTTCCGCTTGGATAGCCTCCATAGCCAGAATTGTGTCACTCTGAGCTAAGCTGGGTCCATCCCCATTCCTGTTGTTCTGAAACGATATGGCCGGATCACTCCACCACTTTTTCTGGCGAGAATGTGATTTTTCCAAGGTTATCATTGGCTTGGATTTGGGATATGGACTGCGTCTTGTTTCGTGGGTGTTCGATCCTGGTTCTTCGGGGCCGGCAGTGGCTTTCCTTTTGCTGGTCTTGAGGGATTCAATTCCCATAAATTCTCCAGCTTCCGCCGCTTCTACCATCACTGCAAGACGCTTGGCGGCAGACGTTGCATCGTAATTCGGTGCGGTGGTGTGTAAGGTTCGTTTGTTTTCGACGATTTTCTCGGCGATGCGGACTCGGCGATGCACATCGTACGTTAAGACTGCTAAGGCTGCCACAGTGCAGAATCCGCCGATTGTTGAACCAGCCAGGGCCAATTGACGGAGAACCCGAAGGGCATTTCGCGAGGGCACGAGGGCAGATTGTTTGGAGTGCGTAAGCATGGCGAGAATGCTGGGCGCGGTTTGCGCGCATAAACTAACAGCGGTGCATGGGAGACCTGGAAAACAAAGTGCAATGTAGAAATAACGGCACAATTAAGGCACAAAAGCTACTATAAAGAAGGACGACGGTGGTTGCGCAATTGAAGCTGGGGGAATAGGGTAAACTCGGAGCAGCTTCTTTTTTCCGCATATCAACTTGCGCTTTAAGTCTGTGCCGCCCGCCGGAATCTCATCGTACGATCTAGCCTGTAACGTTAATAACGTTACCTACTTATGATTCTGACTGTTCCTTTCCTTCATATTGACAGTAGACTTAAAATGTATTTTGCGTGTATCTGAAATCATATTGCAGTCGTATTCTATCTCAAAAGAGCGTCATCCTCATCATCACCCTCGTCGTTTGCTTCAACTCGTATATCTGCGGACTCAAACTCGGATCTCTCGAGGGTAACTAGTAAAAGGATTAGCTTTTATTCTATTCCGAGAAGATGTTCAACATACCATGTGGCCTGACGAACAGGCTTGCGATGAACGCGACTCCAAAAATGCCCGCAAGGAACACGAAGACTGCCTGGGGCATGGTTGCGACAGTCACGCTGTAGATTAGATTGAAAATAGTCGGCGCAACGATCCGAGCAAGAGCATGTAAGAGACCAGTAGCACCAAGCATTTGTCCAATCCTTTCATGGGGCACATGCTTTGTGAGCGATGATTGCAGAATGGCTGATCCCATGCCACCAAGAGAGGCGACTACGCCAGAAAGGATCATTACTGATGGATGCTTGGACAGGGCAAACCCAACAAAGCCCAACACGTCGAAAACGACTGAAAAGCGGATGAGAACAACATCCAGCATATCAGAGCCTCGGATACTGCCATCATTCTTGACTGGGGTGCGGAAGAGCCGCGAAATTAATGGGAGCACCACGAACAGATTGATCACACGCGAAGCGTTAATGATGGCAATGAAGATACTGGATTCCACGTTGCCCCAGTTGAACATATACTCAGCATAGATAATGATAATTTGAGCAATGCCCAATGCAATTCCAAAAATAATGGTGTCGATGGCTGCCAACAGCACAATATTTCGCCGCAGAGCCGGGCTGGCACCACGATGATTAGTGAACAATACGCTTGGTCTTCCAACCGCGGGGGTAAGGATGGCAAGAGGCGTGATCAAATTCATCGGGTTCCAGATACGCCAAGAGTACCACCTCGGAGCATCAACATCCACGGGTTTCAACCGGTGCTTTTCGCGAGCAGCGAGCTGTCGCTCTTTGGACAAGGATTCAGGAACGATAAAGAGGACTGACACGCAGAACATAGCATGCAGCGCAAGCGCAATGTAGAATATGGGTAGAACCCCAGCGTACTTGATAATAAACGCCGCGGCACCAGGCCCAACCGCGATTCCGAAGAATAGAGTGCCGTGAAAGAAACCAAAGGCCACGCTTCGCTTCTCGATGGGCGTGCAGTCTGAGGCATAAGAATGGCACAGAGCCTGGGCAGTTGTGAATGAGCCGCCCACTCCATCCAGTATGGCTCCGACAAGAAGCCAGTTGACCGACATCTGCTCAGGCCAGGTAGCCACAATCGCAGTGATGATCTCATTGAATACCGCTCCCATTGCGCCCATTGCAATCATTTTGGTTCTTCCATATCGATCGGATAAGTGGCCGAGTCTGGGACTGACTAATGCGGATAGTATACCCGCGATGAGGTTGAGATACAGCTGGAACTGCGCGACAAGTGATTGAACCTGCGGGATATGGCATTGGCTGTTATCATCGCCGAATATAACAGGGAAGAAAGTAAACCCAGGGTCTTGGGTTGACTTCTCTGCCAAGTAATCTCGGCAAATCAGCGACATGATCAGGTTGATTCTGGGCACGGCCATTCCGCCCAGTCCCAGCGTGAATAGCAGGCTGAATGGCAACAGCCACCAAATCTGTCATCGCAGAGGTCAGACAATTGTATTCAAAGGCTTTCACAACTACTCACGCTCGGTCTCCTCCATCGTGGTCGGTCGTGGGCATGCTCTGGCGGGGATTCCCCGGACGCCAAGGGAGATAGGAGCGCGTCTGTCTCTGTAGGAGTTGCACGAGCGCGTGCCCGCGCGTCGAGCTCGGGCTCGCTCGCAAAGAGTTGCTCGTTTTCCATGATCAAGGGGACATCAAGGATGAAGTACAAGTCGCCAAACTTTGGAACTTCCAAGATATTTGTATTGATTTGTAATCCTGGGAGAGGGGAACCCTCTTATCAATTGCTACAGACCTATGATTTCGACACTTTACAGGGAATTGCGCCGCCACTTCCACCTTGACTGTCCCCTCTTCTGTAATGTGCATTCTCTGGGATTTGACGATCTCAATAATTCTTCCACTTTAGCTACCTAATAAGGCCATTTCCACTCCTGATTCAAAACTTGTGATAGAGAACCTCCAATTTATTGCCTGTGAGCACGAAGTAGTATGGTTCAATCACACTATGAAAGGAGGACTCCTCCTCTGCTCGAAGGGTCTCCGAGAGACTCGCTTAAATGTGCCAATTCCTCCAGAATTATGTTTCAATCATCACATCTCTGAGCCGTATGAAAGGCCATCAAAGTGGTCTTTGAGCCACATACGAGCAAGTCAAATCGATTCACATCTCCATGTCGAATTACCAAGTTATGTAATCGAGATAATGCCTCCCCGCAGGTCTTCATATCCTGAGGGCCAGCGTGTTGTGCATTGGATATGCATTCCATTATGAACCCAAGCACTTGTCAAGTACCGACAACGTGTAGCTGATGTACAGCACTATACTGTTCAGCACTATATGGATCACATTTTGGACATTGAGCCTACGTCGATAACTGATATTGATCAATGGCACCACGGCAATAATGATCACCATGTTGGAAAGTCCTGGGACGACTGTCAGGCTAATAATAGCCATTCACACGGCGATGCCGATCCACAAACGCTCTTTCAGGCATCTGCGCTTCAGAATCAGCAGGATGATTGGCCTGAGGGTGATATCCAATTTTCAGAATTTCTTGTACCAGAACTGGAACCCTTTTGACTAGTGGTTCTATATTGTCGAATGAGCTTCTGCTACCCATAACGAAGCATGCGCTGGTCATTTCCCAATGCTTCCGATTATCTGAATGAATATAGAGCTAGAAATACGTTATGCTGTACAATATACCCAGAATTTTGTCGCCAAACAACGCCTCCCAAACCCTAGTGTGTATACACATGCACCCAAAATACACCTCACTTTGATCAATGAGTTGAGATGATGCAAAAGGCTCAGCTTACAACACCATACTGGCGTTGTCCTTACCAGCGAAGAATTGCTTTTGGCCCAAGCAGCGCTCGCTTTTACAACCCTGGCAACGAAGTGTCATCTGGCGGGAACAGAGCTCTCCCTTTTGGAGATGTTCGCGGGCAATGTCGGCAAGTGCCTGAATGAAGACCGGGTTGCCGTTCAAGCTCTCTGCACGCTTGACACCGGGGCTGTTGGCTTCATGAATAACTTCCAAGTCCAATTCATACAGAGTTTCGATGTGGTCACTGGTGAACGCAATAGGAACCAGAACCAAGTCAGTGATTCCCTTCTTCACGTATTCTTGCACAGTATCACTTGTCTGGGCTCCGAGCCAGGCCGAAGGGCCGACCTGAGACTGCCAGCACAGGCGGTAAGGGTTGCTGAAGTTGAGACGTTGCATGACAGCGTGAACTGTCGCAGCAACCTCAGAGGGATATGGGTCACCTATAAAATTTAGCATAATTCATCCAGAAGTTATGAGTTGACTGACCTCGGTTTACAACACTCATAGGCAAGCTGTGAGCTGAGAATAGCAACACGACCTTATCGCGCTTCTCCTCTGGGTATGTCGCAAGCTGAGCCTCAATGTTCTGTGCGAAAGCCTCAACGAGACCGGAGTGAGAAGGCCATCGGTCAATGACACTCCACTGAATTGCGCCGGCTGGGTCGGATTCTCCATTTTCGCGCTTTCCCTCCAAGCGATTACGCCACTTCCACAATTCATTAAGAGAACTTCCTGTCGTCGAGCAGGAGTACTGCGGGTATTGTGTAAAAGCAACGGCACGTCCTCCCTTTCCGTTTCCAAATCCATCGGCGAACAGTTGCTCATACATCGTCTCGGTCAATGGGGCGGCATAGCGGAATGCCACGTAGGGCTTATGCGGTGCAGTTTCCGGAGAAATCTTATCCAAAATCTTACACATCTCTGCGCACTGGTACTCGGACCATTTGCGAATGGGTGAACCGCCACCAATGTCCGCATATTGCTGTTGGATCTTTGGGGTTCTCCGGCGTGCGATGAGAGGTCCGATATACGATTGGAGTCGTCCGAGGGGGATCAAATCACCATCGGCCTGTAACAAATCGGATCAGTAATGGGACAAAGTGTCACCACTGTAGATTCCTCGGCACCTACGAATAGTCTGCTCAAGAAGTCCTCCACCTCGTTTGTTGTTGAGGGTCCACCCATGTTCATAAACACCATCGCAGTTGGCCCCTTGGATCCGGTTGCATCTTGTGTGACAGGCGGGACCACTGTTGCGAGTCCTCGCTGGTTAGACATACATGACAACCGACTGGCAATTGCTAGCCGCGGTCCGAAAGAGGTGGCATTCGACAATAGGCGTCGGGGCATCGCGAAGGGGACCCGGAACGCCATGGCTGGATCAGAGCAGGCTAAATAAGAACAGAGTATTCAACGCTATACACGTCGACAGGAATTGAGGGAAAGAACAAATCGACCGATCGATCGATGCCTCGGAGCTAATGTTCCCGGTTTCCCAGGTTTCCTCGGCCAATCATTGCGCACCGGACGTCAGCAGCTCTAGGCAGCGCCAGGCATCAGCATCACATGACCTTCGTGTCGTAGAGCGCGTCTGAAAGAGATAGTGAACGTGATATTTCACAACTTCTCACTCTTCTGCTGCTTCATCGGAAATCATGGCGAGCGAGAATTACACGCGTGAGGAGGAGAATTTTGAGGATGAGGAGCTTGATGAGACCGTGAGTACAATAACCCGAGATATACTGGCCTTCTATTGACTTTACGTGACCAGAGCTTCAAATCAGTCAAAGATGCTGTTCTCTTCGCCATAGATATCAGCAACTCGATGCTGGAACCACGGGTATCGGATGACTCTAAGAAGTGTGTTAAGGAATCACCTGCGTCTGCCGCCTTGAAGTGTGCATATCATCTGATGCAACAGCGCATTATCTCCAATCCTCATGATATGATCGGCGTCTTACTCTATGGTACACAATCATCCAAATTCTACGATGAAGATGAAGAGAGCCGTGGCGACCTTTCATATCCGCATTGCTATCTCTACACTGACCTAGATGTTCCATCTGCACAGGAAGTCAAGGAACTACGATCTCTAGCTGAGAAGGATGAGGAAGCTTTGGAGATCCTGAAGCCATCGAGTGAGCCAGTTTCGATGGCCAATGTGCTTTTCTGCGCAAATCAGGTCTTTACTTCCAAGGCTGCAAACTTCCTGTCTCGGCGGCTGTTTGTCGTAACCGACAACGACAATCCACACGCAGACAACAAGGCATTGCGGTCTGCTGCAACTGTTCGAGCAAGAGATTTGTATGACCTGGGCGTCAACATTGAGCTTTTCCCTATCTCTCGACCAGATCACGAATTCGACACCTCTAAGTTCTACGATGTATGTTGATCAGCTCATTCATCCAGAAGTGTCCTGACAAATAGCAGGATATTATCTACAAAACATCCCCAAGTGACGGAGATGCCCCGACATATTTGAAACCAGACACATACGAGTCCACAGCCAAGGGTGACGGACTTTCACTGCTCAATTCTCTCTTGTCTAGCATCAACTCGAGATCAGCCCCCCGGCGTTCTCTATTCTCAAACGTGCCCTTGGAGCTTGGGCCTGATTTCAAAATATCCGTCAATGGGTATCTCCTCCTCAAAAAGCAAGAGCCTGCACGGAATTGTTTCGTCTGGCAGGGCGGCGAGACTCCTCAAATTGCCAAAGGCGTCACCACTCTCATGGCCGATGACACAGCACATACAGTCGAAAAAGAGGACATCAGAAAGGCTTACAAGTTCGGCGGTGAACAGGTCTCATTCACAACCGAAGAACAGCAGGCATTGAGACATTTCGGCGACCCAGTGATCAGAATTATTGGCTTCAAGCCATTGTCTGCGCTGCCATTCTGGGCCAACATCAAACACCCTTCATTCATCTATCCTTCGGAAGAAGACTACGTAGGCTCAACCCGAGTCTTCTCTGCATTGCAGCAGAAACTACTCGAGGCTGAGAAAATGGCCCTGGTCTGGTTCATCCCCCGCAAGAATGCGTCGCCAGTCTTGGCTGCCATGATTGCTGGAGCTGAGAAACTCGATGAGAACGGAGTACAGAAGACCCCACCGGGCATGTGGATTATTCCTATCCCCTTTGCGGATGATGTTCGCGAGAATCCGGAGGCTACCTTGAACAAGGCGCCAGATACGTTGATTGATTCTATGCGTGAAGTCATCCAGCAGCTACAGCTTCCGAAGGCTGTGTATGATCCTTCGAAATATCCCAACCCTTGTAAGTTTCCTCATATCCCACCTTTTCTCTCAAAGGATAAAGCTGACTCGAAGCAGCACTCCAATGGCATTATCGTATTCTACAGGCCCTCGCCCTGGAAGAGGACATGCCCGAAACTGCAGAGGACAAGACGATCCCCAAATATCGACAGATTAACAAGGTGAGTCCCTTTGATGATATTAGATTTCGAGCCGCACTCATCAACTACCATAGCGCGCCGGCGAATATGTCCTAGCCTGGGCGGAGGAACTAAAAGCCCAATCAGCCAAAATGTTTGGTGGAATCGCAGCTACAAAATCGACATTGGTGAAACGAGGTGCTAAAGAAGAAAACGCCGAAAGTCACCCATCGAAGCGTGTCAAGGTTGAAGGTGATGGCACCGACGCGGATAGTGTGGTCAAACAAGCCTCTGAAAAGGGCACCGTGTCCAAGGTAAGCTATATCACATTGGCTACTCGGTAAGTAGGACTTCAATTTAGCTAACATGTTTACAGTTGACCGTAGCTGTGCTCAAGGAGTTCTTGAATGCTCATGGCCGTGCTACAGCTGGCAAGAAGTCAGATTTAGTGGAACGAGTTGAGCAGTACTTCGAAGAGAAGTTCTAATAAGTGGCTATCTTTCCGAGGGATGATAGCTGACTTTAATGCATTATGACTGTCCTATTATTATTTTACAAAACTCATCGTCGACCCCTCTTTTGTAAGCAATTTCTTTGACCATTGTTAAGAGGATTTCCATGCCGTTCCGGCATGGCTCCCACGGTGTCTGTTTGTAGCTAGTTAATGGCTATAAATAGTGCCGAGCAATAGGCAGCAACATCAAGATAGCCAACGAACTTCGTGGCTATGTTATTTCTAAAAGGTGGGTTCATTTTACTGTAGCAAAGATATTCACATTATATCTCTATAAGAATAATTTGAAAGGCCACCTCTAAAGGATGGGAAGTACACTTTCTTGATTGGGGAACTTGCCCGCAACGCTTGAACGCAAATGAATCTCTAACCCAAGCAACACACAAAACTCCAACTTCTATATAATAAAACGAGCGAACGAACTCCAAGCCAAGGGATGTTTGTACTGTCAGTAAATGCACATCGAAAATGGGCATGTACAAGCCGTGCGGCTAAGATAATGGTATCGGCACGTCTTCCAGAATATGGACAATGGCAGTAACCAGTCGCGATGCTGGGTCTGCGATTAATGCTCAGGGTGGAAGAGGGGATCAACACCTCCCGTAGACCTGGCATTGGCATAGCTGTTCATCGGGGCAGCTATGGATGGTTAGTAATTGACTAGGTGAAGGTAGAGTAGCGTTGGCGGTAACTTACTATATACCCTCCATGCCAAAGATAATATGCCACAAGAACTCCATCACCCTACCGGAGGATGCATCATTCAATTCCGTATCAAGAATCCATTGCCGGATCTTGACATAGTCATTCAGCGGTCGCTTCTGCACCTGATCGCGCGAAACGGCGAATTGCGCACAGCATGCCGCGCCAATCTCATCGGGCTTGCGGAGGTATTTTTGCCCCCCATATTCCATTTCCCAAGGTGAAGACATGTTCAGCGGAGGCGTACTCGTTCCCTCGAAGACATCCCACCAGATCTGATCGGTGACATGCTTGTTGAAGCGGTGGGCGCCCTTGCAGCCGGGGTTCCAATTGCAGCGCAGGTTGACGTAGCCGTTGCGCTGGATGAAGGGGAGTTGAAGATTGCGCATGGCGATGACATTGTCGTGGAGTGGCGCATCTACGTGCCAGGCCATTAAAAAGCCTGAGCGGTGCGCGTGGAGGAAGGCGATTGTTGAGGGGAGGTTGTTGTACTTGTCGATTATGTAGGTTAAGTAGGCCATGGCTTCGTGGCCTTTGTTGAAGGGTGTCATCAGGGCATTGGCGTCGGATCGTGTGTCTCGGGAGGGGTTGACAATGTAGATTGCGCGTTGCCAGCTGCGAACATCAAGGATCAGTACTGGTTTGTGGGATAGAAGTGGAATCGCAAGCACTCACTCAGGCAGCTCTTGCTCCACCCATTGAGTATTCTCCTCTTCCAGCTTGGCCATCACTATTACCTTGTCCCCCACGGTGGTATCGGCGTATTGCGGGCTTGGAACAGCGCCATTGCGATCCAACCAATCAACCAAGTATGCGCCAGCACGATATTGATTACAGAGGTCTTCGAGATGCGCCTCAAGGAGGTACAGTGAGAAAAGAAGCAAAGAGGAGACGCATATCACTGCGAGGCGTATACCACCCCGCATGATGAAGAAGTTTAAAACACCAGGGACTTTTGGCAACAGAAGCCTGTGGTTGTAAAATTCAAAGCACAAAGAATCGCATTCAATCCATTGACGGTTGACTCCCTAGGAGGAAAACCTTTTCCAATATGAGAAAGGAGAGCGATATTGCGAAATAGGAGCGTCAATAGTCCCAAAATAGCAAGGCGGCCGAAGGCAAATTCGAGAAGGGGCGAGGCTAAGGCTAAACTGAGTCAAACGGTAGGCGCAGTCGTCACAGGTCGAAATGGGGAAAGGAATGAGGTTCAAAGGAGACAGGAACAAGAGGTTAATCAAGATAACAAGATAAAAAAGATAAAAAAGCGAGAAGGGGAAAGCTTCACCCCCAATATGAGAAGTCTGAATGTCATTCTTGCTGCGTATCATTGGCCACCTGGGGCGTAGACTCAGGGGAGCCAGCCTTAGTTGAAGCCGGGGTGAAATTTAGGGGCCGCTCTGCCCCTTGGCACTGAAAGCTTGGCTTTGGGGCGCGTCTAACCTCTTTCATAGGTTGAGTTTGCGCTTGAGCCATGGTCGGACGGGTGGAAGGCTTAACGTGCCGCGGGTGGACATGGCCCCCGGCCAATCTGTAGACTTTTCGACCGACTGAGTCCACCAACACGCGTGTGCTAAGTTCCACGGATTGCACGTGGCGTTTGGTTCAAACCCGCCCATTTTGAGAAGTGTCAAACGAACACTGGCGCTTCTCCTCCACAGGCTAAACGGTAGTCTTGCATCCGAGTGGGGCTGTGTCGCTAAATTGAATCAACCCTTAAGACAATGGTCTGTTCATTAGGATCTTCAACCCTCGCACAGCCTCGCCCCCCCCCCCAATGATCGGCTACAAGCCAGCGTTTGATCGGCTTCGTCGCGAACCAAACAGTTCAACACATTCAGGGTCTCGAGTAAATTGTGGGATCCCTTCGCGGCGGGCTGCCTATGACCGCACCGGGCCCACAGGCGGACCGATCTGCGAGAGCATGATGTGGCCGCTTTGCTGGAGAGGAATGAGAGTCAAAGCTGATGTAGATCGGTCTCCGAAAGAATGTCAGTATCGAATTGCAAGATATACTGCGTAATCTGTAAACTTGGAAGTTGCAGTTCTGCACAGCTCTTGACGATTGTAACTCATGGTCAACAAAGGGTAATTGCTTCAAAGCGGAGACGCAACCAACTTAATTTCAAGGTCCGGGCAGTTGAGATCAACATTTGACCGTACGATTGTACAGGTACTTAATCAATGTTACTTTCTGCGCTTTCAGCGGTAACATGTCCTGCATCTTCACCCGTGATCAAATATCGACTAGCCTGCGAAAACTGCGAGCAAGCTAACCATGTGCGCAATCTGCCGCGTGGCTACCGAGAGGTCTTGGCTCATCTGTTGAAATGCAGATCTCGTCGTCATTGATTAATAGAGGGGCCAGAAGATGCCTTGGCTTGTTGAAGTGCAGTTGAGGTTGGATTGGACGACTTGCCATGTGACCTGGGCGTCAGCTGTGTCACGATACCAGACCAGGGTCTATCAGAAATGCCAAGCCCAGGTATCTTTTTACATATTAATTGGCTTTCATACTGTATCTACAGTGCCTCTGCTAGGAAGATTAACCGAGTCTAGTGTTTCATTCTATGCATGAACGGAGGCACACGCCTCAAAATAGAAATCAATGTTTACATTCAAGTACTTGATTTGCAGTCCAGCTGCTGTTCGTTCATTATATGTTACAACCAGGGATGCCTTTTCCTCCTATTCACTATCATTCTCCCCCTCCTCTTCTTCCTCGCTCACTTCCTCTCCATTCGCAAGCGCCTCTTCGCGCAACTTGCGCGCACGTTCTCGCTTCTTGTCCAGCAAGGTACTGAGCTTTTTTGCAACATTGAAAACACCACCAGTCCCTGCACCGCAAGCTGCACATGTGGGGTTCTTCCGGTATCGCTGCAAAGCACAGGACTCGCAGAAATAGTGGCCACATTTGGTGATAATGGGCTCCTTATAAGGCTTTCGGCAAATGATGCAGGCAAAAGGAATGTTTTCCAGCATCTCATCCTCATTGTCTTCATCATCTTCTGCTGCCTTCCCTGCGCCCTTGCGTTGTGATACCACTTTCCCGTCCAGCTTCTTGCCCTTTGTGTTGACCTCCCAATCGCGATCCAGCTCCCACCCTGCTTTGTAATCCTCACGCATGTGGAGGTACTTGCAAGAGTCTCCGTAGCCACAGAATCCAGTCTGTTTCCAATCTTTACATACATCGGGGGCGAAATCAGTGACGGTAATGGTCCGAACGTTGGTTGGTGCTTTGACGGGTCCAAACTTCGCCGGTGCATCTGGATTTTTCTGGATGAAGTTTTGGTAGTTGGCTGCGCCTTTATAGGTGCCGTCAGGCTCTGAGGCGGAGGTAGTTGCTGAAGCTTGGCCGGGTCGCACTCTTGTTGTGCCGAGAAGGTTCTTCTCGTTGAGGTCTTCATCGTACCAGTTGGAGGATTTGGTTGCGTCGTTGCTCGAGGTCAATGGGAGAGGAGCGGCGCTTATAGGCTCGTCCACCGATTTTATCGCTACACTTCCTGCCGATGATGCTGTCACAGCTGCGTTCTTGCGCCGCCTCTTAATCAGCTTGCCCTCGTCATCATCCGACGAGGTGAAGTCGGAGTCGGACGCTGGAGGTGGCGTTGCGGGCTTCTTGCGGAAGTTGGCCTTGCCCTTGGAGCGCTTCTTGAAAGCAACTTGGGGTGTAGCGTCTGCTAATGTTTCTTCGGTCATTTTGTGTGTCTGCAAGGGAAAAGAGGCGATTAAAATGAAAGAAAGTTACCACCAGTTGTCGCAAGTTCGATATATCGAAAGCGGTGGAAGTTATTACTAAGCAGACACGACAAACATGGCAAACGTGACAAACATCAACGTCTCACTTTGGGACGCGTTGGACGACGAGAGACACAAACCAAAGTATAATTTTTTATTGTTTACTGTAAATGTTTGCCTAGAATCGCCATCTAAAGGTATCATATCTGTAGCCAGATCGTAGTTTTCCGGGGTAGCCCACCTCAACTCAAATCTCAAACACCGGTGCTATTTGGCAATAACACGTTCGCTCACTCTTCTCTTCTCTTTTCTTTCCCCGCCTGAGCCAAACTCGACCTGTCTTATCAACTGCCTCTCCTTTTTTCTTTTTTGTTTTGTTACTAATTCGCTCTATCCTTTCTTTTGTTTTCATTTACTTTAAGAGCCGATCTGTTTGCGGCGACACCTGCAGATCCGACCACTTTGTTATGGTTGGTTGACACCTACGCGCGTATGTCTGGCCAAGGATAAGGTACCGGATCTCACTGCTAATTCGCCCAAAGGTCCTCGGTGTTTGTTGTTGTATTATTTCGACTTTTCCCTCCTTAACTTCTCATACACCCCCCGACGGTGTGCCTCACACCCATCGCATCGGCGCGCGGTAATCCTGAAACATCTGGTCGCTGGTCGGCTTGGCGATTGGCTCAAAATTCCCGCGACTAGTTTTCCATTTGTGTTTGGATGATGCTCGCCGTCTAAACTTGATACTTTCAAGATCGACGCGCGACTCCCTTACCTCTCGTCGGCAACTGCATCCTCGTTAACGAGAGGTGTCAGATGCCGTTTGAGGCCCCCGAATCTCGGATCATGACTGCACCTAACCCTGAGGACACCAGCTCCTTTGCATCAATGGAAGACCCCTTCGTTTCGAATGGCGGACGGCCAGCTCCACGCGACACCCACCGATATTCCTCATTCGATACGCAACTGTTCAGCCTCAATGCGTCTTCGCCAGCCCAGGCTAAACGGGCCCTTGAGGCTCATTTGGCGGAGACTGAACGTCGGTTGGAGGAAGCCTCGAAATTGGGTACAGCCCTCATCGATCAACAACAGCAGCTATCGGAGCAGTTGAAGGAGGTCGAGCAACAGCAGGATGAGGGAGAGATGGGCCCAGAATTGCGACGTAAACTCGCGGACCTGGAGAAGGAGTATAATGAGATCGGTCGTGAATCGGCACGGGCATTTTTGGCGCCCAAACGCCTGGCAGGTGGAGAGGAGGCTCAGCTTGGAACGCCATCTTTTGATCAAAAGGTACAACCTGCGTTGCATACTTGGTTCGGCTTCTTCGGCCTGTCCGCCAAACTAACATTAAGTTTTGGATAGTCACCTCTAAGCCCCGCTTTGTTCGCCAGTCAAGCCACGAACTCCCCAAGCAAAGTCAGTGTTCCATCTCGAAAGCAGCGCAATCAACAGTCAAACCGCGTCCACGATATCGAATTTGCGACTGAGATCTCCACCTCTCTTTTGGCCCAAGTCCGCCAGCTACAAGCTCTTCTCGCAGAACGGGAAGAGACGCTCAAGTCTGTTAATCTCGAAAAGTCTCGGCTTGAGTTGGAGGCTGAAGGATATGGGCAACGGATCCGGGCACTCGATGATAGCGAGCAGCGCTACAAGGATGAGAACTGGGCGCTGGAAACGCAAGCGCATGAGTTGATGGCGGCTGCTAGAGAAGCTGCAGAGCGTGAGGGTCGACTCAATACTTCGCTGACCGCGTCGACTTCTGAAAAGAATGCCATTGAACGGGAATTGGAGGAACTGCGGCAAGTCAACTCAAGACTAATTGAGGACCAGAACTTGATGCAAAAGGCGAACGATGCAGAAATCCATCTTCTGCGCCGGAATCTGAATTCTGGCGAGCTGGAGAAGTCTGCCTTGCACAAGAAGCTCGCGGAAATGACAGCTCAGAATCAAGAGCTTGCAAAGGCTGTTGCCATGCGTTTACGGCAGCACGAAAGCCAGGGCAGCCGGGATATCGCGTATAATGATGATGGTGATGAGCCGGAGCAACTCACACCAGAAAGTTCCCCGCCACCCTCCCCCAACAAGTTCACTCCTCGACATGGCCACCTGGAGTCTGAGACCCTGAAGAGCTCGCTTGGTCACGCTCACCGCATGATCCAAAATCTCAAGAGCACCATTCACCGTGAGAAGACCGAGAAGATCGAACTCAAGCGCATGCTGCAAGATGCTCGTGATGAGGTTGAGACACGTCGTCGTGAAACCGCTGCGCCAAACGGATCAACCAAGCGCCAGAAGACCAAGACAGATTCTTCCCGAAAGCCTCCTCGTCCAGATCTTCTGGGCGCGGGTCGCAAGGAGAAGTCCTTTGTCGAACTTCATGATACCGATTGGGAAGACAATGCTGGTCAGATCAGTCCTACTCACAAGCCTGCCATGACCAGATCGATGGGTCGTCCTGGCGCAGAGTCTCCCGACGAGCCCAGTGATGTTTACCAGACAGCCACTGAAGCTGAAGACGGGTTTGAGACGGCAAATGAGCGGGCAACCGCAACGGAGAGCGAAGCGTTCCAGACCGGTGTGGAAAGTATGGCGGATGACAGCAGTGACTCGGCAGACCTGACTGAAACCGAAAACAATGTCCAAACAACTCCACGCAGCCGAGTTCCCACCTCACTGATGATGTCCAAGACTCGTGATCGCGATTGTTATCACAGCACGGCTTCCGCATCGACCGATGACGAGGACTATGATTCAGGATTCCCCTCCCCGAGCCAAAGACACATCACCCGTCCTCGGGTCAAGTCTAAGCGAAGCATGTCAAGACGCATTCGCCCATCCGGGGAGGCGCCATTCGCCTCAACTAGTCGGCCCTCTAGCTCGCGTGAATCACCGGCACCTATCTTTGAGCAAGCACCAACATCACAAGAGGGCCAGAGCCTCTTTGCTGAGCTTGCTGAGCTCGGAAGTGGCGATGAAGACGGGCAAACATCTCAGGCTTCTACTCCGCGCATGGAAGCTACAGCTGGTTCACGTAGACCTTCGGATGCTATGTTGGACGCGCCGCCTAAGCCTATCATGGTCGACTCTGGTGTGATGACTGAGGCCTGGGAGCCTACGCTTCCCACCGGTGCCAATGTCGCTGCTGTAGCCGCTCTTCCTAGCACTCCGACTCAGCCAATGGCAAACAGAGGAATCGCCGAACAAGCTCCAGCAACCCCAAGGCTGGTCAGTGCAGGAACACAGTGGACACCGCACAAGCCCTCGACTGAGGATGGTGATCATTTGACTAATGTTCCTACGCCGCCAAAGATGCTCTGGGATGAAAGTTCAGTTCATGAAGCGAACGTCCAACCTGAGTTGCCAGAAATGGGCATTGCAGATATTTCGTCCGAACACACCATGCCTCAGACCCCCAAGCGTCCTGGGCTGAGTGTTGCCTACATCAATGGCAGTATTACAGCTCCTGTGAAGCATGAGTTCCTCACGCCAGTGATTCCGGAACTGAGTGTATCTTCAGTTTCATCCCAGACTACCAGTCCCATTATGCCCAAGCTTCATGTGCCAGAGCCAATTATCAAGCATGTCGATGTCATTAAGTATATTGAACGCGAGCCAGAGGTCCCCGAGCTGTCCTTCTCCTCGATCACCACACAGACCACCGCGCCTATCAAGGCAACTCTTGCTGTGCCTGAACCCGTCATCAAATATGTTGATGTAATTAAACATGTCGAGAAGGAGCGCGAGGTGCCCGAGCTGAGCTTCTCGTCTATTGGGACTCAATCTACTGCACCCATTTTACCTGTTCAGGCAACCGCTCCTGAACCAGAGCCGGTGATTAAGTACGTTGATGTCATCAAACACGTCGAGAAGGAGCGTGAGGTGCCTGAGTTGAGCTTCTCGTCTATCACCACTCAATCTACATCGCCCATCAAGGCTACACCTACTGAGCCGGAGCGTGTTATTGAATATGTTGATGTTATTAAACACGTTGAGCGTGAGCGGGTATTGCCCGACCTGACGTTGTCGTCCATCACTACTCAGTCTAGGTCGCCCGTCAAGGCTATCCCTGCTGAGCCGGAGCGTGTTATTGAATACGTTGATGTTATTAAACACGTTGAGCGTGAGCCTGTGTTGCCTGAGCTGACGTTCTCGTCTATCACCACTCAAGCTACATCTCCCGTCAAAGCTACTCCTGCTAAGCCGGAGCGTGTCATTGAGTACGTCGATGTCATCAAGCATGTGGAGCGTGAGCCCGACGTACCTCAATTAAACTTCTCGTCTATCAAGACTCAAACAACGGCACCTATCAGATCAACTGTTGCTCAGTTGGAGCCTGTCATCCAATACGTCGATGTCATCAAGCACGTTGAGCGTGAGCCTGAAGTTCCTGACTTGACTTTCTCTAAAATCACCACTCAGTCTACCGCGCCTGTCAAGGTCACTGTTCCTGAACCAGTCATCCCTGATTTGACAATCTCTTCTATTGACCCGACATATACGGAGCCGGCCATTCCAAAGCCTCGGGCTATTCCTGCGCCGCCAGCACTGTCTTTCTCCTCTGTGTGCTCTGTGGAAACTCAGCCTGTGCAGTCTGTATCACCTGCCATTTCTATGGTGGCACACCTGTCTACTCAAACTGAGCCAACGGAAGCCTCAAAGGTCGCAATGCTTGTTCATGAGGATTCTAACGAGACAACTCGTGACCGTGCTAATTCCAACAACAGTGACGAACTCGCTGGTGCTGGGCTGGCTCTGAACGATATCTCAGGCAATGCTCTTGCTCGCTCCACCAGAAGACAATCTAGCTTTGTCACCATGGACCATGGTGCGCAGACAATCCTGTCTTCCAAGCAAATCGACCAAATTCTCATGGAACGTGGCTCTGTACGCCCACATACTTCAGACAGTCAACTCACAGGGCAATCGAGGGAGTCTGCTGTGGCCGGCGCAGCCGCTGCAGCACCATTCGTTACACCCAAGCCTCAGTCTCGACCTCGTCTTTCGCAGATTCAATCTGCCAGATCGACGCCCAGCTCCCGTCGGCCTCACAGCGCTACAAGCCAAGCATCTGGTCTCAGTGCTCACCCGCCCCTGCCGAGCGATCACCGAGAGGCAATCATGGCCGCCGAGAAGAAGTCTGTTGATGCAGCACCACCATCCCCCACCAGTGTCATGGGTCCTCCTTTGGCACCCGCCTCTGCCTATCGCATGAACACTCAGCGACCGCTGACGCCGAACGAACAGGCTACGCGATCTGGCTCTGCGAGAACCGTTTCGTCCCAGGCCAGAATGAGGAGAGGCAGTCAAAGCCAGATGTCGCGACGATCCTCAGTTTCTTCCTTCGCGTCCGAGATCGAGGAGCGTTTCAACATGAACCCCCATGCCGGTCCTATGCCTCAGGGCTATGGACCTAACACTGATCCTCGCATGATCCAGGCCATCACTCAGACCATGATTGGTGAATTCCTGTGGAAGTACACTCGCAAGACCGGTTCGTCAGAGATGTCTTCAACAAGGCACAGAAGATACTTCTGGGTCCATCCCTACACCCGTACATTGTACTGGAGCGCGCACGACCCGCAAACCGCTGGAAAGAGCGAGCTTCGTACCAAGAGTGTGCCTATTGAGGCTGTGCGAGTGGTTGCTGATGATAACCCTTACCCACCAGGTCTCCACTGCAGGAGCTTAGAGGTTGTCAGCCCCGGCCGACGGGTTCGGTTCACGGCTACGACCAGCCAGAGACACGAGACTTGGTTCAACGCTTTGTCCTATCTCCTTTTGAGAGAGACCAACGACAACTGTGAAGACCATAACAGCGTGACCCTCGATGACATCGACGAGTTCAATCCTAGCTTCCGATCTAGTTCTCGACAGGGAACAAGGATGTCATTCTCCTCTTACAACAGTCGCACGGCTCGTAATGCACCCAAGCAACAACGAGCGGCGTCTGCTATGTCCATGCGGTCTGGCGGGGGTCGAGCATCACCGGCGCTTAGCACACCCGGTGCAAACTCATTGCAAGTCCCCGACGAAGCCCATCAACGCTCTTCATCCCGATTGAGCACGATCTCCAGCTCAATCCGGGGCTCAATTGCCAGTCTGAAGGGACGGCACGGCGCTCAGTCTCCCAGCATGCTTGATGAAAGCATTCGCGGCCAAGACAGCGTTGATGACTTGAGACATGCCCATGATACTCAAGACCTGGACCGACTTGAAAATGTCCGTGCCTGCTGTGATGGCAAGCACGACGTGGGTTCTCTCTCACGTACTAGCCGGTACAGTCCCAGAGTCGATCGCATCCACTCCCCCCACCCTCATTGAACATCGCCTGATGAGACTGGGATTTGTTCATAGGGTTTGCGGGCAGGTCCTCCACCCTGACATGAGTCAGTTATAAAGGCAATGACCACGAGTTCTCTTTCTTCTGTCTCTCAACCAACAACCACGCATTTTAATATTTCCTTTGACTCAACCTTTCATGCATATGTGCGTGGAATCTCTCGCACTCAAGTTCGAGACCTGGATTTTGACTCTTTCGACCTCGATGATTACGGATTGTTGCTCTAGAATGTTTTCTGGACAGCCTCACCTACACCTTTCCTTCCTTCACCTACAATCGTTCTCTTTCCTTAGTCTCTACAGATCTTAACTCTCCTACTCTCTCTGTCCTTCATTCATTCGAGTTGGCGTCCTGCTGGTTCGTTTCTCCCAGTCTGATCTACTCTTTTCCTATATTCTTTTTTTATGTCGATAATTCCATTGGCCACCACATGCCCTCATTCTGTCCGCTCTTTCAACTGTGTGACCATCTTTTGGTATTCAAACCCCTGTGCAACAGAACAAGCTACTAGACCTTAGTCTGTGTTCAATATGCTGATCTATGCCTTTCATAGGTATAAGTCAGACACCGTAGGATTTCTTTTCCTTTTTCTTAATTATTCAGACAGAACTTGTATTCAGATATGTTGGTCTGTATTATTAAAGTTTATCAGACTGCCTACCGACATGGTCCAATGTAACGTTTGCACGGGTGATGATAATGTCTGTCGTACATCAATTGGCTGACTCACTTTCAGACGCCGAATTCTCCACGTCACGGGGTCCGTTCGCCGGCCCTAACTTCTTCTCTATATCGCTTTCTCTCTTGTGGATAATTCTTCTTTCTATACAAAATTGAATACATCACCATAATTATGTCGTCCGAGGCACCGCCGCCGTTTGCCCAGCGAATGCTTGGCTTGCTGGAACCAGCGCAGCTCATGGCTTGGGCAATGTCCCGTGAGTACAGACGCCGAACAGACGCCGAAAGACATGGACGTCGCAATTGCACACAATTTCCGATGTTGAGTCTTTTTTTGCAAATACCTCTTTATTTTGGCTGATCTCATAATCCTTTGTTGAACATGCACTAATCATAATACAGACTACTTCCGAGTCTGCTCTGAAGCCGTCAAAAGCGGCCAGATCCTCGCACCAATCACCCAAACCCGCAGACTGCGCGACGAAGCATTCGGGAAATTCTGGTTTGAGTTCAGTTGTAAGTTCTCAGAAAATGAAAACCCAAATCCCAGCATGGCATCACGGCAAAAAGAGACGGAAGAAATCAACCCAGTACATCTCTTCTCCTCTCACCACCCACTGCCACAATTACATCTATATCAATACCAAGTCCAAAAACCCCTAACAAAATCAGCCCAACCCAACCGCCAAACAACCACAGACCCAATAACAAACGAACAACCCCAGCCAGTGGGCAGCAGCGCCCTAATCCCACCCCTACTCAGAACAGCCACTGGCACCGTCCTGGACGTAGGCCCAGGAACAGGAACTCAAATGCCCCTCCTAACATCCCCATCCATAACAGCCTTGTACGGCGCAGAACCCTGCACAGGTCTTCATAAAGAACTGCGCGCCCGCGCAGTCGCCGAAGGCATTTCTGACAAATACCACATCCTGCCCTGCGGCGCCGCAGCCGGTGAACTACTCCCCGCGCTAAAAGCTACAGGAACGGGTGTGGTTGATGGGCTTGAAGGCGATGTGCGGGTTGGTATCTTCGATACGATATTGTGTGTTCGGGTCCTTTGTTCCGTGCCGAAGATGGAACGCACGATTGGGGAGTTGTATGAGCTTTTGAAGCCGGGTGGAAAGTTGCTTGTCACGGAGCACGTTGTTAATCCGTGGTGGAGGGCTAAGGGGTCTGTTTTGGCGAGGGTTGCGCAGGCTGTCTATCAGTTCTTTGGGTGGAGTTGGTTTATTGGGGATTGTTGCATGACGAGGGATGTTGAGGGGGCGCTTAGGAAGGCTGCTGATGGTGATGGGGGTTGGGGGAGTTTTGAGTTGGAGAGGTCTTTTGAGTGGTCTGCTATGCCTTATATTTCTGGAACTTTGGTTAAGAAGGGGATTTAGGGGGTTTTGATGGTTTTTGGTAGGGTTGACGGGGTGGCTTTTTTTATCAATGCTATTGGGTATCATTTTTTCTCTATCATGTGTGTTGTATCAATGTGTGTGGGTATGCAGGATAATTCTTGGTATCATGGGTTCATCACGTAGGTTTTGGGCGTCCAGCGGGCCAGAAATCAAACAGATCTAAAGCTTCAGATGTCCATGGTCCTTCTTCTTTGGGTTCGTTTTCCTGGCCTGCTGCAGTTGAGAAGCTTCTCGTCAGGCTTGAACGGGCCTGGTGGCCTTGTCGTGAAATCAATGCAGTTGGATCCGATAATGACTTGCGCAAAGGCGAATCAAGAGATCTTCTACCTGTTAAGTTCCGAATTGCTGAAGGCGGTTTCAAGCCTGAACCATCAAGCATCTCGTCAAAGATGAATTGCGTTGACGCTGACGGCATGAAGTCTTCACTTGCAGTTCCTGGATCCTCAGTCGGGGGAACGACTGGTCTTGTGAATCTAAGTAGACCTTAGCGTTGGTGTCCTGAATGTTGAATGGGTACATACTAACTGCGGCTCTTGGGAAGTCGTGGTGGTCTCACGTGATTCGGGGTCAGGGGCTGTCCTTGTCGGTGGAGAAGATGATTTCTGTAAGATATCACCTGGCAGCAGTGCGCTGTACATCAGCTTCCTACGAGGCTTCGCAGCTGCCATTCGTAAAGAAGTCGTTGGTTTGTCCGACGGTACTGCGGGGGATGGACGTGAAGGAGGTGGCATTTCATTGGAAGCTGTATCATTGGGAGGCTTCAAATGTTCTGCATTTTTGTTGTTTGTTTTGACAGATGCATTTGGTATGGGACGGGTGGTAAGCGGTTTTGGTGCAGCTGGAGGTGGCCGCAAAGCTGTCGGAGGGCCCGGTCTTGGTGGTTGCGTGGAGTTTGACAAATCGTTCAATCTATCTGCAACCTCTGTAACGGATCCATCCGTTGTTGTTCTTCCCTGGGGTAGAGATTCTGATATCGCCGGAACAGCAGAAGGCCTTGAAAATTCTGCGCTGTTAGGTCTTTGGAGCTGCGGCAGATCTTGAGGCGTATTGTTCACGGCTGTGGCTGATTGCACAGCTTTGGGTGTTGTGGGAAGTGGCGCCCTTGGTGTTGGTCGATTACTGTCCATTTCGGGCGCAGTGACGGGGTTTCTTGTGACAATAGGAAGGGTTCTCTGAGACTGCATGGGCTGCGGTGGGTCTTGAGGCCCATTGTTCACTGATGCAGCAGATTGTATAGGGTTTGGTGCTACACAAGGTGGTGCCATTGGCTTTGGCCGACTGTTCGTCATTCCAGGTGCAGCAACTACCGGGCCTTTTGTAGTAGGAGGATTGGGTCTCTGGGGCACTGTTGGCTTTGGTGCAACCGTCCTTGTAGCTTCACGAACTGTTGGATATGCATTGACCAGCGGGTAACCTCCAGAACCGGGAGGCTCTGTTTCTGCCTGTGCATTTTTTTCCTGTCTCGGAGGAGCTCTGGGGTTCGGCTCCGTCAAATCAATAACCGAGCTGTGAACGCGCGACGTTCTTTCTGAGTTTACAGGCACCGCCGTGGTTGTTTTCTGACGTTTCGCCGGTCTTGTATGTTCTTCCGGGTTCTGTGTCTTCGGTAGGGGATTTCTTTGCTCGTATGGGGATACCAGATGTCCGATCGGAGTCTTCTTGATATTCAATAGGTCGTTTAGCGAACGGAAAGATTGGGAGCCGGAGGAACGGAATGGTGCCGAGGAGCGGGGAGCTTTGGATAATGGAGCTTTAGTCTGTGGTGAGCCCTGGCTGGAATTTCGTTTCTCGTAGAGGTTCGTAATATCGGTTTCACTCGTCCCGGTGCATTCGGTAACTTGGATGAGAACACCCTTATCCAGCTCGAGTTCATCGCCATCTTGGACCTCGTCATTCGATCGCCAATGGTGGTCACCGATGAAGTTTCCATGGTCATCATAAACCATTATGCGCTTGTTGAACTTGTGGTAGCGTAGATAGCCATCTTGCCAACGTTTCGACTTGCGGCGCAGGTCGTGGGTGTAGAGACAGTGGAACTTGACGACCGACGCGGTGACCTGAGGCGAAGTCGCAGTCGCACTTCGCGCGGTCGAGGACGGAGTTGACATCATGTCAGGCCATCTAGCTCATGGCAGCAGATACATGGAGGTTCAGTCGCGGTTCAGGATACGATAAGCCGGATAACCGGATAAGGGAAAAGGTAAACGCGGTAGGCCTCAGGCACAAAAGTATATTTCTATTTCTCAGGAACCTCTCGGCTCTATAGTCTCTACTTGTTGCTTGAGCCTGTCTGACCATTTTCAATCTCGTGTGTTCCATCGAGTCATGAAATGCATTGGGGCCAATGGCATGGCCCCCACCCATATATACCCCTGTCAATGACTCCCAATTCCAGCCCCCACGCGGAATCACAGATAATTTGAACAGAACAGTATTCCATGGGCTGTGTTGGAACAATTTGACACAGTTGGTCTGTGTGGAGTCAGGGTCCACTAGGCTAGATGAAAGACTCCAACATGATACAATCGATCGGCACTTTGCAAAGATGGAGGGGACCAGAGAGCCGCATGAGAGGCTGAAACACTTTGGGGCCAAGCCATGTGTCATGCCCCCTCCCTTTTTCCAGTTTTCTAATTCTGTCAACTTTCACTCTTCAGTTGAGTCTGTCAAATCTTGTCAGATCATTGTGTGGTAGTACTCTGTACTCCGTGGTCAACTATTACTCCAATCTCTCCCCGCCTTCAACCCGCTTCCAACCCGCTTCCCCACTCATTACGTGGAAGCTCCCCAGAATGCAGAACATGCAAAGGCGCTTTGGGCGCATGACAACCAAGCAATCAGCAGATGACAGCCAGATTGCTGTGTTGTTGAAGGACTTTGACGATGCTGATATGCTCCTGGGCAAGGTAGGCATCCATATTCCTCGGACGCGCGTTCGCATGCTCTAACCCCCATTACTTTATCAGATCGTGGACTCCACCAAAGCCTGGCGTGATACTTGGGTCTCTATCGCAACATACCAGAGTCGAATGATTGATGAGTTCGACGGGCTCTACGGTCCTATTATCGGCTCCTCAGAAACCCCGTCCAACCACAACCCGGTGGAAACAGACCCAGTCAGGCTAGCTCGGACAAATCGACTACGCAAAGAATATGATGAACTGCGGACTGATCTGCTGGAAGAGCTCAATGCTGTCGAGGATCGCATGACGCGGCCAGCTGCTCATGCCAAGGAATCCTTGCTGCCCATGAAGAAGACAATCAAGAAGCGCAATGATAAGAAGGTAGGTAATAGCCTGTATTTGGTTGGACTGTGAATGCTAATTTCTCAAATTATTAGGCTGACTTTGAACGCTTCCAAGGCCGTGTTGATGGCCTCTTGAAAAAGCCCAAGCGCTCCGATCGCGACAATATGAACCTAGCCAAAGCAGAGACGGAGCTTGCCAATGCGAAAGTGGTACGCAGATAAAAAGCCTCACACCAAGATAACTCAAAGTACTAACCATATGCCAGGTTTACCAAGCAGCCGACGATGACCTTCGCCAACGCCTCCCAACCCTAATCTCTCTGGTCTTCTCTTTGACTCCATACCTCCTGGAAGCCCAAGTCGAGATCCAAAACCGTATGCTAGCACACTACTACACAGTCCTACACACCTACTGCGAAGAAGAAGGCTTCACCTCTCCTCCTCCGCCAATGGATCAAATCGTCCAAGACTGGGAATACGCCTACAACCCTATCCAGTCGCATATCGAAAGCTTCGGCTGCCTCCAACAAGGCAAAGCCCTCCGCAAAGCATCAGCCGACCAGCAAAACGGCAAACGGCCCTCGATAGGCGACCGCAAAGGAAGCACCGCCTCCTCACTATCAACCCTCTCAATTCGCAAGGGATCAACAGCCCCAACCCCAAACCTAGGACCCAACTCTTGCGTCCCCGAAGACTCGCCCTCGCCTCCTCTATCAACTACAACCCATCACAACGTAACAGTCTCCAGCTCTGGTGCCACAACACCCCTCTCCACAGGCGGTGATTCCTTCATGCCTACCCCACCAGCATCCATGCCAGCGAAGCCCATGCCGCAGGGCGTCATGCAGTTCGCACCCGCTGGTCCCAACATAGATTACTTCCAGTCTTCGGCGTCAGCCTCGCCGAGGGGCGGAACACCCATGGATACGGCCACTGCAATCGCTGCAAAGAAGAAGCGTCCTCCACCGCCCCCTCCCAAGCGTGCTGCGACCTTTGTAACCGCACTATATGATTTCGGTGGGCAGGGTGGTGATGATTTGGTTTTCCGCGAAGGTGATCAAATTCGCATTGTTCAGAAATCTGATAGTACGGATGATTGGTGGGAAGGTGAGTTGAGGGGGCAGAAGGGATTCTTCCCTGCGAATTATGTTGAGTGATTGGAAAATTACATGATACCTTGGGGGCTAGGATACGAAAATGCAAAATGGTGAGATCGAATCTGGGTTTTTTGTTCTTTGAGTATCGGGGCAATGACTACATACCTACCTATCCATATACGCAAATAATGGAATGTGTCGTTTTTCTTTTTTGAATCAGGTAAACGAAGGGCTTGTGTGATTATTTTGTTACTTTGGGTTCATACAATAGGGGTCATAACTTTGTTCACGGTGCTATGAAGTATTGGACCAGTTCTTGCAAATCCTCGAAGTGAGTAACGTTATGCCATTGTATGCATTATTTGTGATCTAACTCAGGCTTGCTTTTTTTGGCCCTTTCCCAGCGCCTCGGGTGTGTCATTTGGATCATAATAAATATGGGGGTTTGGGAAAACACTTATGGCCACTATTGTATATGTGTCTACAGTCCTGTGATATCGGGCTCAGCCCATGGCGGGAAGCGTAGCTAGCTGTGATTGTATGCTCCATCAGCGCTTTCGTCTCGCCATTCGCTTTGCCGACTATTTGACTAAGCGGAGAGTGGAGTCCGTACCTAGGTTTGCATCAGGGATCCGACGTGTCATTTTAATAGGTCTTGGGCTCTACAAAAGCCGTGGATGGGAAATGGTCCTGTTGACCTTTGTATCGCAAAAGGGCCCCGAGATGCTGGCCAGAAGATCAACTCTACTACAGTTCTAGTCACACAGCAGTCAGCTTTGAAGCTCATAACTTCTTGCCAGTCATGTCGACGACAAAAGCCAAGCGCAAGCGTGCGATGAGGGCATGCATTCCTTGCCATCAGCGCAAGCGAAAATGCGACACCATGTATCCTTGTGGCATGTGCACCACCTACGGATACAACTGCAGATACACCGACGACAACACCGCTGGTACTACTTGCGGCGTATCTATTCCGCCTCCAGCCAAACGCGTCAGCCTCGACGGTGAAAGTCGTCTGACGAGTCGTCGAGCCGCCATAGACCGCAGTCCGAGCAGCCAGTCCCATGTAGAGCAAGACCGCCGCGAAGGCGACGGCTCGTCGACAAAGAGTCCCACCGTCGTGACCGGCGCGTCCCCGGGCATCTTCGACGAGCAGAAATTCAGATACTCCGGGGGATCGGCGGCCATGGCATTTCCGCATATCCTGGGTGTGGCTCTTGGTTCCGACAACCCTCCAAAGATGCGATCGTTCGCTTACAACTTTGGCATTCGCCCCGAGGAGGCATCCAATGCTCACGAATTTCTGGGAGACCTCATCTCGGAGGAAGACCTTGGCTTCTTCTCGGGTGCGTACTTCTCGGTATTGGGCCCCATCGGCGACGTGATGGACCCCAGAAACTACGCCCGACGATGTCGAGATTACTACCAGAGTTCGGGCAGTGATGCGGTCGCCTTTGCCGCCGTGGCCGCCGGCGTCGCTGCTCTCGGCTCGTTCCTGTCTCCTAGTAGACATCCGCGGGAGTCTGACCTGGTGCAGTACGCCAAAGCCATCCTCGATGATCCGGCCTCCATGCGTTTGCACGGTATCGACCACATCGTCGCATGGGGCATGCGAGTGCTGTACCTACGGGCAACGACCCGGCCCAGCAATGCTTGGATTGCTTCGTGCACGCAAATGCACCTCTGTGAAGCGATAGGGCTTCACGAGGAAGAGAACATCAAGAAGATAGCGTCCATTGCTGGCGCCGCTGTCCTTGGACATGATGCGGACCGGCTGAGGAGAATTTTCTGGATCTCGTGGGCCGGGCATCACATGTTATCCTATGAGTACGACCGTTCGCCTGTAGGATTTCGGGCCGTGACTTGCCAGCCTATCATCTCGATGCCAGGTTCCATTGCTGATCAGTTCGTACAACTGGTCCAAATCATTCCATCGCCCAATTCTCCGTTCCAGCTCGAATTGCAGCCTCCAACTCCGGGTGAGGAGCTATTCAAGCGTTTTAAAGCGCTAGATAAGCTCCAATTCACCCATCCGTTTCTGGTGATGACTAAAGCGGACATTGCGTTTTGCTTCTATCGACGACTCTACCAGCTCAAGACCTACATACCGGACGATATCATTAAACTGGTCATTGATAGCGGCAACGCCGCAGTGGAAGCGGCTGAGCAGCAAGCTAGCCAGGGTCGTCTGTTCTGGAACGTCATCGGTAGCGTCTTCCAGTATACCTGCATCCTGTTGGCTATTGACACGCCGGCGGCCTCCGTCCACATTGGCACCGCGTTCAGGGGCTTGGAGAACCTTGTCAAGGCTGCCGATACAGCACTAACACGTGAGGCGTTGTCGATGGCGCGGTATCTACTTGGCCTTAATATGGCAAAGAAGCGAAGGGAACTTGCTCAGCTGGAAGCTGTCGAGGGGGCCTATGAATTCTTTCTTCCACCGCCGGAATCCGTGACCAACACTGCGGTGCCAGATATGTATTGGGAGGTGAACTGGGATCAATTCTTCATCGAGCCATTTGTACCCATATTCGGTCCTGACCTCTAGATATACCATTCTGGAGGTTGAAGACATGCTCGGAGTTCCGCCAGTCCGATCGTAAGTGAATCATCAATGCCATGCGCCTTGTGCGGCTTTATGTGCGGCCGTTGCGGACTTAATCCCTTACCGCCGCACTGGCCTATCGGGGGGTTTCAGCGGACCCAATGCGTGCGGCTACTGCGGCGATATTACAAGGCTGAGATGGAGCGGACCTAGAACTACAGCTCTCGAGGCTGGGTCTGAAATGTATAAATAGACGGGCATCCCCTGCTTCAGGGATAGCCAGACACTTACCACTCTCAAGCTTAAACACCTCGACCAAAATGCCCAAGTTCGCCAAAAACCAGTCCGTCGGCTTTAAGAATACTATCGAAAGAGTGGCCATTGTGGGCGTAAGCAAAGCTCCTTAACACCAAGTATACAGTAAACCTAACAAACTCCCTTAGGCTGGGGGTATCATTGGATCACATATTGCCAACGCCCTTCTGGCAACCGGAAGACACACAGTCACAGCTCTTTCCCGCAAAGACAGCAGTAATAGACTCCCCAAGGGCGTCCTAGTCGCTTCAGTCGACTACAATGATGAAGCCACCATTATTGCCGCCCTCAAGAACCAGCAATTCTTTATTATAACCATGGCCCCCACCGCACCCCGCGACACCCACAGCAAGCTCGTCCAGGCAGCCTCCAAGGCCGGTATTCCCTACGTCATGCCTAACGGATATGCCAGCGACATTGACGACATCAAACTCGGCGAAGACACAATGCTAGGCCCCATAGCCAAGGCTAACAGGGACGAGATTGAGAGACTCGGCATGCAGTGGATCACCGTGTGCTGTGGCTTCTGGTACGATTACAGCTTGGCGGGCGGAGATTCACGTTTTGGGTTCGATTTTGACAAGCGTTCCCTGACACTCTATGACGATGGCAACACCAAGAACTCGACATCGACGTTGAGGCAGGTTGGGCGCGCCGTGGCCAAGGTCCTGAGCCTTAATGAGCTTCCCGATGATGAAAATGATAACAGCCTTACTTTGTCGACATTCTTCAACAAGGGCGTGTACGTTAAGAGCTTTGAGGTCTGTCAAAATGATATGTTTGGGAGCGTTAAGCGTGTCACTGGCACCACTGACGCCGATTGGACTATTACCCGCGAGGATACCAAGAAGCGATACGAGGATGGTCTGGCGCAAGTGAGGACGGGTAATATGGCTGGATTTAGTAAGATGCTGTATGCGAGGGCTTTTTACCAGGATCTTTCTAGTGATCTCGCGGCCAAGGCGCAGAATGAGCTTCTTGGTTTGCCGGATGAGAGCCTGGATGAGTCTACCCAGGTTGGAATCGATTTGGTCAAGGAGCTGCAGCTTCGAGTTGAGCGTATGGCGGCTTAGGGAACAGTATATACATGTACGGATTTGAAGTAATTGATGCATGGATATACATGTGGAAACTGTAATTACTTTTGACATATTGACACTGTTACTTTTTCTTGCCACAAATCTGGGGCTCAGACAAGCAATATATATATTACGACAAATTTCAAAATTATTGAGCGAACATACCTAGAATAATCGTCAAATATTAGGAATAAGGTATCAGCAGCACTCAAGACAGATTGTAGAACGATATCGTTGGTAAGATGCGTAAAAAAAGCCGCGATAGAGGCAGCCGTTAGTACAAAAGAATATGCAATATGCAATATGGTTTTCACCAACATAACATCAGAAATTCCATTTGTAAACATCAACAAGCCAAGTGGTCGAGCAGTAACTCGGTCAGTCAATCTTCCTTGGTCTAGTGGTGATGATTTCCGCTTGTCATTAACACCGATAAGCGCGGGAGACCGGGGTTCGATTCCCCGAGGGAGAGTTTCTTTTTTTGAACCTTTCTTTTGCACACTTCTATACAAGTTTGCTTGTCTATGAAGGATGTGCATATTGACATTTATTCTTTGACCACAGTAAAGCCGTTGTAATGATAATTGATTGATTCATGCTGCATATACCTATCTCAAGTAAAGGTGCAAGAGTAGAAACTCCGTATACAGGACAGGAAGAATATAACAAATTAAACACAAAGGAAAACTGCCGAAAGTTAATCAAATACCATGCTGTTTGACTGATTCATGTTCAAATAAAAGCCTCGGTTGATGTCTTGTAATCAGTTGCTCCACCCATCTGATGGCGTCGACTATCCAAAAACATATCCACCATGCGCTTGTTTGAGATGGTAGAGTGAATGTCCCGAAGGTGATAGTTCTCCATCATGTCACTGAACTCATGTTGATGTTTTAAATTCTCGTTATTACCACGGGTATCTCGTTGGTTGCGCATGGACCGGAACTGACCAGGCTTGCCATCCTGCGCAATTGGTGGACGCCTGGCAGAGTACCGTCGGTGCTGCTCTTGAGTCCAAGATCGCTTAGCTCCGGTCCGCTCGGGGGTTGGGGACTCTGGGGGCTGCATGTTGCTGGATCTGATCCGGATTGGCGACAGCATCTCATCCTGAGCAATTTGGCTAGACTTGGGCGAAGCGTTTTCATTAGACATGGCGACTGTACCAGTAGCTGGGGTGCTTGAGTGAGTCTGTGCCGTGTTTCCTGAATCGAACTTCTGCGATGCCAAGATAGTCCCCATGTTGGAAGCTTGCCCGAAAGGACGGGAGAAATTGCCTTGTGATGGGACTCTGATTTCAGCCGAAGATTTGTGTTCGGCATAAATCTGGCTGGTTGGATCATTTAGCAAGCTTGTTGGCACCGGTTTAGGAATGGGGGTTTGGTGGGCTAAATTGGTAAAGTACTCGTCATCATCTTGGAATTGCGCATCTTCCCTGACGTGTTCCCTCGTGGGGCTTGCCTGCTCAATCCTGTCAATTTGGGAGCTTATCCATTGCTGCCAATCAGCACTGGGCTTGATATGAGTCCTGGAAGATGCAATACGAGCAGATCGCTTCGGTGAGCTGTAAGTAGTTCGCTGTGGAGCAAAGATTGTTGCTGTTCCAGGTCCATTGTGTAAGTCTAGCGTGTCAAGTAAATCAGTGCTGTCAGCATTTGTAGGAGTATTTCCACTGGTGGACCGGGAATAAACACTCGGAGACATCACATCTCTTTTTGAAACCCCGAATTGGGCAATGATGATGCTGCCGTCGTCATCCTCGGATCCCTCACCTGCAGCGTACATTGAACGCGGGGATTTGTCTTTGACATGTTGACTTGCTGCATGAACAGTCATCCCCCAGGAAGTCTGCATAGGAACAAAAGATCGGCTCAGATGTGGGCAATACGTGCGAGGGCTTGACTGATCACCACCGCGTGCTGTTGCGAATGACTTGAGCGAGGTCGAGGATTCCTCGCTTGGAACACGGCGGACACTGCGTTTACCGCGTTGAGAGTACACCGAAGTAGTCCGTTCTGGGATGACAGAATGCTCTGGCATAGACCCGAAAACGATTCCTTCATTGGGGTTTGAAAGAGCATTTCGACCCATTTGTTCGATCAAAGCAGAGTACAGGTCATGGCTGTCCACAACTCCCAATCGACGAGAATCTGATCTCACACCCAAAGGAAACTGACTCCCAGAGTCTCTCATGTCGCTTGCAGACATCATCTGATCCAAGTCGCCATCTTCTCTGATATAGGAGAGGGATCGGCGGTGCCCAGGTTTCCTGGTAGTAACGGTGTCCGCCATGCTGGAGTCAGCCCAACTGGTAACTCGAGACTTGCCAGTGTAAATGCTATCACAGCTGGGAGCATAGGGCATATCCAGGGAAGGACTGGGGGCGATGTAGCGCTGCGTTTCTTCGCTTTCGCGACGAGAACGATCCTGCGATCCTGCTGCAATGTGTGTTGCCTTGGAAGGCTCGGCGTACTTGGTGTCGGCCTGTGAGGCTGATTCTTCTGGCATCTTGGAAAATCCAAACACCCGCTTGAACCGGGTTTTGATGGAACTCGAGATACTTCGAGACTTGTTGCGAGGACCTCCAGTGTCCTGGTCAGTGCCACCCTCACTCGTGGCACGGAATGTCTTTCGGAACGGCCTGTGCTCCCTCCTGCGCCTGAGCAAGAAGGACGACCGACGAGTCTGGATTCCCACGTCCTCGAACTCGAGGTTGAATTGGCTTCGGGCCAGGCGAAGAGATTCATCGTGGATCTTGGCATCTTGGTCAGCTTGTAATTGACCACTTCCGTTCAGGAATGACATCGTGCGTCTCATTGTTCGTGGCAGGTGAAACCCGGGACTCCGTTCAGGATCGGAGGGATCACCACAGGGGAGTGCTGGCACTCCATACGGGGTCCGTGAAGTTCGCTGCCTGGTCGAGAACATTGATTTGGCTTTGCGCAGCCGACGATATGAAGAAGGAACAGAGCTGTTGCGCCCATCAAGACCCTTGAACTCTGTGATCGGTGGAAGAACAGCAGAATCATCGCCCCGCGAAGCCTGGCAAACTCCACTGCCTCTTTCTGTAGATTGAAGTGGGGTTGCAAATGCTGGGAAGCTTCCCTGAGTCCCATTCTCTGCATACCGAAGGCTTGATCCGGGGCGTCTTCGAGGAATGGCGATGTTCGCAGGACCACCCAGACGATCGTATGAGGTCTTTGACTCTTGGGACGACCTATCCCTTCCACGCATTGCCCGTGATGCTGCTGCAGTTGCTTGAAGCATGGAGACATCGTGGTTCACGATCTCGGGCTCTGGGACTCGCCGTGGTTTGCGGATTGAGCGGCTCGACATGGATCTTCGCAGTCGGTTCCGTGTAATGGATGAAGAAAACATGTTTCAAAAGTCTGTAGGGTATAAATTCTGATGTGGGAGATGTGAAGAGAATTATGCGATTAGTGGAAGCCGGGATAATGGCAAGGCCAGAGCAACTATGGAAGGAGCCATGGTAAATAGCAGGAGCGACTTCGTCTCTGTTTACACTTCCCAGTCCAAAGCCCACAATTTTCACAATCTACTGTAGTTCATCATTGATGTCCAGAAGGTCATCTAGTCGCATTGCAAAGCTTAGCGCCCTCTTTAAGCGCCATGAGTCACGCCAAGACACGTATTTTTGACGCATTCTGACTCAAGCTGAGGCTGTGAGTTACGATCCATCATGAGAGCTATCCATTAAGTATATAATAAAATTCGAGTGGCTTACAGTACAGACGCCAGGATATTCGACTACAGTTGAGTCCCAAAATGGCGCAACCCCGAGCAATCACGAAACAGAATCACGTCAACTTGAACGGACGAACCCTAGAAGGAGGTGGCCAGCTAGTCCGCATTGCGCTAGCACTGTCGACATTGACCAGCCGACCAGTCAGCATCGATCATGTTCGCGGAAACCGCCAGGGAAAGAAAGGATTGAAAGGATCTCATGTCGCAGCGGTCAAGTTGCTAGGCGAGATCAGCGACAGCAAAGTTTCGGGCAATGTTATCGGCTCCGAGTTCTTGAACATCACTCCAGAACACTCACAGTCAACCAACGGACCATTGGTTGATTTATCCCAAGTTGAGGTGCAGTCTGAATACGACATTCGCCTCCCGACAGCAGGGGCCATCTTCCTTGTCTTCCAAGCTCTCTATCCATACCTACTTCATGTTGGATCGAAGGCAGCAGCTCCATTTATCACAGTCACAATCACGGGTGGAACAAATGCAGCATTCTCACCATCATACGACTATGCAACACAAGTCCTTGTACCCAATTATGCTAGGCTTGGGCTACCTCCTCTTTTCATCCTCCTTCACAAGCGTGGCTGGTCATCAGGGCCGGTTGAGCTAGGATCAATACAATTCCTCATTCATCCACTTGAGAATCAAGATGCTTCGGACGAAGTGCAGAGAACAGAGTCACAGTCTGCAATCTCTGGGTTTCCTCGGATCAATCTCATGGACCACAAGTGTGGGGGAATCACGAAGATTGATATTACAATACTAGCACCAGATTCACCAGCCATCAATGCGGGAGAGGGCGGGATTACTGCTCGTCAGTTTATCGAGCAAGTTGTTCAAAAGACCCTGCGCCGTGCACTAAAGAAGTTGAATCCGTCTACATTTGCTCAGGCCTCGACTTCCAATCCAGAAGAGGACGACATTGCTAGAGATTTTGCCGATGACAGACCGGTTCCCATTGAGATCCACACATCGGAACCCACAAGCCACCGCAGTCATGTATACATCCTGCTTGTGGCCCATACCTTTTCAGGCTTCAGGATAGGACATGATGCTCTGGGTAGTATACCCAAAGATCCATTCGACCAAAGGAGAAAAGCAAGGCACAGAGGAAAGCAACAGCCGTCAAGTTCTCATTCTCGACCTGAAGCAGATGCTTACGGGATCAAGAGTCTGGTTGGTCGATGTGTGGATGGGTTCATTGAAGAGATCTCGAATGAGAGGCCATATCTAGATGACACAAGCCCCCCGGTAGCGAGCCATGCCTAGACCGACACATGCGAGATCAGATTGTCATTTTCGAGGAACTAGGAAAAGCATGCCATCCCGAAATTGAGGCAACCAACGAAGCACTAGAAGACAAGCGAGATTGGACCCTGCATACGAAGACTGCGGAGTGGGTATGCCGGCAGATGCTAGGAAATGGGTAACTGTCTGCTCCATACGAACCCGGAAAAAGAAAAAAAAGAATCATCGATCTAGCCCTCAGTAGCAAAAAGTAAAAATGAATCACGAGGATACTCAAAAACCACCCAAAACAAGATCCCATTCTTGGTACCTTCAATAGACCGACCTAGCCGTAAGCCTCAAAAACACCACCCGACTAACTTCAAAAACGGAAGAAACATCAGAATGGATAACTTCTAGCAGATCGATCAAGCACTTACCAGCCCCTCGGACTCACCAGATCCATACCAGCATCTCAAAATCCATCTACCCAGCTGCATAACATAGCAACAAAATTACTTCGTCCCCAACACAGAAATCCCCGTCCAGTGCCGCGTCACACGCAACCGCCCAAACCGAAACCCGAAATTACAGGATCCCCGCCACGATCCAAACAGAAGTAAGAGACGAAAAACCAGAGACCAGCGATCCAAACTACTGGACACGGACACGGACACGGACACACCGGGATTAAAGTGAAAGCCGTTTTGCGCTTCGACCCGACAAGAACAGGATCGTGTTCCAGACTCGGATCGGATATTCGGATGTGACAATCAACAGCTGAGATGGGATTGGATGTTTTCGGCTATCTGTAATTTGTGAAGTAATTGCTTGCAATTTGGTTGACACTTGTATCAGATCTAGGTTCATGCGCCGATCAATTTACAAACGGTAATGGGGGGGGGGGATCCCAGAGGAGCGGTTAGATTGAGTTGGGTTGTTGCTCGTATTTTGTTGTGGATAGATTGGACCGATTCTTGTACTTATTAAGCGGATGGTGAGGTTATCCACATCTTATGGAGCCGGATTTCGCGGATACGAGATTTGATGTGAAGTTTTTCCATGGTTGGCAGCTTGACAGGATTTTGTCTTGCACACGTTGTCGCATGTATGCGCCCGCTATAACTTAGTTAATTTAATTTAGATACATTCATGCATGTGCTGTAATTTCATACATTGAGAGAGCCATTCAGGATTCATGAAGTCATTTCGGATCATCTGTTCCGGTAGATTCCCTTGAATTCTGTTACGTTCGAGAGTAATACCAATACGAGATCCAGGGGAACAGCCACAGTTCCTCAAACCCTTCTAGAAGAGAGAAAAAAAAAACGGGAGAGACATCCCGTAGTGGAGGCGTGGCACAATCCCCACAGTTTCTACCCTGAAACAACGGACGATCGATTGCTGTGGCTGACACAAAGCAGGCAAGAAATACCGAAGGTAGAAAAGGGGCTGGGTTTAATTCATATGCAGCAACAGCACAGAAGCCTGGCAGAACCAGCTAGAAGACACGCTAGACACTAGACGCATTTAGCTCCACCTTGTTTTACATCTCATCTGTCAGAATAGTGGAATGTCTCTAACTGATATCCACTTTTACTCGTTTTGTCCCTGCTTTTGGGCTGTAGCATTGGGCTCTGACTTTCTCGATAATTGCGCTTCAGGCAGCCACTTTTGTGGATATCTCCCTTCCTTCTCTTTCCCTATAACAATAATCAGCACAATAGTTTCAGATGTGGACATCAATGGCAGGTGGATGCGAAGTTAGCTGCATCTGTATATGGTTCTGTGTTTGTGAAACAAGCGATCGACACCATTAGGTTGGGTTTCCCTTCTTCCTCCCAACCCCCCCCCCCCCCCCCCTTTTTTTTCTTCTCGCCCCGTTTGCTCTCGGATACCGGCGCTGCAGGTGTAACATTCTCCTCTCTACAGCCCCGGTGTGTGTTCATTTATTCTCCGAACACGAAAGCCCTGGGTCTGGATTTTCGATTCCCGGCCATGTGACCCGGTAGATCCTGCACCGTGCGGATCCATCCCGCGGCCGTATCCCCGTTCGTCTCCCGTACAGCCGGACAAAAAGGTTCAGTAGATAGTAGGCAGTGTCAGCGTAAGCCTAAGCCTACCTGCGCGTGCAAGTATCAGTGTAGGGGAGCCCATTAGGCACAGCCAAGACAAGCCAAGCAAACCTCAAAGACATCCCCGGCATCCAAGTACAATGACCAGAAAAGGAAAAAGCGTTGAGAAAGATCGACAGTAGCCCTAAGCACTAAGCACTAAGCACCAAGCACCAACAAGAACAATGTTGCCATGTCCATATCCATGCACATGTACTGCGGATCTAGATCCCGTCTTGAATCCCTCTGCCTAACCCGTGTGCGACATGACCAACCACAAACCAGTCAAGAGGACCAATTCAGCTCAAGCCATGGGCCAGCAACCAGGGGGGCTAGTAACGGGGCACCAGGACCAGGGACAGGGGACAACAGAGATCCAGATCCACAGATGCGGGCGAGGATCCAGGATCTAGCATCTAAAACAAAAACAAGCGCAGGTAGCGTGCTGGGTAGATGGAACTTGACAGGGGATATGGAAGGAGACCAGATCGGGGCTGATGCTTAGTAGGATGAAACGGCTTCAAGATGGGACTGGGAATGGGAATGGGAATGGGAATGGCGGGGCGTGCACGAGCGATGTTCCAAGTATGGATGGATCGTTTCATGCGGCTGAAGTTTATGAAAATAGAAATGCGAGTCGAACTCGAAACCGAAACCGGTTGGCATTGGGGGCCAAAAGGATCACAGCCCCAGTTTGTTCTGGTTCTGGTTCTGGCTTCGGAGGCTGGGAAGGAAAGTAACTTTCCTAACGGTTTTAGATCTGCAGGGCTGAGCCTCACTTTAATCTGGACTTTTAGTGGAAACTTGGGTAGGATGACATCAATGGCTATTTAGAAAGACAATAGAATAAAATAATAAGGTATCTAGCACTAAGGGAGCTGAAAATGGTATGACATGAACATAATAAGGTAAGAAAAAAAGACAGGGGTGGGTATGGGCGTCACAAAGTAAAAAGAACAAAAGGAAAACAGGGCATAACCGAAAAAAAAACCAGAGCCAAGGAAAAAATCAACACACAAGCACACGTATGCGCAAGGAAATAGTCAATAAAAATAAGAATGATGGGAGGTCACTTCCATTTCCACTGTGCCTACGCCTGTAGGGTGGGTAGGTAGCTGGAGAACCCCCATCAGCATCAGCGCCACTGCCCACCAGTGGCAGATCCATGTGTTCCATAGGTATCCATGCAAAATGCGATCTATATATCCTCCATGCAAAAAAAGAAAAAAAGGCAGATAGAGCCGGTCTTTGTCCCCCCGAAATCAACCCAAATGAGCGAAAATGGAAACTGTTGACGGAACATTCATGTTCATGCATGCCGGGTTTCTCGGGGGGTGTATGAGAAAAAGGGAAACCGCGCAATGGACATCCTTCCCCTCCGACCCGGCGGACGAGGAAGACAGTCATGCGCGATCAAGAGATGAGGATCAAGTGGGGAGGAGGGGGCAAATCAAGAATTCATGGCAAAGATGGCCGCCGTCGTTAGATGTGACAAAGAAACTCCCGGCGATGCATATGAGAGATGTGGAGAGGGAGGGGGAAGAGAGAGAAAGAGGCAGAGAGATGACCAGAGGTCAAAAGACAAAGTAGAGAAGTAGACAAAGAACGACCGGAGATCATCGATCAGGTCCCAGCCAGCAGGACGAAATCACACCTGTTAATGGTTTTCTGGACCGTCCCGGAGTGCGCGCTTCTCTTTACACTCGGGGCTCGGGCGCCTTGGTTGAGGATTCGCCAAAGATCTCTGAGGGCAGCATGCGCTTGTACTCGCGCGGCTGGGCGAATGGAGAAGCTGATGCTGGGCGGCGCAAGTTGAGAGACTGAGGTATGTTAGCTATCATACTAGCGAAAATAGAATATAGACAAAAGGTAAACATACTACACAGTCAGAGCACTTGGAGCCTTGTCTGTTGACACGGCCTCGGCATCCGCGGGGGTAGTTGGCGCATGAATACATGGTGATGGTATGTAGTGTGTAGTGTGGTGTGGTAGTTTGGTGTGAGATAGTGTAGTGTGGTACACGGAGTAGTCAAAGAGACAAAGGCGATGACGTCGGAGAAGGGGGATGGAGAAAGCAAGAATTAGAGGTCAAGGCGGAGGAAGAGACGGGGTTTATATCAGAGGCTCAAAAAGATGGCTTAGGCCTGTAGAAATTTTAGGGTTCCATTATTTCTTTTTATTTTATTTTCTTTAATCTCTCTCTTACGCTTTACAGATCTCCCGGAGCCGGTTTGATCGGCTCTTAGATCCCTTTTATTCTCGACTTAACGTAAGTTATATCCTTTATATTTCCTTCACATCTTCTCCAAACTTACATTCGAAACCACAGCTTCAGCTGTTTACTCTATTGTACCGTAATTTTAGGCCGTTTCGAGTTAAGGCCTCGGGCCTCTTGTTCTGGAAACATCCCCACAACTCAGGGGATATTCCTCGATTGTCCCCTTTAGGCCTGTTTGGAAACCTTGGAACATTCTGATCTTCTCCTGATCAGCCCTGTCACTGTACATACATACATGTACATGTAGGTAATCGGTAAAGTAATCTAGGGGGAAATAGGAAAATGTTCAGGCCCTTCGGTAGGGGATAACCCCCTATTACTATAGCCAATTTCAATGAAACTTACAAACAATTCAATTCAACCCTTTGACGTGGCCATTCCAGATTTGCTCTGGATTTCTCCCTTTCATCCCAGAATCCCTGTGGAGGCTGGTGGATCCCGACCTTTTTTTCCTTTTTTCCCCCTCTATTTTTCTTTTTTTCTTTTTTTCTTTTTCTTTTCTTTTTTTTTTTTTTTTTTTTTTTCACACTTCCATCCCATCCCGCCTCCGGCAAATGCCATGGAATGAATAGATCTAGAAGCTTGACTATTGATACTTCTAATAAAACGCTTGCTTGGCAAGCGTCGTACTGCGTTCCGGTGAGAGGTCGACGTGGCTGATGTTTAAGCTGCGTCACTTGAATGGCTCATGTGGTCCTGGGTGTGACGGGTACTTGTATGCCTTTTTGTTGTGTCTCCACTGCAGGAACATGTTCCAGAAGTTTTGTACTTGTCTTCTGCAGACCACTGCAGTGGCATATAGTGCTGGTAAATGGTCTCAGCCATTGCATCACAGCCATTCAGTCGTTGCCCAAAGCGATTATCGGAGGTTTTCAAGCCAGTGACCTCATTCAGCGCCATCTTACCTGCATTCTGCATCCAGACCGTTTCGGATCGGCTCGGTTCATGTGACCCTCTGGGCTTGCTAAACGAAGAATACTCATTGGGTTGTCCTAGCAGCCGATAGCCGGTCTACTGCGATTATCTGATGAATTCATCGTCACAGGACTAATTCTGGATCCTGGATCCTTGGTGCTGATGCAACATTACAAAGAGCCGAGGCGAACAGTATTGCATGATCATTCTTCCGAATACACGCAAATGTTTCCCGGTCAAACAAAATTCAAACCTCCATAGATCGAAGAAGCATCCATGCCCCGAAGATACCCCCCACCAGCACAAACAACAATCGGTTGCCTTCCCAGGTCAGCCCCAGATACGCAGCAACACCCACCACCACCTCCTTCCGACGCGCCATGTCCCGCCTAGCCTGCCAATTCGGATCAAGGGAGAACGGAGCGACATCTCGCGTCTCCGGTCTCGTGTGATTCTCGGAGGGTTTCAGCGGCACGGAAGCTACGAGCGCAACGGGGCGATGATCTGACTGTGCAAAGAGAGGCAGTGCTTCATATGCGAATGTTTGTACTTTTCCACCTTCACCTACCCATGAGGGCGTGTCCAGGTAGAGGATTCGATCGCACCAGCTGGGCCAGCGGTGGCTGGACCATTTCCATTCCTGGTCTGTGTCCAACCCCTGTCGTGCGGCTTCGCGTGCTGCGTCCGAGTATTTGTATGTTGGGGGGAAGTCAATCGGCGCTTCTGCTAGCCCGTGGAAACATCGGCCGGATCGCATCTCGCGCGTGAGCTGGTCATTCTTTAGCAGGTGTGTGTAGTGCGATGGGTCGTCCAGGCCCGCGTTGCGCCGTGGGAAGTTCACTATCTCCTTGAGCGATGGTCCAGTGTCTGAGGTGCGATAGTTGAGGTCTCCAGCGAGGAAGAGGTAGGCGTTTGGCGCGAAGAGGTCGCGACGACTGTGGTCGGAGTGTGCTGAGGCTGCGTCGTTCAGGAGGCCGGTTTGTTCGCTGACTTCTGACTCTGGTTGCACGCCCGGGTAGTGCGTGAATACAAGGCGCTCAACAATACTTTTCCAGTCCATGTTCCTTTGTTCAAAGGAATTCTCCATGGGGGCCAGATGCGCCGCGACAAAAGTCAGATCGACAGTCTTGGTCGGGTTCGCTTCCACGACATACCCCAGACGAGCGCCGACAGCACCTTTGTTTCCCATTTCCGAAACTCCAAATCCGACATGTGCTGTGTCCTTCCAGGCGATCTGCTCGAGGGTATCGTGGCGCGCGAAGAGCATCAGGCCGGTCATGCCGGTATTATCGCTGAGGAAATTCTCGTAGTGATGGTCCCAACGGCGCGCGGCCGCTTTGCTAACGGCGCGTCGGAATGCATCGAAGTAAGGCTGGAGGTAGGATCCTCCGAGGAACGAGTAGGCGATGGGTGCGATTTCTTGTAGTGAGAGGAATATTAGGTCTGGTGCGGAGCTCCCCCACCCGACGCGGGGAGCGCATCGAAAAAGTGTTGCGCGAAATGGTCGACATCGACAAGGTTCCTTGCACAGTTGAAGGTCAGGCTGTAGATACCAAGGGAATCCATTTTGGCCACCTATAGTCCGAACAGAAGAGAGAATGAGAAAGGTAAGTTGGGATAAGTGAGTGACGTCACTTGACTTGACCGCCACGAACTGAAAGTAAACACGGCCTAAGGTTTATAGTTTACTGGCCATTCTCTTGTCCACTGAGACTGTGCTGCTAATCAACAAGGAACAATTAAACTAGACTGCGCACACATAAGCTAAATCATGGATCAAACCAAAAAAAAATACTAAAAAGAATGTGCATCATCCGTGAATCGAACACGGGCCTCGTCGATGGCAACGACGAATTCTACCACTAGACCAATGATGCTGGAACATCAAAGAGCTAGAAATGCTGATTGGCTGTTAATATCTGCTGTTCTCCAATTGTATTCTTGACGGGACTCGACTACTATACACATCAAGTCTGCTACACTAATTTATAACTTCCCTCTTACTTCCACATGGCCACCACTCGGCTCCAATTCAACCAACAACATACCCTCAGCAACATCCTCCTCCTCATCCTCCATCTCATGAACCCACTTAACCCGTCCAGCACGAGGGCTGCGTACCTCCAGCTCCATCTTCATCTGCTTAACGAAAGCCAGGACCTGGTTCTTGGCAACATCTTCGCCGTCGGCCACGAGAACCTCGATCAGTTTGCCGGAAAGAGGGAGGACGATGTGCTGGGGGTTCTTTATATCGCCTCGTCGGTGGGATGAGGAGACCAATGCTGACGCGGCTGTTGATGTTGTTTCGAGTTTCATCCGGTAGGGAATTGCTGTACGGGATGTTGGTGTGGTATATTCGATCTCGGCGGCTAGAGAAGTGGGGAATTCATTGCGCAGTACCCGAGAGAGGAGGAGATGATGGGATACTTTATCTGCTTGTTGGTCCTCTGAGAGAGGCTCCAACGTGATGGACCACGCATCTCCCTTTTGGAATAGTAGATTGGATGCTGGCAGGGTACTCTGTGTGATTGCCTGTGAGGGGGCAGTAGATCCCTCTTGCATCTGTAGAGCCTTCGATATATTCTCTCCGTGCTGCAGTATAGACTTGAGACTCAACCCGAGCCATTGTGTGTCGACTCTGCCGGACATGAAATCAGGATGGGCCACGATTCCCCGGAGCAGATTGATGTTGGTTTTCACCCCGTCTATGCGGGAGTCGGCCAGGACTCTCTGAGCCTTTCTCACGGCTGCTTCCCAGGTTGGTGCTGTGACAATAATCTTCGCCAATAGGTTGTCGAAATTAGATCCCACGATCAATGGGGAACCGGTGATATTGACATTGGTATCGACTCGTATTCCATTTCCGCTTGGGACACTGAATCGAGTCACCTTGCCAATGCTCAAAGCGAAGTTGTTGCTAGGGTCCTCGGCACACAATCTGAGTTGGACGGAGAAGGAATTTGGTGGAGTATTGAATGCATTAGTCGCATCACCAAGGCCCAATTCCGTGAACGTATATCCCTGCGCCAACAAAAGCTGCGTCTGCACCAAGTCTATCCCACTGATAGCTTCGGTGATAGTATGCTCAACCTGAAGACGAGGATTGACCTCCAAGAAATAAAACTCCCCGCGCAACTCACTGACCAAAAACTCAAACGTCCCAAGCGACTTGTAGCAAATATGATTCGCCATCTTAATCGCAGACTCAATCACTCGCCCAATCAACGCCCGATCCATCAAAGCAGGAGCACACTCAACAACCTTCTGAAACCGTCGTTGAGCACTACAATCTCGCTCCCACAGATGCCTCACCTGCCCCGTGCCATCACCAACAATCTGAATCTCAACATGATGAAACCCATCAACAGCAGCCTTCTCAACGAACACCGTATGCGAAGGCGACTCCCCAATAGCACGCTGAATGCCATTATCCAACTCAGCCTCTTCACGCACAAGCCGAATGCCACGCCCACCACCACCATCAACGGCCTTAATCATAACAGGAAACCCAACAGCGCGAGCAAACGCACCCGCTTCATCCACACTAGCGGTGGGCTGTGCCATAGCTTCTAGAACAGGAACACCACATTGCCGTGCAAGCTGTTTCGCTTGGAGCTTGTCACCTGTTCGGGCGAGGTTCTCCCAGCCGGGTCCTATGACAATTGCGCCGGCTTCGTGCCACATCCGCTCGGCGAACTCGGCACTTTCGCTGAGGAAGCCATAGCCTGGGTGTACAGCGTCGATGGAGTGCTTGCGCGCTAGATTTACTAGGTGGGTTATGTCAAGGTAGGTGGCTGCTGAGGGGATTTGGATTGCTTGTTGGGGTCGGCCTAGATCACAGTGTGTTCTGTCGTCTGTTGTATAGAGTGCGTATGTCTCGACTTGATTGGGTAATTCTCTTGCTGCATGGAGGATGCGGACGGCGATTTCTCCTCTTTTTGGATGTTTAGAGATTGATTCATTGTGTTGTGAATGGGCAATGACTTCATACCTGTTGGCGACCAGCAATCGCTTGATAGGTGAGTGCGGGGACGACATGGGGAAATGGACAAGCTTTAAGGCCGGGGGCATATATATCGGCACGTAAGTTAGTCGACAGCGATAATGTTTGAATCGATTTAAATAAAGAGTAATATCTCAAGCGTAATATCGTTCAAGATCCATTGCTATCGGATTTAATACTCCCAGATATCCTTATAACCCAAAAGTGACCTCGGCCCTCGGAAAGGCCACCCCCTCACTCCATCTAGTATCTTTAAATCTCCAATTCTACACCGAACACGACTGAACACCGAACGACTGAACTGAAAAAAAAAAAAAAAAACAATATCAAGTAAATACATTCACCATGGCGAAAGACGAGAAACCATCTCCAACAGCAGCAACAAGAGACCAAGCAACAAACCGTCTAAACCAACTTGCATCACAAATATCCCCAAAACAAAAAAACCCCAAACCAAATCTCCCAGCAGACCACTCAGACGTCCTAAACCAAATAAAAGACCTCCGCATCATAGCAGCAACCCCCGATCCAAAGAACAGAGGCTACATCCGGCAAAAGCAAGCCGGAAAACTATGGGTGCGCGAACGAATCGAAGCCCTGCTAGACAGCAACACCTTCACAGAAATCGGCTCTGTGTCGGGCACAGTAACATGGGCAAAGACAGCACCAAGATGCGAAAAGCCCGTATCCTTCATCCCAAGCAATAACGTGCAAGGCGCGGGCCTTCTGCGCGGCCGGAAAGTCCTCCTTACAGCTGATGATTTCAGTATCCGGTCTGGTCATGCTGATGGCGCTAGTACCGGCAAGACGGTTTATGTCGAGAAACTTGCTATTGCGTTGCGGCTTCCGGTTGTTAAGCTTGTTGATGGGAGTTCGGGCGGTGGGAGTGTGACTACTATCAAGAAGGAGGGGTGGAGTTATTTACCTCATGTTGCTTCTTTTCCGTTTGTTGTCCAGCAGTTGAATATGGGGATTCCAAACTTGGGGGCTGTTGTTGGTCCTGCGGTTAGTCCTTTGATTCCGGTGAGGTGTATGGGGTTGCTGATGTTTGTAGATTGGACTCGGCGCGGCAAGAGTTGTTTCTTGTCACTTCTCTGTCATGGCTGCCGATATTGGCGCCCTATTTAATGCTGGCCCTAAAGTCGTCGAGGGCGCTACCTTCGAGGAAGGTCTTGATTTCCAAAATTTGGGCGGTCCTATGGTTCATTGTATGAACGGTACAATTGACAACCTCGCTGCCAACGAGGCAGAATGCTATGAGCAATTACGGATCGTCTTGAGCTACCTCCCCAACTCAGGAAGGGAGGCGCCTCCGGTGATCTCCTGCACAGACCCAGAACACCGCGAGGATATCGCACTGCGCAGTATCATTCCCAGACGTCAAGCCCGCATGTACGATGCGCGATCGGTCATCACATCAGTTGTTGATCAAGATTCCTGGTTCGAGATCGGCGCACTCTGGGGTCGAACTGCTATCGGCGGACTTGCACGTCTAGGCGGACGTCCTGTGGGCATTATTTCCCTGAACTGTGAAGTCAACGGTGGTGCATTAGATGCAGCAGGGAGCCAGAAACTCACTCGGCTGCTTAAGCTGTGTGATGTGATGAATTTGCCTATTTTGCAGTTCCTTGATGTCCGTAAGTGGAACTATACATCTCCCCTGCCCTCCCCTGCCTTTGAATTTGGTGATTGTATCTGACATTGTGTGCTCGAAGCTGGGTATGCTATTGGAACTGTTGCGGAGCGCACTGCTACTATGCGCTGGGGCGTTGAACTTGCCAAGGCGTATTTCAGCACGACTGTACCGGTTTTTAATGTGGTCACGCGCCGTGTGTTTGGCGTTGCCGGTGGTGTTATGCTTGGATGCCGAGATCCTGTTATGCAGGTTGCTTGGCCGTCTGGACAGTGGGGTTCGTTGCCACTTGATGGCGGTATTGAGGTTGGTCATAGGCATGAATTGAGAGAAGCCGAGAAAGTTGGTAAGAAGGAGGAGCGGTACCAAGAGTTGGAAGAGGAATATCTTCGGCTTATGAACCCCGTGCGCACTGCGAATGCGTTTGGGGTTGAGGAGATTATTGACCCGAAGGATACGCGTAAGGTCTGTTGTTCGTGGGCTGAGCATGTTTACGAGGTGCTTATTCGAGAGAGATTGGCGGATCGGGCATCTGGGAAAATTTCGCCTACTTTTGCTTGATTTTGTCCCAGTCATGAAGTTGGTGGTTGGATTAGAGAATAGGGCTGATGTGCAGATGTGCAGCTGTCAACCCCTCTACACATCACCATCAATCTTCAATCGTCTAAACCACAAACCTCATATACAATTCCAACATCATAACATCCAAACAATCCCACATAAAAACCAACCCCCCACAATCCCCAAATAAGCATTATACGCGACCCAAAAAACGGCAGATTACATAACCAATATAAAAAACGATCTCCGATATCGAAACAAATCCCCCACTTCACCTCAGCACATATCCAAAATCCCAATTCCAAACCAAACCCCAAAGAAAATGGCAACAATCAAAATCCTAGATGGAGGCCTAGGCACCTCCCTAGGCGATCAATACAACATAAAATTCGACAGCGCAACAACTCCCCTCTGGGCCAGCCACCTACTAGTCAGCGACCCAGCCACACTCCAAGCCTGCCAACAAGACTTCGGCAATGCAGGAGTAGACATCCTGCTCACAGCAACCTATCAAGTCTCCGCGCGCGGATTCGCACTCACAAAGACACAAGCGCACCCAGACGGCATCCCCGCCAGCGCAGTGGGCCCTTACCTAACGCGCTCGGTGGATATCGCCGAAGCAGCCAAGGTGCACGACGCCGCCGCTGTCGCGTTGAGTCTGGGGCCGTATGGTGCTTGTATGATTCCTGGTCAGGAGTATAGTGGGGCTTATGACGCTGAGCATGACAACGAGGAGGCGTTGTATGTTTGGCATTTGGAGCGGTTGAGAATGTTTGTTGAGGCTGATGAGGGGAAGTTGGGGGATCGGTTGCATTATGTTGCTTTCGAGACGCTGCCTAGGCTTGATGAGGTTCGGGCTGTTAGGAGGGCGATTCGTGATTCGGGGATTACGGCGCCTTACTGGGTTGCTTGTGTTTTCCCCGGGGATGAGGGAGTTTTGCCTGATGGGAGTGATATTGATTCTGTTGTGCGGGCGGCTGTTGGGCCGATTGAGGGTGGGAAGGCGCCTTGGGGTATTGGGATGAATTGTACTAAGATTCATAAGCTTCCTGGGCTTGTGGAGAAGTTTGGGACTGCTGTTGATGCCGCTATTAAGGAGGGGATTGTGGATGCCGCTCCTTCTTTGGTTTTGTATCCTGATGGGACCAATGGGGAGGTTTATAATACCACTACGCAGGTTTGGGAGAAGCCGGATGGATTGGGTGATAATGTGAGAGATTCTGTGAGTCCGGGTTTTGGCCCGTTTTTGCGTGTTTTGAGGGATGGCTTTGCTAACTTTGGGATTAGGAGCCCTGGGAGAACCAATTGGCCAAGGTGGTCAATGATGCTTATGATCAGGGTCATTTCAAGGAGTTCCTTGTTGGTGGATGCTGCAAAGCTTCTCACCAAGATATCAGAAAGCTCAAAGAGCAATTCAAAATCAAATAATCAGCTTATATGGCAGAAAAATGGATAATTACAATGTCTTGAAACAAGATATGGTTGAAAAGTAAATAAATTGTAAATCGCTCATGTTCGCTCATGTTGAATGGCCTGCACTGCATGGCATGCAATATAATACATCGTTAATTCATTTTAAAACAGCCAGTCGACGAATTTTCTCCACGCACTGTTGTGCGGGTTTTCATGTGGCATGATCTCCCCATCTTGAAGACGTCCCGACCATAAGTCGATGTTGGCAGCACGCTCAAACTTCGTGCCGTGCCAGAGCTTCCAACAAATGATGGGAACGATAAAGATGGGGATACCGACATACGAAGCAACAAAGTCGGATGTGTTCCAATTACCCTTCAAGAACACGGGGAAACCGGCCACCAAAGTAATAATGGTTGAACCAATGAATCCCACCCATGCGGCATAAGGTTGAAGAGGTGCCTTCCATGGAATTGTGTCTCGGGGAACATTCTGCTTCTTCATTGCGGCATAGAACCGAATGTAGCAGAAGCAGAGGGTGGCCCAGGCAATCAAACCTGCGACAGTGCTAAGGTTCAGAAGCCAGGTGAAGGCCTGAGCGGCACCGCCGGTGCCAAGACTCAGATATGCCAATGGACCGAAGAGCCAAGCAGTGATGACAGCCACATATGGCACACCGTGCTTGTCGACGCGTCCGAAGAACTGGGGGAGTTGGTGGTCGGTGGTCATGGCGACGATCATGCGCGATCCGACCCAGCAGTAAGAGTTACCGGCCGACCAAGCGGCAATCAGAATGCACGCATTGACAATAGAAGGGAGTGCCTTGATACCAGCATTGGAAATAGCAATAACGAAAGGCGAGCTGTTGGCGTTGTCGGAGCCGGAAGTCAGGCCGGAGGCTCTGGGGTCCACAATCAGGCCGATGAGGAAAGCACCGAGAATGTAGAAGAAGGCAATTCGGTAGGTGACTCGGCGGGCGGCTTTGGGGATCGCGCGATGGGGGTCAACCGATTCGGATGCTGTGATGACCACACACTCGACACCGATGAAACTGAATGAGGCATTGACGAAAGAGGACAGGAAACCAAGGAAGTGGCCTGGCGGGCCTGTAATGCCATTGTAGTTGGTCCACGGCCCAGGGTTGTTCCAGTAGCGGAAGCCGATGGCATCGCCGTTGGGACCGCCACCTGCAGTAATGACGATCGAGACGACCACCAAGCCGAGGAAGCAAAGAACCTTTACGGCACCTCCAATGACCTCTGATTCACCATAGAATCGTACACTCAGCAAATTGATGGCCAGAATCAGCAACAATCCGACCGTGATCACGACTGCAGGCGTTATATCCGTCCAATATGACACAATGACCGCAGCCGCGGACACTTCCGAGGCGATAGCGATTGTATAACAGTATCCGTATGAAATAGCGAGCGAAAAACCGACAGCCGGGTCAATAAATCGAGTCGCCCAGTGAGGGAAAGATCCGGCGGTAGGGAAAAGAGTTGCGAGTTCGGCGATGCTCTGCATCACACACCACAGCACACCTCCGACAATAATGTAAGCGAGCAGCAAACCAGCGGGACCGGCTTTGGCGTATGCAGAACCCGTTCCGACGAACAGACCAGTACCGATTCCACTGCAGAATCCAATCATGGTGACCTGGTAATTCCGTAGGCGACGCTGCAGCGCGGCGCGACCGCCGACGTTGAGCTCGAATTCTGCTTTAGGGTTCACATCGTACTCGTCGAAGTCTGCATTGGGCGCAGGCTGGACCTTGTCGTCCGTGAATCCTGACTTTTCCATGGTGTGTGTCATGGTCAAGTCTTGTTATCCCCCAGAAACTTGAAGAAAGGAAAGTCCAGATGGGAAGAAGGTTCCTTTTGTTCCGAGCTAATCGCGGAGCACGACATCGGGTCCGTCTTCGCAGTGAAATTCTCCACAGACTGTACAGCGGGGAGGCTCATTGGATTGTATGGCCGCTTGCTCCACTTTTGAGGAGGCGATTGACTAACTTTTTCATCTTCGCCATAATCACGATAGAAGGCAAATCGGTGGCTTTTGTTTCAATCCGAATTCTAGATAATGTCGGCGTTATTAGTTGATGATTGAAGACCTTGGACGCTGGCGGTCGAAGTGTTGCATGCCAGTCGGCAAGCCGATGGAAAAATTTGAATTTGAATTAACGTTAACGTATTCGGTAAGCGAGCTGGACATGTAAGCGAGCTGGACACCCATCCAAAACGCGTAATTCCTATACTACCCTCTATCTTTAACCACCCACTATGCCACCAATTCGCTCTCAAAGCTCTCGAAATCGAGAAGAGCAAGAGGGTAGGATCTTATTAGCTATTCAGGCTCTTAAGAATCAAGAAATTGCTTCTACACGCGAAGCAGCGCGTCGATTTAATGTACCGAATTCAACCCTCTCTACGCGCCTTAAGGGTGTCCAAAACCGCGCGATTTCTCGCGCCAATTCACACAAATTAACGGATATCGAAGAGGAATCGCTTCAAAAATGGATTATCTCTCTTGATACCCGTGGAGCAGCGCCTCGGCCTTCTACTGTACGAGAAACTGCGAATCTTCTTCTCGCGGCCCGCGGAAGTATACTAGTTCAAACAGTCGGCGAGAAATGGGTCTATAACTTCGTGAAAAGGCATCCCGATCTTTTAACCCGATTCTCGAAGCGATATAACTACGAGCGCGCAAAATGCGAAGACCCTAAAGTTATTCGTGAATGGTTTTCTCTCGTCCAAAAAACGATCCTTTCGTACGGTATCGATTCCGACGATATCTACAACTTTGACGAGACCGGTTTCGCAATGGGCTTAATTGCGACCGCGAAGGTGATCACGAGAAGGGAATTCTACGGTCGGCGAGCACTTTTATAACCCGGAAATCGCGAGTGGGTTACCGCAATTGAATGTATAAATGTGTCGGGGTGGGCGCTTCCTCCGTGCGTGATTTTTAAGGGCAAAGTCTTCGTCGAGTCTTGGTTCGACGGCCTTCCGAAAGATTGGCGCCTCGAGGTTAGTCCGAACGGGTGGACTTCCGATGAAATTGGACTTCGGTGGCTCGAAAAGCTCTTTATTCCGTCTACTTCTTCGCGTACGAAGGGGAAGTATAGACTTTTGATACTCGACGGCCACGGAAGTCATTTAACCCCGAAATTCGACGAAATTTGTGAAAAAAACGATATTATTCCAATTTGTATGCCTCTATATTCGTCTCACCTTTTATAGCCTCTCGATATTGGCTATTTTGCGGTATTAAAACGCTCGTATAGTCGGCTTATCGAAACGAAAATGCGGCTTAGGATCAACTATATCGATAAATTAGACTTCCTCGAAGCTTACCTATCCGCGCGAATCGAGGCATTTAAATCGGAGACTATTAAGAATTGCTTCGCCGCCGCTGGTTTAGTGCCTTACGACCCGGATCGAGTAATCTCGAAGCTCGATATTCGCCTTCGAACCCCGACCCCCCTCCGAGCCGAGGGAGTGAATCGAGCCGTAATTTCACACCAAAAACCCCCTTTACCGAGAAACAACTACGTCGGCAAGCTTCCTCAATTAAAGCTTTACTTCGTACAAGATCGCGAAGTCCACCGAGCCCATCAGATCGCGCGTTAAATCAGCTTATCAAAGGCTGCCAGCTTGCAATGCATAACGCTATATTTCTAGCGAAGGAAAATAAGGAATTACGGGCCGAAAACGAGAAAAAAAAGAGAAAACGGACTCGGTCTACTAGGCAGATATCTCGAGAGCAAGGCCTATCAGTTTCAGAGGCTCTAGAGCTTATTTAGGTGGAAGAACCAGTAATTGAAGCGCCAATACCCCGTCAGCCAAAACCGCCTCCGGCACCTTTACAGCCGCGTACGAGGGCCTTACCGAAGTGTGGAGCATGTGGAATTGAGGGTCATAAGAGAAATGCCTGTCCTAATAGACCTCGATTTTAGCTTATTGAATTTAATGGCGTTTTGGTTGACATAATTGTATTTAAAAATAATTGGTTTGGATGGGTGTCCAGCTCGCTTACATGTCCAGCTCGCTTACCGAATACGTTAAAGGTTGACACCTGAGTCGCCAGGCACCTTACAGCCTAAGGCAATCAACCTTATTTCCGTCAGATCGTTTAGCCGATTGGACCGTAGATCTTGGAAGGTTAACCCCATGGATTAGCTTATAACAGCCATTTGCTTTCTACTTGCGATGGAAGGGAGAGACAAGAAAAATGTGAGCGAACATGTCCTCGAATTTGTGTAGATTTTGACAAATTGGTCTCCAACGCAGGAATGGAAGACCCTACGTGGTCAACTTAGAGGCGCAGCAAGTAGCCAATCTAACAGGATATCGCAATGCTAGTTGTTGAGAGATAACATTGTTGCATAGTGGAAGCATACAAGTCTCATTTTCTATAGACGCTGGCCTCCGCCCATCTTCAATCCCGCACCTAAACCGTACTAAGCTATGCCCTAGTCATGGTGTTGTTCAATAGACAGAGCCAGTCGAAGCAAAAGACCGTGAGGTTTCAAAAATTATAGTATGGCTCTGGATTCATATTGACAAAACTCTCCATAGCCACCGCATTCATCGGACGCTAAGCAAAATAGGCTAAAATTGTTATATAAAGGCCCAGAACCTGACACTAAAGTTGAGTATGTCGCCCTTCCTTAGCTCCAAGCTCAGAGACAACTTACCAAAATTGAAAGTATTGTTGCCGTTCACGGTCTAGGCGGTCACTGTGAAGGATCATGGGCAGCAGCCAATGAAGTAAATTGGCTTCGAGAGTTGTTACCGGTTGACATGCCCAATACCCGAATTGCTTCCTGGGGATGCAGTACATCAAATGGAGGTGGGACAAGGGACTGTCCCATCACAAGGTTTCTTAGAAACTTGTATCTGATCTATGGGACCTGAGATCGTCGACATAAGTAAGCTCAAACGCTCTCATTCTTACAAGAACTAACATATGTGAAACAGACAATGTCGTGTCCTATAACATTCATTGCGTATAGTCTAGAGGAAATATAGCTAAGCGTTTATGTACATACATGCCGAAACTACGGAGTTCCTATTAATCGTTCTCTAAGGCCCTACTTCATTCAGACTCAGCACAAGAAAGCCCAGCATGGATGTTCACATTATCAAGAAATCAACCCTTGGAGTGATTTCCATGGGAACACCTGAGCTAGACTTGAGGAGTCATGGATTACAGAGTTACCTTACCAGCATGAAGGGATCTGACCAAGAGTCAAGCGACACATACCAAGAAGCACATTGGTTGGTCGATACATTGCAGGTATGTGCATCAACCAGCAAAACATTCTGGACTTTGTTTGTTCATGAGGATCAAATTCCCTAGGAGCTTGCAGTACACCGGAAGTGGTGAGAAACACATCTACCATTAACGTTATAAAATGCACGCTTGAATTCAGGTTACGTGCGAGTCAAAGAGTACTTGCTTCATATGATGCATGTAATATAACGAGGCGGAAAAATTGCGTCATACTATAAAGGTTTCGAAAGCTCGCCCCGCACTCAGATACAACAGAGGTCATGAGTGTGTATAATGCCAGAAAGTATCGGACAGTCTCTACATAAAAGTCTCGATGCCGTTTCATGCGCTATTTTCGCTCTGCTTTGGCCTCTCTTTCCCCCATCGGATTCTTTCAGGTAACTCATGGTCATATAAAAGTGGAGGGGTGGAAGGACTTATGACCCCTGCCCACGGGTATGGAGTACCTAAGGTGATGATTCAGCTCCGAAGCGTCTCCTCTTCAATCCGGGGCAATTTATGAACAAACAGTTGGCGCGAATTTATTTTCACCTTAACGGTCAAATTTGTGGAGATTTGATTCAAAAATAGCAATCTCTTTGTAGAATTTGAATAAGAGTTCCTTTTTAGCTGGCACGAGTGGGAGAGCCCCAATAGATTTGGTGGCATAAGGAATGTTATGCCAAAACGAGCGATAACGTTATCGTTTGCGGAAATCAATCGTGCCTGAAAACCCAGGCCACGTGGTGCATCCCACGCTTCAAAGTTACATTTAACGTTAATAAATGAATGCCATGGTGAAACGGTGAAAGGTACGGTATGCCATAGTCGCACCCCATAATAGGGGCCCGAGGTACAGATTTTTACTTCGAACCAAGCAAATATATGACCGAGGCGCTCAATAGTGCCCACAAGATCCAGGCATCTAAATCCTTTTGCAATACTTTTACCAATTCCACTTGAATCCTGAGACAGTCCCATTGCCAAGCTTCTACATCGGAGCGATACCCCGACACATGCGTTGCCAAGCCTAATTTCCACGCTTTGTGTGGCAGCATAACATGTTATGCGCGGTCTAATGTCCCGAGGCAAGACAACAAGGCAAGCTAAAGGACGATCAACGGGAGAAGCCATCACAGTCAAGTCGATAGCCAAATCAAATAATGCCAATAGCGCCGATCGGTCGTTTCCGTGTTCGGGTTCCAAGGTTGAAAGTTTCAAAGTCTGGACACAAAAATCTTAATTTCTTAACCCTTTAACCGCCAGGAATGCCCACACCCCTTCTTCTGACTACTTCTGAGCTTATCTGCCCGGATGCACTGTTCAGGTTATGACTGAACCCACGCCCGAGCCTGCGCCTTCGCGCGATGCCCGGCCAAGCTCTCCGCTGACCTCTGGAGAGGGGTCGGGGTCCGCCGAGAAGGCTGCACCACCAGTCAAGACAGGCAAAAAGCTGCCAGGATGGCTGGATCATTTCAATGCGCGCGATCTCAAAGTGCTGTTCCGATGCTCGGTGGCAGCATGGGTCGCGTCGCTATTGATATTTATTACGCCGTCTCTAAGCACCATTGGAACTGCGACGTTCTTTGCAACGTGAGAGCAACTCTATATCTCATCGCGAATCCGTTGTTAACATGTTTCATCCAGTTTGGTGTTGTTTATGGTGCCTCCGACCGGAATTGTCTTCATCTTCCTTTTGGGAGCCCTCACCCTTGTTCTGGGCATGGCTATGGGCTGGGCCTGGGGTGTAATCGCCATGAAGGCTGCCATTGCCGCAAGGCCTGCGGCTGAGACCCAGGCCCGGCTTCAAGCGCTTGGTCAATTGGCTTATAGCCAAGCTAATGCCACCGGCCAAAGTTTGGCTGCTGTTGAGCAGGTTCTTGTTTACTCTGGCTTTATGCTTGATGTTCGCGTCACTGCCGTTTACTATTGTTTAATCTGTCTATTTATCTATCTATTGGTATGACTTTCATGTCTGGAGACATCGATGGATATGCTGACTTTTATACAGGCCCGTCTTCGGGCAAAGAACCCCAAATTTATTCTGCTGCAGATTTTCGGAACTATTATTGTCGACGTTACTTTGACTATTGGTCCACTGCTTCCATCTTTCCAAGGGACGATCCCCAAGGTTCTGGTCGAGCCAGCTGCCATTGGAATTGGTCTAGGACTCGTCTCCCATTTCATCTTTTTCCCTCAATCTACCTCCCACACAGTGCTTTACGGTATCGAAGGCTTGGTGCGACTGCTCAAAGGTCCACTGAATGCCACAGAATCCAGCCTTCTGAAGGGAGAAGAGTTGGTGCTGAAGGATCTGCTCAAAATTAAAACGAAAACAATCGCAGCTTACAAAGCCATTGAGCCAGCAATGGCGTTTTTGCCCTTGGATTTCTCTGTTGGCTGGTGGGGTGCCGACGACGTCAAGAGCTTGAAGAAACCGCTACGCCAGGCATTGATGGCCAACCTGTCCTTGCTGGAGGTCCACATTGCACGCCTCGGAGGCGAAGCGAAGCTGGAGAAATTGCGCCAAATAACTGCAAGTCGGGAATCGGACGCGATATCAGAAGCCAATGGCGACGAGAAGAAACGCCCACGCGAGGTTGGTATGCGACAGCTGATGCAGAGTGTCAACTTGGTTCAAGCGCTGCGAAGCCCAGAACACGAATCCCTTCGATCAGAAACCATCGAAGCTTTGAAGGATTCCAGCAAAGATATCCTTCCAGCTTGCCAGGAGGCAACTGAGATAATTGCCGAATGTATTCACAAAGTCAACACGACTCGTTGGTTTGGCAGCTCTTCTAAGGAACACCTTGCCGAGTTGCACGATCGCAGCCAGGTGGCATTGACGAATATGCAAGCCCTACGCGCGTCATTCGCAAATGAAACCACCGAACGACTGATCGAAACACATTCCTCAATCTTCAACGAGAAGGGCGAGCTCACAAAACTCGATGAATTTACTGTCCACAGAGTGAGAGGTATCGTTATTGGAATGATGTTCGAGGAGCAGCTCCTCGGAGTCGCCGACAGCTGGGAGCGAGTCCTGGGGCAATTAACCGCTCTCCTGAGAGAGCGCCAGAAGGTCCGTCTGTGGCTACCTAGGGGGTTGCGGTACGCTGTCAACTGGGTCCTTCGAAAGGATGCCGTGGCCCCTGTCATTGTGGCTCAGAACCCGACCACCGATCCCGATGCTGCAGAGGCGCAGTCTAAAGCGGCACAGCAGCATCTTCGCATCAGCAGAGGCTACCGTGTGAACAGACCCAGTGGTTTGAGTCGCGTCATCATCGGAACTTACCACTGGTTTATCAGCACAGAAGGCATGTATGCTATGCGCATGGTTGTTGTCACAATCGCACTCGCCATCCCTGCGGCGCTGCCGACCACCGCGGGCTTCTACTACCGCGAAAAAGGGCTCTGGGCGCTCATCATGGGACAAACCACTATGGTCATCTACATGGCCGACTTCACGTTCTCCCTCATCTGTCGAGCTATCGGTACTATCGTCGGCGGGGCCTTGGGCTTGGTTGCATGGTATATCGGCTCAGGCCACGGCGAAGGAAATCCATACGGTCTCGCCGCTATCATGGCAGTTGTAATCCTTGTCCTAATGTGGGGACGTGTCTTCGCTCCCCCTGCCTTGCTGCAGGCAATGATGATGGCCGGCGCAACCTGTATCCTGGTCATCGGCTACAGCTTCGACGACACGTAAGTAGTACCCAGCAATACAGCAACCCACTCAGCTAACACTGACCCAGCCACATCCCCTCATATGGCAATCCCGGATTCGGATACAGCGTCTTCTGGCGCCGACTAGTCCTAGTCCTCATCGGATCTGCAGGTGCCCTAATCGTCCAACTATTCCCCCGCCCCCCATCAGCCTCCCGCCACATCTGCAAATCCCTTTCCAACGTCATCCGCGAATTATCAGACCACTACGCCCTCCTCCTAACCTGCTGGGGCCAAGGCCGAGACGAAGGGCTAGCAGCAGAGCAACTGGCCCTCGATCTAGCCAACAACCTCACCTCCCTAGAAGGACCAATCGCCCTCCTTCGCTTCGAATTCTCCAGCTCACCTTTCGACAGCGAACGTCTAAGCCAAGTGAAATCCCTCTGCCAAGATCTAAATCAAAACCTCGGCCGTCTCCTCTACCTCTCCGCTTCACTACCGGAACATCTCCAAAGCCGTCTAGCCCGCCAAGCGGGCCTTCTCGACCACCGCAATATTGGCGATGTCATGGCCGTCCTGAGTGTTGTTGAGCAGTCGCTCAAGACTGGTGATCCGCTTCCGGAAGTCTTGCCTACGCCGTTGCTTAAGCGTTGTCATGATTTCTGGAATATGCGCCATGTGGAGATTACGTTGAGTAAGGAGCTTATTCGCGATGAGAACTATCGCCGTTTTTGTGTGGCTGTTAGTGCTTATCTTAAGTTCCTGGCTGCCGTTGATGATCTTGTTCTTGTCATGAAGGGGACGCTCGGGGAGTCGCATATTGTTGATCGGGAGCTTGTACATGGGTTGGAAGAGGATGTATAGTCTATAGTTGGATATGCATATCGTCATAGGCTTATGAGCTTATATCTAACCTCGAAGCAAGACTTATCGAGTAAGGCTGACCTAGAACGGCGAAAGGTTCTTAGTTCTACACTCCCTCTTCCTTCTATAAATACTACATTTTCACCATCTTCTACTTGTTCCTTTTACGACTCTGTCTCCTTTATCTACGTAATCTTCTTCGCCTACCTTTTCTCCCGAGAACGCAGTGACAGCATGTGAAGTGGAGCCACCATCAACTAGCTATACGACGTAATAAGCGTCTTTCCTGCGGTGACCGTTCCAAGTTGAGAACGCAAAGTTTCTCTTAGAACTCTTCACTTTTCAAAACTCCAGAAAAAGTCATCGCAGATCGCTTGTCATCGAATTTGCTAATGAAACCACCCATCTCGCGATGCAAGAGTCTGACTTGTAATTTTGATCAATATCCTTCGTCCCATTTCTTCCGGATACAGTATACCGCGGACAGCCTTGCTCTATCTTGTGGGAGGTTAATTTATAGTCACTTGGTTGTGTTATGAGTCCCACCGCCTTTTCAATCCATCACAACTCATCACTGAGTCTAGGAAAGCTGCAAAGATAACATGCTCAGTGGGCTTTGTGTGTTTTTATACAACTAAGCACTGTCAATAGTTGAAATTATGTAGGGCGAATAACCATGTGTCATAGAAACGGCTTGGTATGGAATATGGTAATTTAGTGAGGATCCTCCCCCCATGTCCCCACTATTTCCTGTCTGAATCCAATCAACATCTCTAAAACCAGCGTCAATACCCGGTCCTGTCATCCGAATACATCGTAACCGTCATCATCTCCAATTTTTTTCTCCAAATAATTTTTCTTTTCCCCCTCACGGCCCGGGATCAGCGCGGACGCCAGGGCTTTAAGATCTTCTTCCTTTCCCTTGATGTCGCCGTTGAGCTTAACTCTAATTCTTTGTTTTCTATACCCAGACCCGCCTAGTGGTCTTCCACCATGGCCCCTTCGCGTCTCGCCCGTCTCCCTACGTGGATCAGCCATTGGCTAGGCTACCGTGCAGAACCCGTGAAGCCACTGAACACATACCTCGTCGCCGTATGGTCTTTTATGACTGCATTCTGTGGTCTATCTGTCGTCCAGGCAATCTTCAACTACTCGGATTATTTCAATGAACGTAACGTCCCCGGTATCATCGCTTCATATGTAAGTAAAGCAGCCAAACAAACATCCGTATCCACGTTCTAACATGCATGGAAAAAGGGTGCATCAGCAGTCCTAGTCTTCGGCGCAATCGAAAGCCCTCTAGCCCAGCCACGCGCCTTAGTCTTCGGCCACTTCTTCAGCGCCTTAACAGGCCTCTGCGTCACAAAGCTGTTCAGCCTAATGCCCGATCAAGAGCGTTTCGAATCCCTCCGCTGGCTGGCAGCTTCACTGTCGACTGCTCTTGCTATCGTTGTCATGCAGTTGACCGGCACCACCCATCCGCCTGCTGGTGCGACTGCTCTGCTACCGGCTACTAATGATGAGATCTGGCATCTCTCTTGGTATTATTTACCGATTGTTCTGTTGTCTTCGGCACTGTTGCTGGTTTGCGCCCTGATTATGAATAATGTTCAGCGGAGGTATCCTGTCTTTTGGATTGCTCCTGCTCCGCCAGCTGCGCCGGTGCAGCCCGTCAAAACTGCTGCGCCTGCTGAGGTTGAGTCTTTGGATGAAGGGAAATCGGGGAAGAGTGCTGTTTGAGTTGGGGGTAGACACTCTTGGTTTATACCATAGTCTGTCTGAGGGTATATATTTCTCGGGGAAAGCAGAAGGTTACAAAAAAGGATGGATTCCTGTCTACGGACAGAGGCATCTACATACAAAGGGCAACCCATGAACATACTGCCCCAAATTATATGAAACGTAGTAATATTAATCGAATAACCTGCCCCCATACTCTATACACCCCTTCCTACCTACTGTTCCGGTGACCCAGTAAAAAAAAACATCCCCACCCTTCCCTCGCACTAACAAGCCAATTAACCCACAACGCATATCCACAGCGCCAAAAAAACAATGCCCTCGTCCAGGTTCGAACTGGAGACCTTCGGATGTCAATCTTGTTACCAAGAATGTCATAAGAAAGGATATGAGACCGACGTCATAACCAACTAGACCACGAAGGCTGAATAAGCAAAGGGCCGAACAATGGCTTACAAGGAGTTGCTGAACATTATAAACAATATGCATGAATCTGTTAATTATCATACATGAGCCCATCCATACCGATGCAGAATCTGCATCTCATCGATGATACAGAGCTGCCCGGGTTCGTCGTTCTTAGGATCGAGAGCTTTCCAACTATCCACCCGCCGTCGAACAACTTCTTCTTTCACCCAAAAAGCAATACTCCACCGGCGTACTCGATTAACCCATAATCCCTGCAGAATCCTCTTTGCAGTCAGCCAATTTGATATTGGCTTCACGGCTGCGTATGCTTGGCCGGTATAGCCAACCCGAACCCGAGGGTTGAGGTATACACCCTTCTCCTCGGAAAGAGGGTTATCAGCATGGATGAGACAGCATTCAGAGCCTTCAAGATGATATTCTGCCAGTGAATCCGGGATTCCTCGGAATCGAAGTGGTGATGTGGCTAGGAAGGGACCTGCGGGCATTGCCACTATCTTCTAGTTAGTCTGTGCAGATAACATATCTCTTGAATATGGCGATACATACCCATACCATTCCAGCAACTAGCAACTGGAACCGGAGATAGACTTTTCATCGCATATCGCGACTCCACAGTCCGGAAATAAGGCCAAGTAGACATGACAGCCTCATGGCCCCTGATATCCCGCAACGCAAAAGTATCATAAAAATTCGGCGGCTTGGAGAAATCCAATGAGCAGGCTGCGCCATATTCACCGTCATTAGTATTAAGAAGTTCGAAAACATCACTGGGCTGATAGAATCAATAGTCAGCATACATCCAAACGTAGAGCATTGGAACCGAGTAGCAAAGTCACCTCAAAAACGACATCGTTCAAAAACAAAATCTTATCAAACGTAATCCCCTGCCGCGCAAGATCATACAAAGGTAACAAACCCAAATTCCTCACTCTAGCAAGATAAGGGACCCGTCTAAGCTTCCTCGCACCGCCAGCCGTCGTCCTCACCCAACCCTCACCACGCGCAGGCGCTGCCATCTCATCTTCATGAGTAATATGTGACAGTGTGATATTCCGCGGAACGCGTAGCCGCTCTAGTTCCCAGTCTAGGTCGCGCAATGCGCCTTTTGTATTATCGTAGCTGCCGCTTTCGTATATGCTGATGAATATGTTCTCTGGACCTAGTTGAGAGGATAAGTCTAGGAGGGTGCGGGACCAGTGGCTGCGGAGGATTGCTTCATTGTTCCAGTTCACGCTTGCTATGTATATTCGTTCTTTTGGTTTGGTTGGGGTTTTGGCTTTAGAGTATTGTTTGTGGTGGGGTTTATTGTTTTGGGGTGTGTTGATTCGGTGTTGGATTAGGTGGAGTTCTGTTAAGTTCCATATTATGAAGAGAATTATCAGGGCTCGGGTAAGGCGGGCTCGGAGGGCTCTTCTTGTGAGGGGGCGTCTATGGGTTGAGAGGAGCGTCATCGGGGCTTAGGAGTTGGTTCGTATAGTTGGTTCGGGTTTGCTGGTAAAGTACCGTTGTTGAATCTTTTTGACATGATGAATTGGAGATTTTGAGAGACATGTCTGCTTGACGTAGTTGAGGTCGGGGCATTTCTGGGAAAGACAGGTAGTGAATCAAGGGGTTGTAATACAACACCAGGGGACATACTTCAAGCAAGGTTGCATGCTCAATCTACGTTCCTGACCAAGAGAGATCAGCGTAAGTCAATGATAAAGAGTTAAGTTCTAGAAGGCTCAGCCTGATCCAAAGTACCCATGAAGCAGTTGCGACAATCTCGCGCAAATAAATGGCTGTTCTAAGGAAAAGGGTCTTCATATTAAGTTCAGGACAATAAATTAATAGTATACAAGGGATGGTATCCGGGAACCGCTCACTCCTTAACACAAGAAATGCAAAACCGCAGTCGCCGCAATCGCAATTCCAGCCATCCTCCTAGATCCCGCATGAGAGCGAATGCCCATACCCGTCTGTGAGGGCGATGCACTCGACTCCGTCGTACTCACTCCCTCAATCCATGGCTGCCCAGGCAAGGAATCCGAACTCTCATCTACCTCCGCCACGCTCAGCAGTTCATTTTCTAGTAAAGCGCAATCAACTCGCTCATCACTCTCAGAGATACTGTTTGTAACAGAAATGGGCAGTTGGAAGACGGTGTAATAGTCAGTTCCGTTCCAGCGGAAAGACTGGTGCATGGAGATGTTGTATGCGCCGCGATCTGAATTGCTTTTTGATCCAGAGCCATCGCCGACGAGACACTTGGGCCAGATCCAATTTACGTGTTTGACAGTCGATGATGGCTCGAGGTCTAATACCGGTCCAACGTAGCTTGTGTTAGTCGATGGCGTTGTGCCATTTGAGATGGTGAAGTTGTGGGAGAGTGACTCCGAAGTTAAGAAGAATCTGATGTCGTGGAATTGGGTTGCTGAGTCGTTGTCGGTAGATGGTGGCCATGGGAGTTTGCCGTTTCCTGACACGTCGATTGCGATTTGGAGGTTGTCTAGATATCTGGTTAGTTCAGGAGGCAATGGGCTTTGGTGGACTGACTTACCTCCGCCGAGAGGCGTGTTGGGCTGTGGGGCATCAATAATTGCCAGACCTGGCGTATAGACTTGGCCGTTAACGAGAGTGAAGTTAACCATGGTTGGGTTTATTTAGTAGACTATTCACATCGAAACCAAAAGTGACGTTCCTTTCGCTCTTATTTAACTGGCGCCAAGGGCCTCATTTCCGACGGATCCGCTGCCATCCTTAGCGTGGAATTAATTAATTTCGCCTCTTTGTTCATTGGCTTAGACACAGAGCTCATTTCAGGGTCTTGGTCGCTTGTATTGAAGCGATATTAATGATCAAATTAGGCAGGTAGGAGAGACGGTTGGTTTTAGCGTGTGATGCGACCAGCATACTAGCATCTAGTAGAACACAATCCAATCCATCATAAGTGAATAGATCAAATACAACTATGAAGTATATCAGCCCGAACTCTGCAGTACTTGCTTGGCTCCCCCCCCGCACTTCGGCGCCACTTTACCCGAGTTGATCTGCAATTCAACTTGACCTTGTCAAGCCTCATTTCTAAGCATGGATGAATGGTCGTGCGAGGTATGCTTTACGACGTTTAGCCGACCTGAGCATTTGAAGCGTCACTCGGCATCTCGTAAGTGTCTCCATCCAGACAATGTCCAAGTGTTAAGATGTTCTAGACGACAACGCCCGACCCCATGTTTGTACATGTGGCAACTCTTTCAAACGCAGGTAAGTAAGAAGTCATGGCTCGATAGAGTAATTGATGAGCTCACATCCGAATTCAGTGATGCACTACGCCGGCATGAGCGGACTTGCAGGTCTCGTGACTCCTTCAAGGCCCAGAGCCACCCCGAGCATCAGGAATATGTGAATCCAAATGAGATACACCAGCCCAAACGAGTTTGTCTTGCAACAGACTTAAATGGAAATGCCGCATTACCAATTACGGATGATACCAAGGTCCTCGGCTCTACAATTCCTCTGTTCAACCTTTCAACAATCCCCGGTGACCATTCGTTGGAACCTGAAAGCCAGAACGAGAACAGTGTCTCGTACCATACAAATGACACTCCATCTTTCCCTGAACCTTCTCTTGAACCGACGCAGTTATTGCAAAACATGCCATCACCTCTCGATTTCTCGACTCTGGACCTTCTCTTCTCTTCTCAGATAACCTCGGATATCATCCAAGCCGAAAGACTAGAGCATCTTGCATACTTCACAAGCTCAATGGGAATGTCCACATTTACAGACCCTGAATCGTTCCGATGGAGACAGAATTTGGTTGCAAATGCTTACGAGGATAAAGCTACCTCAACAGGGCGACAAGCCTCCAAAGCACAACAGGGAAGAGCCCCACTACCATTGTCTGATCCTTTAGTCTCGAAGTCCCTAGAGCTACTACGAAACCTGCAAAATATCATCTGCCACAAACGGAACAACGACGTGATCACATTTGACTGGTCATCTGAAGCCCACGACCAGTGCCAAATATTCTTCTCAACGCCAAATATCCGTCGTTTTCTGGAATATTTCTGGTCTCTCTGGTACCCAAATTGCCCTATTATCCACAAGCCGCTTTTCAATCTACACACCGCGATACCTGCATTACTCTCGGTGATGGTAGTTATTGGGGCTTGTCTATCTCCTTATCAAGAAGACGCCAAGGCGGCTAGAAAGTGGTTTGATAGCGTAGAGGAACTCATCTTCTTGCATGAGTGCTTCCGGAATCATCCTTCACCTAGAAGCAATGATCAGGTGTGGAATAAGGAAAGACTGCAGAGTCTCCAGGCTGGATATCTAGTTTGCTCGCTGCAAAAACGAGAAGGCCCTGGGGAATCACAAGCAAGGATCAGGCGGTATCGTCATGCGTCGATGGTGACTGTGAGCTAAGAATTGCATATGAGGCTATTCCTTTTTGCTAATTCGACTATGAAATAGCTCGCAAGGCATATCGGAATTGGGCATGCTTCCCATAAACGTCTGAAAGTCCATGATAGGTTGCAGGAGTGGTGGCAACAATTTGCAGAAGAGGAGGAAATGATGAGGTAGAACGAATCCAATTCTCAATTACAGAAAAAGCAACGGGGTACTAATTATACAAGGACAATCACATTCATCTTCCTTATCGATGCAGCACTTGTGATATTACACAACTCACCCCCTCGAATTATGGTATCCGAATTGAAAATGGGTGTCTCATGCCCCGAGGCATGCTTCCAGGCTGAATCAGCGGCCGGATGCCTATCCCATTTCGAAGAATGGACTAAGACTCGGTTTTGGAGAAATAGACTGTCAATCGTATCAGTTGTGCGACAGATCTGCCATGCTGAAATTGATGACAGCTTGGTTGAAGAATACTCTAATATTGGGACTTTGAACCTGTTCGCAATGGTTCAAGCAATACATTCTCTCATGTTCCATCTACAGAACTCTCTCATTTCCGAGACGACCTTGGCTCCGGTGCAGACAGGTCTTGAAAATTGGAGACGAATCTGGGACAAAAGAATACCAGAAGACAGCGACATCCCTGAGACACCAGAGAACATATGGAGACTCATTGGATTTCTCCGCCACGCATCAGAATTTTGGCATCTGGCGCGGATTAAATCTGCCAAGATCATTTCGGCGGCGGACGATGACCAGACTGAAGATGAATATACACACGACGCATCACGATATGATCATACGGATATGGGAGATGTCAATGAATTGATCATGGAATATCGCAGGATGAATCTGGGGATGGTCTGATGATAGCTGTTTACAATATTGAATCTCATATCATTTATTCATAAAAGTGCATACTGCCCTCCGCGTTACCCGGACTTCAAAATCAACAGGCTTAACAAACCAAAAGTTCTCCGTCTTCCACGTCTTCCTCAACGGGGTAAAATCAAACTCCTGCACAAGTCTCGGAATAAGCTTCGACATCTCCAAAATCGAGATATGCTTCCCAAGACAAGTCCTCGAACCAAGACCAAACTAAAATTAAAAAAGAGTCAGCCAACCGATCAATTGCCAATTCCACACCCTCAGCATGGAAAATACTCACCGGCATGTACATCTGATTCATAACCCTCAACCTCTCAGGCTCACTCTCAGCCTCAATCCACCTCTCAGGCCTAAAGACCCCAGCATCAACAAAGACAGTCTCATCATAATGCGCAACCCAAGTATTAACCCCAATAACGCTCCCACCAGGGAAGAACCGACCCCCAATCTCCGCCCCTCCATCAGGAACAGTCCTCCACATGGGAAGACCAGTCGCAGCATGCATCCGTAGCGCCTCTTTCATAACAGCCTGGAAATAGGGCATTTCTTGACTTTCCTTAAAGGTAATCGGCGAACGGCACAATCCCGGGGCAGTGGAATCGTCGATCTCCTGCCGGAGTTTTTGAAAAACGTTTGGGTAATGCATCAAATGCCACATTATCGTCGATAAACTTATAGCTGTGGTGTCACTCCCTGCTGTCACGTTGGACTGGCCCATGATAAAGAGGTGATAGTCCGTTACTTTCTCGGGATCTTTCTGGCGGGCTTGCATGAGTTTGTCGACGAAGTCTTGCGGTTGTTCGTATTGGGCTTCATTGTTCTCTGGGTCTGCGATTTGGGACTTGGATTTTTGTTCGTGGGCACTGATTTTGTCCTCCACGAAGTTGCTGATGTATGCGCGGCCGCCGGCACCAGACCATTTAAATTTGCTTAGGGGCTTGAAGAGGCGTGGGTGCCATTCTGGGAAGACTCCCACTATGGTGCTGTACATCACTACTTTTTGGAGAGCTGCGATTGTGCCGTCGATGTCGTGGCCTCGGTCTAGGAATCCTGTTTTTGGTTAGTATGTTCTATGGCGAAGTTGGACGGTGCATTACTAACCGAATCGTTCTCCGAATGTGATGTTTCCGATGACATCGAAGGCATAGCATTGGAACCAATGGCCCAAATTGAGTGTCTCCCCGTTATCAGCGAACTCGTTCAAACGATTCCTGAATAGTTCTGCGCAGTGATCTACGAATGGCTCGTAATTTACCAACGAGCTCATGGAGTATAAACTAGTGAAACGTTTTCTGGTATCGGCTACAATTACATCAAACATAGTCGTCAGCCAGCATATCCAAGACTACCCGAAGGAGCAAAACGAATGGAAAGCATACCATGTCTCTTGATATCCCTATCCGCAAAAACAGTCCATTGAGCAGGATGTTTCCACCCATCATACCAAGCAGATTTGGCAAACTTAGAGCCAGTACCGTAGACGGTCTTGATGGAAGCTTGATCACTGATACTGTAGTGATTCGGACCAATCCTCACAATCGGACCGTATTGCTTGTGCAGCTTGATATTGTCATGCTCGAATTGGCCATGGCGAAGACGGTTGAAGTACCAGAGGTTGCTGAAGCGGGCCCAGAATGGTCCCGGGATGTTCTTGAGAGGGGATGTGAGGGATTTGGTTATTCGGAGAAGGATTTGGATTGTTAGTAGGAGGGGGGGGAGGAGGAGAAGGAGGAGGAGGAGGAGGAGTTGGGTGTGCATGGCGACAGTTTTGATCTGGGGTGTTGATTCATGGAGTAGAGAGGATAGAAATACTGTACTCTTTCTCTTTTATAACTCCGGAACTCCAAGGTTGGGGTGTCGATCCGATCCACCCCCACCCCCACCGCCACATCCCCATACTTCTAAGCTTCACTTTGGATAACTCGATTGGCTCCTCGGGCATTCCGAATTTACGGGAGCTGAGTCTACAGCAGACCCCATCATGTCATCACCAGCACTGGTTTGGGATATATCAATGATTTAGAGTGGATGATTTCATCATGTACAGGAAATTGGAGCACACAAAAAGACATGGAAAGTTATGAGACCGCGAAGGATACATGAAAGACATCCATTCCTTTCGTCAAACCCATATGAATGATATCCCCCCCCCCGACTCCAAAAAATTAGACAAAAAATAGGCACGGAGACAACAACCAGTGTATCTCCATCCGAAGAGAAACCCTATAATATTATGACAAAAAAAGACCTCAAGATGTCAGACACATCTTACTTTCGGTCTCCCCAAAGCCCAACAATACCAATTGAAAGCGCAATACCAGACAACCAAGCGCGCGCCCGGTGCAAGCGGCGCTCACGCTCCATCTCCCGCTGGACAGTCTCGCCATTCACATCACTCTCAGCCTCGACAACGACAAGATCCTCGTCCTTTTTGGTGGCCGAGTCGCGGACCAATGAGAAATGCGAGACGTCGCGGATGACAGCGGAGACCCAGTTCTTGAAGCCCAAGTGGCGGTTGAACCAGAAATCAAGGCCATGGGCGGCGATAGTGGAGAAGGTGCATAGCCAGATCATGTATGGGTGTCGGCGGCGTGGTGATGAGAGGCACCATGCGAAGCAAAAGCAGCTGTTTGCTAGAAAGGAGAGGCGTAGGGCGTATCGGCGGCTTAGGCGCTTGACTTCGTTTAGGGAGGCTGCGGCGCTTGTTGCTGTTGGGAGGAGTTGGAGGGCTGGGATTGTGATTGAGGAGGTTGAGTAGGAGAGGCCCTGTGGTTGTTAGCTTTGGGAATTTGGTTGTATGGTTGGTCGTTGACGTACGGTAAGCAGACCGAGGGAGACGGTTCCGACGAACTTGGTGACGCTGATAGGGCACGCCATGATGTGAATTCAATCAAAGTTGTCACTGGGGATGACAGCGGGGGATTGCTGAGGGGATTCGGAGTGTCGAGAAAAGGACGGAAGTTATTTTTCGGTGACGTCGCGGTCAGCTTACGCGCCAGCCAATCAGCGTCGCGATGTTCTTCATCCTGCTGTGAGGGAATTCGGCGTTTTTGGTATAGTTCGAAGGGTTTTGTATAGGATGAGTAAGGTCGATTGTCTATTTTGTCTTTGATTTTATAGCGAAAAGATGTTGGTTTCGGAGAGTCTATGCAGATCTACGGACTACGGTGTACACTCTACATATTTACGTGAAACCTGCCAGTCCTGAGACATAAATCAATTATTTCAGCATGATTTGATCGCTGCTGACTCTGACACTATGCACAACATATACATATAAATAATATCCCCGGATTTGGTGTATCACTAATCCATCCGGGCGCAACTTGACTCCGACAAGCCGAGGTCCAACTGTGGGGAAAAGGCGAGTATCAGGAACCTCCTTTATATTCGCTGCTCTCCCCACATTCTGACATCTATCATCTCCAACGTTCACAATGCCGCTCTCTAAAGAAGAATACCTGAGCAACTCCTGGAAGGATGGAATCTTCGGTGGGTAGTCGAGACCCCTGTTCCAGCAGAGCCACGCTAACCGACGCAGCAAACAAGGTGGTGTTCTGCACCGGTGGCGCCGGCACCATCTGTAGCGCCCAGGTTCGGGCGTTAGTCCATCTCGGTGCCAACGCCTGCATCATCGGTCGCAATGTAGAAAAGACCGAGCGTGTCGCGAAGGATATTGCGACTTCCCGGCCCGGTGCCAAGGTTATCGGCATTGGCTCTGTGGACGTGCGCAAGCTCGACGACTTGCAAAAAGCAGTCGAGCGCTGTGTTCAGGATCTTGGAGCTATTGATTTTGTCATGTACGACATCTACCATGGGGCGCTTTTTCGATTCTCATGCTAATAACATTCTGCAGCGCTGGAGCGGCGGGCAACTTCCTCGCCTCCATCGAGCAACTATCAGCCAACGCTTTCAAGTCCGTCATGGATATTGATGTCTTGGGATCTTACAACACTCTTAAGGCTACATTGCCCTACCTGAAGGAGTCAGGAAACAAGCACAGAATGGACTCCAAGTCTCGTGAGTGAATTGTTACACCAATGGGCTTGCATTTCTCGAGTCTTGTTGCTAACGGCCCTCCAGTCAAGCCCTCACCAATTGGCACCGGTGGAAGAATCATTTTCGTCAGCGCTACCATCCACTACCGGGGCATGCCTTTCCAGACCCACGTGTCAGTCGCCAAGGCCGGCATTGACGCCCTGTCCCACAGCATCGCTATCGAGTATGGTCCTCGTGGCATGACCTCTAACATTATCGCACCCGGACCTATTGCACAAACAGAGGTGAATCAAGCATATCCTCTATTTTCAAGTCCTTCAATTAACCGTTCTTTTTAGGGTCTGGAACGTCTCCTCCCATCAGATGCCATGGAAGCCTACACCAAGGCTCAGCCACTCGGTCGCTTCGGTCATGTCCGCGACATCGCCGACGCTACTGTCTATCTCTTCTCGGACACTGGAAGCTACGTTACTGGACAGACACTCGTTGGTGAGTTTATCAGATTGCAATCGATCATCCTCGGGATCACGTGCTAATTCCTTCAGTCGATGGTGCAAACTGGCGCATGTCAGCAGGTGGTGCTTCTGGTGGTAAGCTGTCTTACCCCGACTTCTTGCTTTCCGGTGATGAGGTGCCCAATGTTACGGGTAAGAAGGGGTCTAAGCTTTGAATGTGTGCAAGGGAATATTATAAGATCATAGATTGGGGCCCTTTGAACTTGCTTTTGGAACCCACAATGGCTTGCAAATATTTGATAGCGGCACTCATATATGAATTTGCGGTGTGCTTGAATTTAAGAGCAAAGTCTGATTGATGCAAAGCTTGTACATCCATCTCTGTACCTAATCACAAGTGCAGGCTGTCTCTCGACCTGAGGTATATATTCTAATAAGAAGACCACTAAAGACTTGCTGGTACGTCCATCGATAGGGATTTGTAATTGTCTATAGCAGGAAAATAGCAGCAATACATTTTCAATCTCAATAATACAAAAATATCCTCTGTCCTTCTATCGACTGGGAACGTATTAAGTAGGCATTCTTGTGTGATCAGCCACCCTTATGTCTCTTCCTCATACTCTTTAACCAAGTCAATGACTTGCCACAGGCCATAGCAGTCACCCAAGCGCGGACTAGGCTCTCATAAAGGAGAGATAATGCAACCGAGTCGTTCTACTTGATCAGCCTTCGACTTTCCATTGAGTCAGCATTTCTCCTCTGGATGCAATGACGCCTCCAGCATCTCCGGTCTCAATATCCTATTCTCAGCTGATTGCTGATCTACAGAAGCCAGCAGATTCCACGAAGTCAAGTCAAGTTACACCCCAGCAGTACTGTCTGACATTATCAATCTTCTCACCAGCTGCTATCCAAGCCGGGATACAGGCTGCACCCCCACCGGTGACATATTTTGCTTGCCTGCGAACGTGCAATCAGAGCTATAAGGCACGCCGACTACGAAGCGACCATTATAAACGATCTCTTCTTAATCACCAGACCGTTGATTGAGAGATTTACACACCGGAACAAGCATGATCTGCAAGAAGAGATAGCATAAAAGCGAGGACAGGTAGCGAATATACAAAGAGTGACCCTGGCTGTGCTAAGCCTCTTCTAGGGCTCTTGCAAAAGGCCCGATAGCGAAGTGCACTTGCGTTATTGAGTAGGGCCGCTGTTTCAAGAGCGATGATCTATCTTGCCGTCCAATGGTTTGGTTTGATTTGGTCCATAGCAACGACCGTGCCGTCGAAGACATGGCATGACCTTTCGATGCGGTGATAACGGTTTCGAACACAACGCCCAAAGGCCCAATTGATTTCACTTAAAACAAAAGGCAAAAAAAATGGCTGGGATATAGAGCGTACATCGGGAACTGTCGTCTCTGGATTTTACGTCTAGGCTGGGCTGATCCAGGTTTGGATACAAGATCGTATCCCGCCCTCTGAATCTTCTCATACCACAAGGAAGCTAGAGTAGTGGAATCTTTACAACAGATGCAGATAATGAACTTGATTTTAAATGCAAAACTTTGGCTGCACTTCCAAATAGTTTCCTGTAGACATATCAGACTTTTTCATGGTCTCAGGATCTGGACCTTCACATTTGATAGAGCAATGGACTGATACAATTGAGCAGCGGCTTCTTGTGCCATAACTGGTCTGCCAATTTCACGTCAGATGATATACTCTAAATGAAGCAATACACCGATTACATGCACTCGGTATTTAGTTCTTCCTGTCGACCTTTCTGGTTAGCAGGAGTATGAGTTGGATTTCCAAGCAACAACTGACTCGGATACAGGCATGGTAACTGAAATAGGTGGTTTGATACTGTAATGATACCATTCATGTGCCATAGAGCGAGGTAGCTCAAGCGACGTTCTGCTAAATAGCTCATTCTCAAGATATGTGTATTGTACCATGGCTTTCAGAGTCTGCTTGATGCTATCTACCAGGAGACACGCTTGGGACATACAGACCTTGTGTGCTTGCATGTGCAGCCTTAATGACTCTCTGGCTAGATCCCTGGGGATGTCACCCCGGCTTTTCAAGACGAGATTCTCGACAGGCTTGGCGTCTGCTCGCGGGACACGGAGCACAGCTGTAAGGGCACTCGAACGGATAATCACAGCTAGCTGCAGTAAAAGTAGCAAGACGCCATGAAGAATTAAGTCTTCAGAATGCCTCTACATTCTTGTCTGCTGCACAATGCGTTGGGGATGCCCTTGACGCCGCTCCTTTGCTTTCTTTGTCCATGACAATTAACAGAGCTTGTCCAAGTAGAGATGAAACTTTGTACACAATGAAAATAAAGAAGCGCCTGAGGGGCGCCTAAGATGCGCTTGCAAGCTAGACTTGCTTGGGTCCCAGCTAGTGTGCCACATCTGGTATAGTCCTCTAAGTCTCTCGTATTGCGATCGCGGCGGAAGACATGCCAGTCCGGGGCGCCCTGCTTGTAGATAAACGGGGAAACTGGATAAATTTCAAACTCGGTTAGCGATGGAAGGCTTAGTATAGAGGGGTAGCAGCTTGGCGGATTTCCGGTCTGTTGTGGCGGTGGGCGGTTTTGACAGCGATTTCGAAGGGGACCAGGCCAAGTAGCCTAAATCATCACCCACCCAAACATCTCCACCCCCATGGCATTTTGAAATGAGAGAAAGTCCCATGCTGTAGATGTGCAAGAGACCATGACGTAGAGCCGGAGATAAAGATCGGAGAGTTTATACGGCTCGGCATGCCGGCCTGTCACGCCAAGACGGGTACTGCAGATCCATCCACCCGACCTCCACACTCGACTCTATTCGAACGTTATTCTAGACTGCAAGTCCCCAGTCCAATGAGAGACGTTTGTGATTATCTTGAAACAGCCATGCTAGAGCATCATGTAGATGGGGACTTGCCTGGCTGGCTACATGGCGGAACAACAGTTCAATACAGGCATCTTGAATGGTATCTTAAATGAATACTGTCTGTTCCGTCTACATAAAGTAGGGGTATCAAGGCACAAAAATGCCAGCCATTATGTAAAGAGCCATTTAAAGGCTGTTGTCTCATGTCTTTGTTCACAAGTTGTTGTGATTAATGAGTATTGTTTTCTTAGACAATAGACAGGGTTGTCGAACAAAGACATTGAGGGGGCTTTTTGATTGTAGGCGCCGCGAGCATGACCTGCGTTCTGTCCCAAAGTGGTCGAGGGCTACTTATTTCTTCGCATTTTGCCCACTATTCTTTCTTCCCTTCTCCTCTCCTCACGACACTTGTTTACCTCTCTTCTTAGCTTGCTTTCTTTCTTTTTTTGATTTTTTACTGAGCCAGCTTCGAAGCCGAAACATTTGCTGTCTTGCTATCGTGAATCAAGCCTCCCCATCCGTCTTTCTTTTTTAGACAGTGTTGGCTTTGCCGCAAAAATCTCCTTGTATTGATCTGATACTGAGAAGTCTCGAGACCACAACAACCTCATACTGTCCACGCGGGTTGCCCAGCATCCGCGCGACAGAAAGTCCTCTCTCCCATCTCATAATCGTCTTTCATACAATATTTCCCCCTTCCTTATTTCAAGCCGCAAGAATGGGCAAGCGTGTTCCCCGCAGCAAGGTCAGGGAAGATGGCATTCCCATCGACCCGGCCCTGACCGACCAAGCCTTCTTCGCTCCAAACCCTTTCCACTCCTCCCCCTCAGCCCCAAGCCAAACTCCTCCGCACTGGAGTGGAGTGAACCAGAGCCCACTGGTACATACGGCTCTTCAGACAGAATCCCCCAACCAGGTAAGACTCCAACAAGCACTCACCCAGGCCGCTTTGTCTATGAAGGATGTAGAGGCTAAATCCTACCAGCTCCAGCGACAGATTGCAGCCCAGGCGGCCCAGCTTCGTGAAGCCGAGTCAGCCATCGATCACCAGCAACAATTTGTCGAAGAGAGCACCAGCACCGCCAAGCACCTCCGGGCGAACGTTTCCCAACAATTGGCCAACACCGAGGCCCGCGAGGAGCATATCTCCTTACTAGAGATGCGACTTGCTGAAACCAATGCACAAAATGCTAGAATCAGCGTTCTTGCTCAAGAACGAACGGACTCATACAACCAGCAAGTGCTTGCCATGGTATCCCGCATTGTGGAGCTGGAGCGAGGTATAGAAGATGCCAACACAGATCTTCTGAATCACAAAATGCTCGTCAAGGCAGAGAAACAAGACTGGAGACAATTGCACGATGCAATGAAAGAAACCGAGAACCGCCGATCCGACAATTTTCTCCGGATGACAGATGCGGTTTCTCACTTAGACGAGATGATTTCTGTCCTTTCGGATAAAATCAATGGTTTCGAGCGGACAATGACCAACCCTTACCCACGAGGCGAAGTCGCCGTTCCCAACTCCTCTCGCCAACAGGGCCGCCCTAATGTATCGCCAGCATTCAGTATCCAAGACCTGAATCTCCCTGCCAACCCCAACTTCTCTGCAGCTCAGCCTACCACCATCAACCCTCTCTTTGCAGCCCAGCCTGTTATCGACAACAACAACCCCTGCGCGGCCCAGCCCGCAATCTTGAAGAATGAAGCAACCATGAGCCTAGCAGCCGACATTCAGCCACAGTTTCTTGGATCACCAGCGCCATCTTCTGAGTCGAGTGTTGATTCTTTATCTTATCAACTCCTTGCAGCAGTGGACGCTTTTGAAAGAACGGACTGGTATGACGAGCGTGGTATCCCCTACAATGAGGAATACGAGCTAGGTTTGCATCTACGGGAGGTCCACATGTCCGACGCCCCAGAGAATGTCATGCCAGTCAACACGGAGATCACCAATGCTCCAGTCGACATGGCCGCTGGCTCAGGCTCAGGCTTGGGGATTCTCCCCGATGATGTACTTGCCAGTATCGCTGGAGCCCTCGAACATGAGGAACAGCGACAACGCTTCATGATTCATGATTCTGGTGCTAGATCGTTCGCCGATGCACCCGCCACCACACAATTTCACCAACCGAGTGAAGTTCCCATTGTTGATGTTACCATGACCGACGCCCCTCCAACCAACCTTGACCTCCTCCCTCCAAGTTCCCATATCGCATGGAACGGAGTCTTGGATCCTGCGGCAAGCGCACTCAGCGCCCCGGAGAGGAAGCGGAGTCGGCAGGTGCATGGATTTTGGGAACCCGATAATCGTTCAGCAAAGTCATGGGATGGAAATCTGCACGTCAAGCGGGTCAAGCTGGCCATCCCCTTAAGTCGCCCTCGTTACCTTAATGCGAGAAAACGCTGGGTTAAGGCAGTGAAGTCCCGTGTACGTGCCCCCATTCCGACAACGCCAGCGTGGACTATGCCGACAGTTGTGAGCTTCTCAGCTATCTTTGGCTCAGCTCCAGCTCAGGTTAATCTCACTATGGCTGCGTCAACTGACCCAATTGTGGTGCCAGCTCCTATCATTGAGCAGCCCGTGATCGCTTCAGTTTTGACTGAGCAAGCGATAGCCAAGGAAGCTGAGAGTGAGCGGCCTCGCGCCCCTCGCCCTCGAATCCAAGGTCCCGGCCCGCGCACCTACCCGGTGTATAAGGCTTACTCGGTGCTTGACCCAGACGCTTTTGATGTCCCTGTCCCACGAAATCAGTCCTCTCAACATAGCAGAATTGCTAAGGACCTCTCGGAGATTCGTTGGGCTCAGGCTCACTCAGCTCGTCTGCGTCAGGCTCAGCCAGTCAATCCGATTTCAAGTGTCAGAGCCAGTGCGGTGGTTCCAGGACGCTTCGGATTGCAGGATGCCCACGTTAACCCTCGGAAGACCAAGGGCTCTCGAGTCGAGCAGCTGCGAGCGGAACAAGTGAACTGTCCTCACATGGTTGATTCTGGGCTTGAAACCCCAGTTTCGGCCCCAACCGTTCCTGACCACGCTGTGGCTGAAGTCGACTCTCCGAAGGCCGCTTTTTCGGGGGGTATCAGACAATTGATGTCTCTGCTTTTCTGGTTCCTGTCGACGGCCTATTACGTGATTGTCAAGGTCAGCGGGTACTCGTTGGTGAGCGTCATGATCCTGATGGCTGTGTTGATTCCTTTGTTTCCGGTTTTTGTGAAGTTCATCCTCACAGTCATGCAGGCCATTTGGCAGGAGACCCGTCTCAAGGCCCTTGGCCTGGTGTTCTCCTTGGCGCCGAACGTTACCCCGATTTCAAGAGCAATGCTCGTATCCATGGGGTTCGTTCAGCGTCACTACCCCAGCCGTCTGCTTCTCATCCTGGCCCTGCTGGTCTTAATTGAGTACGTTGTGTACTCTACCCAGTGGAAGGGCTACGAGAGGCAGTACATCCGTCATCTTGACTACCTACGCTACGGTCGTTTTCGCGAATGGCCGTGGCTGGAAAAAATTGACTTCTGGGTGACTAGGTGGCTCGCAGATCATCGTGGGACACAGGGTTAAGCACTGATGAAGTTTTGTGGTGGTGTGGTGCGGAGGAAGGACGAATTTTGTTTCCTCGGGAAGATGGCAAGCGAGCAAACGCGATAACTCCCGGTCCTCGACTTGTCATCGGATATTCAACAACACATCGGCAAAGTCCCCGCTGGACAGGATCGTCCCCCCTTGTCCCGGGTCACTGCGCCAACAACCCTGGCAAAGCGCCTTTGTGGATTGAGATCGTCCCCCCTCATCTTCAGGCTGCTGCGTCAACCTCCATGCATCTGCTCCTGCAGTGCATTCCTCGCAACAACGAGGACGCTCATACGCATTCGGCAACAGAGATTTCTGTTCACTCAGCCAGGAGGGCCCTTCGGGGAGCAAGCTCGCTTCTGAGAATCTCCCTCCCTCTCCTTGGAATTCACCCTGTGGCACCATACAAGTATCCTGTAAAGGGCTTGTGTACCCTAGTGGTTCGAGTCTATGTCGGTGTATTTGTCCGTGTCTTGTTTGTTGCACCCCTCACAGCGACGAGGGCGTTCATACGCATTCGACAATAGGGACTTCTGTCAACTCTGGCAGCCAGGAGGGCGTTTTGGGCGCAAGCTCGATTTCAATCGAGTCTTGGTCGCCCCACCCCTCCTTGGAGAGCACATCGCACCTTGTGTGTTGTGTGTTGTGTGTTTTGAGTCCATGTCGGTGTATCTGTGCGTTTCTTGTTCGTTTCTTCATATATCGGTTTGCTCACCCTTCGGGGTGCTGTTTGATTACTCTGTTTTGAGTTTCTTGTTGTTTTGTTTTGTTCTTTTTTTTGTTCGTTTTCAAACAAGGTCCCATTGTCAGAGTACTTGTTTGTGTCCTGTTCGATTTGTGTCCGAGTCAGTACATATTATTCTGTTGAACGTGTACCTGGATACTTTCATACCTGGTTATATTATATACGCAGTCACTATGGTTGTCCGTGACTGATTTTTTTCTATACCTGTATACCATGCCGTTATATCTGATGGATGTATACCTCATGGCTTCGATGCTTGTATATCTTGCCAGTGTGTCTTGTGTGTATATTTGGTTTGTCTACCTGTTGCTTCTATACCTCATGGCTATATACCTGGATGTCTCAAATCTCCAGGTTTGATATACTATGTCACTGTTGTGATTTGTGACTTGCATACATTTGATGCAGCTGTGCCTGGACGCCTGAAGTTCCCAGGCACGGGTCATTTGCCCTGGATATGATATACGCCATGACACCATCGTTGTTTGTGGGGGCAACTTTGTGTCATTATACCTGGATATCCGTGGCCCAGGGTATAATATACGTCGCCCCACTCGCTGTTTGATGGAATTTGATCCTGGGTCTATTGTTGACTGTGACTGGCAGTTTGACGCCGGAATCCTAGGTTATGATATACGCTGTTGCCGTCGTTTCATGATTGGCCTGTGTATCTGGATGTCAATGTTTCTGGATATTATACACATCATCTGGTTTCTGCGTGCATATATCTGCCCGGGTATACAGACGACTATTTTTATCGAGGGTTGCGCGGACTCCATTGATGGCGCCAGTGTACAGTCAGCAAGTGTACTCACCGCCCAATGGGAACACGCGCCACGCAGAGGCTGGCGTCACCTTCTCCACTGCCTGCCGAAAAGAGACTAGACTTATCTCCTCGCCCCCTCAACATATCTATCATTCTTTTGGCTCTCTTGCCTTGCTTCAGACATCCATTTTGAGAAGCTTTCACCATGTTTGTCCGCTCTGTTCTACTGGGCGCTGCCGCGATAGGCGCCAGCGCTGTGCTGGTGGTCCCCGAGATGGAATCCGTCGAGGATGGATTCGTGAACGTCCACCCAATGCTCCTGGAGGATGTTCATCATGCGGCTGTTGATTTGCCTTGCACCGAGTGCCCTTTCCGTGAAACCAAGGAGGGCACTGTCAGCTGGGCTGACGATAAACCATCGCATCTGGTAAGTCTGCCTAGGTGGTTCCATTCATCCCACGTTGGACAAACTAACCAACCTAACTCTATAGATGTTGGACTTCTCAGTCGAAGACAACCGCCTGCTTGCCAACGGCCGCCAAATCTTCCCTCCCACTCCTCCAAGCCCCATTCATGCCATCCAACAAAGCGAGGAGGGCGAAGACTCCGAGCCCATGCCTGTTGGCTATGCTCTAGAGGTTATGCCGATGGCTGCTCCATCCGATGAGCTCGGCTACGAACTACTGGATGTTCGGTTCACCGTCCTCGACCTGGAGACTCACCCTGTTCCGGTTGATACTGTGGCGATTACCGTTCTCCAAGATCCCAACGGCGAGCTGTTTATCGCCAAGACGGAGATCGAGAAGACCACACCCGCCTCCGACCGCATCTCTTGGAAGGAGTGCCATGGCAAAGCAAAGTGCCTGCAAGAACTTCTGGTTGCCCGCATTCGTGGCTTGTTAGATGGGGCTAAAACCCGTGTTATGGGAATGGCCAAGGCTGGTCGCAAGGGCTGTCACGGCAAGCACGAGTCCAAGATGATGGGACACCCGGGCCCTCATGGTCCCCATGGTCACCACGAAGAAGGCCCTGACGGCATGCCCTTCCCTCCACCACCCTTCAGCGAAGAAGACTTCCAACTGGATGAGTTTGGTCCAGGCGGACCCCACGGTCACCACGGCTTTGGTTCTGATGCCGGCCGGCCGCGTCGTCCTCACCACCATCCTCACCACGGTGCCTTTGCCCGCACCTTCTCCCGCGTTGTCCACTTCATCGTTGTTCCTGCTGTCCTCGGCGTCCTGGCTGGATTGACCGCCAGCGCTGTCGGTATGCTGGTTGGCCAGGCTGTGGTCTTCCTCTGGCAACGTTACCGCGGTACCAAATCCCCCGAGCACAAAGCTGCTTGGGAACAAGGCGAAGCATGCGAAAAGCAGGGCCTCATGGCCGAATCCCGCCAGTCCGAGGAGATGCTCCCCGAATACACAGAGCCATCTGAAACCCGAGCATCCTTCGACAAGAATTAAATCCATTTCATGTGGTGTTCTGTAACTTGGCCCTCCTGAGCAAGGGTCAACACCCGTCTGGACGGGTTTGAATTATTCTTTTTGAGACCACCGCCCATAATCGGGCTTTCTTTTCAATTCTTGTGCTGGTCAACCATATGACCATGTTTTTGAGTTACTTTTGTTATATCAAACTTGTACAGCGATTTTCCTTGTATCATCTTATCAATCAAATTTTTATGTTCAAATGCTCTCCCTGCCACCCGTAGCCCTCCACTGTAGCTCTAAGATCTACCGACATGTAACTAGGATCACCGATAGCTTCAACCTCTAGTTCTCGGGACTGCCAACGCTTTATTCTGAATATGCCAAGCTATGTATAGGGCTGGTCACGTGAAGCCGGTCATCACGGCCTCCCCCTCTTGTCGATCCGACAACATCACCCGTCCTGGCCCTCTTGTTATGCAGGCTCAGTCCTCCGTGAAGGATAACTTGACTTGTACAATGCTACTGAAGCTTCAATTACAACCACACATGGGCTTTCTTTCATATTCCTAGCCAGGACCTCGATCTCCTGCACAAGTGCCTAGCTGCAGCTCCGACCTCGACATCATCAAATACTAGCTTCAGGACAATCTGATCCAAATCCCCTCGTTTATTTCTCACAATGCTACAGTGGACATCCTTCGTTCAGAAGGCCCAGAGCCTGATTGATCCCGCCAACTTCAACATTCCTGCCCTGTCCACGGCCGATCATAGTCCCTCGAAGGCCTCGCTGTTCCGCCAACAATTCCGCCTCCCCGATTCCCAGAACCCACTCCAAGAGATTACCGCTGATCTTGTCCTGCCTCTTCCGAACTCATCAGCGACTCAAGGCGATGGCCCACGCAAGGCTGACCGAGCTGGAAATCGATACACAGGGCGCCTGCATCTGAGTGAGCGCTTCATCTGTTTTTCTACCCAGCCGACAAGCTTTGTTTCCTCTGCTACGGCAAGTGCTTCAAATACTTGGACCGGCCAGACTCATGGAACTGGTCCGTCGGGCAATGGTTTCATTCTTCCTCTTTCGTGTATCCGACGAGTCGAGCGTCTCCATAGCGCCAGCCATGTCTTCTCCTTGGCGCTCACAACTTGGAATGGTCTGCTCAACAAGCAACAAGAAGCCAAATTTGCGCCCCAGCGCCTGATCTTGCAACTTGTCGGTAGCAGACAGGCTTGCGAACGATTTTGCGACACATTGAAGAAAGGTCTGCGGGAAGGAATGAAAGAGGTTGAAAGCCTTCGTACTGTCGTCAACGATTGTTACTCAGAATACCTGCTGTCAGGTGCAAAGACCAAGGGCCAGGAAGGAGTTGACGCCGACGCTCGTCAACCTCCAGATGCGGGACTGGGCTTGATTTTCCGCTATCCTGGCGATGCACGTAAACTGCGTGATCGCAGTAAGATGAGACTGTGGGGCGAATATTTCAGAGGTATGGACATCTATCTCTTGGCTTTGGCCTGCGGACCACCAACTAATTGTCTCTAGAAAATGGCCGTAATGCTACGCTGGTGCGCCAACCAACCTTCCACAAGCTCATTAGAGTCGGTCTGCCCAATCGCTTGCGCGGAGAAATATGGGAGCTTACATCTGGCTCTCTTTTCCTTCGTCTGCGGTCTCCCAAATTATACCAGGAGACACTGGCCAAATTCGAAGGACAGGAATCCCTTGCCATCGACGAAATCGAGAAAGATTTGAACCGCAGTCTACCAGAATATCCTGGCTTTCAGAGTGAAGAGGGTATCGGCCGCTTAAGACGAGTTCTGACGGCATACAGCTGGACCAATGCAGAAATTGGGTATTGCCAGGCCATGAACATTGTGGTTGCTGCATTGTTAATGTACGTTTGATTCCTCAAGTGCAAGAGTGAGTGCTAATTTGAACAGATATATGTCAGAAGCTCAGGCGTTTTTCCTCCTCTCTGTCCTATGTGACCGTCTCTTACCTGGTTATTATTCAACGACCATGTATGGCACACTTCTGGATCAAAAGGTGTTCGAATCATTGGTTGAGAAAACAATGCCGGTTCTATGGGAGCATCTAACCAAGTCTGACGTTCAACTCTCCGTGGTCTCATTGCCCTGGTTCCTGTCTCTCTATATCAATTCTATGCCTCTTGTCTTTGCTTTCCGCGTCTTGGATGTTTTCTTCTTGGAAGGGCCAAAAGTTCTCTTCCAGGTGGGTCTTGCCATTCTCCGAGTCAACGGCGAAGAGCTCTTGGAAACTCAGGATGATGGGTCTTTCATTTCCGTCTTGAAATCATATTTCTCACGTTTGGATGAATCTGCCCATCCAAGATCAGAGAACCCCAAGCTTCGGGCAATTACTCGATTCCAGGAATTGATGGTGGTTGCTTTCAAAGAATTTTCGGGCATCACTCACAGCACCATCACTGAAACGCGTGAAAAGCATAAGGGTGCTGTGTTGGAGAACATTGAGACCTTTGCCAAGCGTACCTCGATCCGTAACCTTGGTCCAGAGAGCAAGCGCCTAAGCACAGATGACCTTGGCACAATCTACGACCGTTTCTACGAAACACTCTATCAATGGGAACAGCACCAGAGAGTTATTGAAGAGGAACGGAGGCGCCAAGAGAGGAAGAAATCCGAACGACTCTCCATGCTTGCCCCTCCTACAGACACGCAAGTCGGCCGTGTTGGTCTTGGACCGAGTCCTTCACACATGGACTATGATGCTTTCCGGGAGTTTTTGGCTGCTACTTCTAAGTGGGCGGTTGCTGATTCACCTGGACCATCGAGAAAGGCATCCTCGTCAGGAAATTCAGCATTGTGGGCGAACCGTCGACAGCCGGCTGACCATGAGTTCATGCAACGACTCTATCGCAAGTGGGCTACTGATCCCGAAGAAGGGTTGAACCTTCAGAATGTCGTCAACGGTCTAGCACGTCTCAAGGGATCACCTGATATTATGAACAACATCAACTACTTCTTCGACTTGTATGATGACAACGGCAATGGCCAAGTCGATAGAGAAGGGATCCTCAAAATTTCCGAGGCGCTTTTGTTCCTTTCTCGACGGGGATTTGAGGGCACGATCACTGCAACTCAATCTGTGGAGGACCTGAATACGCCTAAAGATCGCGAACTTGCCGAGAATTCGCTCACTACTGACGAGAAGTTCCTTAGTAGTGTCAGTGCGTTCATTCGTCGCTGCTTCGAATATGCGGATCCCAGCCACCCAGAGAACCAAAAGGGTGCCCAACAAGATGCCACAGAAGAGGCAACAGAGAAGCTTGGCTCATTCGCTATCGGTGATGATGACGAGGAAGAGGACCTAATTGATGTCGACGATGGAGACTCTAAGTCCAATATGTCCCCAGCACCAGACGCAGCACCCCAACCGGCACAGCCCAGCACCGAGAAGCCAGACAGCCACGACCATACCCGCTCAACATCCGAGTCTGCCAACCCAGCTCTCGACCCCAACAATCCCCTGCACATCACTCTCCCCACTTTCCGAATGGTTGTCTTAGCCGACGAGCTCCTAGAAAAATTTTTCGAATCCTACTTCCCTCAATCATTCCACCTCTCAGACCATCCCCACCCAGCCGCTCTCGCCGCCTCTTCCTCGCTCTCCTCTAATCTTACCACATTCTCCAACCTCGGCAGCATTCGATCCTCCGGGCCCGGTTCCGCATCTGCCCCGGTGGCCGGCGCCTCAGGCGGTATCGTCCCCCCAGGCAAAGGCCTCCGTGGCGTACTGGACAACATTGTCACAGACGGAATCCGCATGGCAGCCGAGGTCAAAAAGAGAATGGATGATGCTCAGCGCGAATTGGAGCGCAACGCCCTCGGCCGCGAGGAAGAAGACGACGAAGAAGATGACGATGACTACCCCCGCCGTGAGAACAGCGCCGGAGTTATGGCTGGCGGAATCTCCAGCTGGGGCGCGGGCGCGTATGGCGCAGACACTGAACGCCGCAGTGTTGTCCGCGATGCTGACCGTGACCTCCTTGAAGGAGCTGAAGTTCTCAGCGTTCGCGGAAAGGAGGAGAGTACTTCCCTTTTGGATGGGAAAGATGACACCGGATCGGGACCCAGCAAGGCCGCCGACAATGCTGTTAGCTCCAAGAGCCATGGTTCACCTACAGATCGTGACGGAGAAGTCATTAGCAAAGTTGTCGAGTTTGAGTCATGATCTTCCTACATACTTTCTCCTTTCTCCTTTTGCCATGTGTGGTTTGGCTGGTTTCCATCTTCGGATTTCTTTTTGTAACCCTTGGTCTGTTGAATCAGCTTTTTTATGCAATGCAATACTGTACTACAATACAATCCTTGGTCTGAATGCGTGTTTTTGCGACTATTTTCTTGCGCGGGTTGAGCCCGCAGTTCTTAGATATCATCTGTTCTAGAGAGAAAGAATCTGTTCTGGATTTGTGGACTCGAAAGTATTGTCTTCCTGTGTTTTTTGTAGCAAAATATCATGCATGTGGCTATCTATTATCGCCATCGGTTCAAATCGATTCTTATAAAACTTTCTCGCGACTCAATACCATCTCGTTGCCAAATTGTCGTTTGTATAATCTACACTACAGCATATTGAAAAAACCAAGTACCCCGATGAGCTAGTACCCTCATAGGTAGTGTCTAAGTCCTTTTCTATCCCCGCCATTATGTACTTGACATAGTTTAGACGAGACAATTGAAAAGGGAGATGCAAAAAGAGAGACTAAGTGAGGCGCCAACAAAGAGTAAATCGATATACTTATGTATGAAAGAATACCCAACATTTCACTGGAAGCACTACAGGCAGCATCTAATACCTCGTTTCCTACTTCACCGAGGCATATCAGATATAGTGCAGGCAGCAACACTCAATTTCCTTACAACTGCCGGCAGAATTTATGTTGGCCCGATGGCCTTAAGGACCTCTTTCTTTGTACTCGAAAATGTTCCTCTTTATTTGTAGCAAACTCTCACGCTCAATATCCTAGATATGCCAAGAGACATGGAAATCGCAGTAAATCAAGACGAGAAAGAAAGATTCCCCGTAACAGGCTAGGAGATTCGTAAAATTCAAAAAAATGTGACGGGAAGTACTTAAATTCAGAGAATCGTCAAATCATGAGATGCAACGAAGTGCTCTATGTACAACAACATTATCATCAAAAAGGGAGCATATCCAAATATGAGAACAAGCTCAGAGGAATCGGATGCAATCAGTCAACACCGAACTTCAAAATGTAGAAGCAGAACGGTATGAGGTGAGGATGAAAAGCAAGGGTAGAAAAAAGGGTATAAAAGGTATAAAACAAGCAGGGGAATTCATGGAGGAGGAAATCCACTATTGAGACGAAAAAAAGCCCCAAAAGCTTGTAGGGGTCGAGCAAGCTGGCTCGCTCGCTCGATGAGAAAAGCAACAGTGGGTAAGATGCAGATGCAAAGCCGAGAAGATTACAAAAATCAAGGTAGATGCCAAGGACAAATATGGCCGGGGGATGACCAACGAATGTAAAGAAAAGGAGTTTGACCAACTGTCTGGGCCGTGACTTAGTCTTTTTGGCCCTCGTTCTCAACCAACTCGAAGACAATTTGGCTGCGCTCGTACTCTGGATGTTGCATGCAGATCTTCACTGTGTTACCAACGGAGCCCGAGGAGACACCATTACCAGCACCAGAGAAACCGCTACCCATCCTCATAGAGCCACCAGTGTTTGCCTGCACATTTCCGTCAAGCGAGCCAGGCATCTTGCTACCATCATCAAGACAGACAACATGGTGACCGGGAATGACTTGGCGCAAGCGACCGTTCATTGCGTTGCGGACTTCAACAAAGTCATCATTGAAAAGGATCAAGAAACGTCCATAGAGACAGGCAGTGTGCGCACAGCCAACGAACTCCATGACCACGCTGCGGGAGACATCACCGTGTTTATTGACGTATACGGCGCACTCCTGATAAGCAACGAGGAACTCGCTGTCGCTGAGGCGGAACATGCCGAGTGGCTTGAGGTCTCTGATGCGATTAGCGATGCTGTGGAGGGTGTCCTGGGCATCTGAAACTTCATTGGTTCGGAAGTCCGGCACAGACCACGAATGTTTCTTGTCGAGGGTGAGAACCTCGATGCCCTTTTGAGTGGAGATGGCGAGTGAGGAGTGGAACATGTTGATTCTGTAGGTCTCGGCGGGGATGTAAAATTCGTCGTACTCGCGGAAGAATTCCGTTTGTGATCGACGCGAGGTGAACAGACGGCTTTTGTTTGTGGTTGATTTCTGCAGGACGGGTTCGAGGACCTTCAAGAAATTGTCAGTTCAAATTAAATCACCCGGATCTTCAGTGATACACACCTTGAAGGTGGACGAAAGTCCATCCCGCTTCTTGTATAGTACCAAGTACCGGTCCTTCAGACGGCCAGCAGCAAAGAAGCCGACTTCACGGTTTCCAGACAGTTTTTGCGGAGCTCGTCGAGCAGAATCCTGAGACGACTGCGAGGTAGACCCACTGGCAGGGCAAACAACGTCAAGGTGATATGCGATCAAAGACCGATCTGCAATTAGCAGTAGAAGATTGAATTCTTCGAAAACAGCAACTTGAGTGACCCTCATGATGGGAATGGCTCTGTACCACCCGCGGGGGTTGTTGAGCTCAGACATGTAGACACCGTATTCCGTGCCGATTGCACACATGATTCGACCGGGAGGCTGTTGGAATACTGTTGCACAGGTGACGGAAGTCCTGCATACTGGGGTTGGTCTGGGTCCAGAACCTTCATATTGCTTTTCCACTTCCTTGATCGCACGATGCAACGGTGTGCCGGTGATGGTGACACTTTTGGAGCCGGGTGACTGGTCAGAGTATGCAAATGCAGTATCTGCAAGTACACGAAGTCTAAATGGTTCTGCATTCTGTGAAAATAGAGCAGCCGCATGTTTTGTCTTGGCCTCTATGATCTTCTGGCACCATTCCATGCGGTTCTGAGCCGAATAAGCATAGAGAGTGTAAGTTCCCTCTTTCCCAAGGTGTTTGATCTTGAAGGGGTAGAGGATCTTGTCATCTCTTGAGTTGTCCACAACTGTGTTGCCAGAAGATGAGGGCCCAGTATGTGTTAGGGGACTGACAACGCCTTGGGATGGTGTGACAGTTGAAACACCACGAACCGAGGATTTAACAACTGGGTCATCGTTGGTACTTTCAAGGCCCAAAAGGTCCATCGGAATGGGTAGCTTTGAGACGTCGTATCGTTCGTACTTCACTGCCCGATCTCGCATAGTAAATGTTTTTGCTAGAACCAGGTAATGATCAAACAGGATAGCGTGCGTCTCCACAAGGAACCTTGTGCGGGTTCCAGGGCGTTGAAGATCGCCCCGGTGAATGATCTGTCGACCAAGGTGTTCAAGATTTAGTTCAACTTCCTTCTTCATGTCAGGTCGCAATTGCAGTTTGGCTGCTAATTCCATCAGATTGGCTTTCTTGTTCATTTCTCCAACTTTGTTATCACACTCCAGAGCAACGATCTTGATCTCTTCGATAGCCTGGGCAACATTCGTCTTTTCTTCTGAATCCTTCACCATGTTCTTGTGGACAGTGGCCAAAAGAAGGGTATAACGCTGGATTCGGGTGATCGGAGCCTTAAGGAAGGTGTCCCAGCTGAGTCGGTTCGACAGTTTGTGTTCTCGCACCTGATTCAAGAACTGTTTGAAGTGCGGGTTACGTTCGGCCTCCTTACGCACAAGGTAATTGGCAGTGGGGAAGGTTGCGGCATAGTCAATGTAAACGGTCTTCGCCTTGCGAATCCATTCTCTGAAAATATCACTGAAACCAGTAATGAAAGGGCCCTGCTCTTTTTGACGATACTTGAGCTGTGCTAGGAGGAAGTCCTCATTGACCTTTTTCACTGCATCAACCTTGCCAAATACATCCAATAGGAACTTGGGCAGTCGCTTAGTCGGGATAATTGATGGGTTCATGCCAGCCAATTGGTCACGATAGAGCTCTCGCAGGACATCCAGTTGTCCAATATAAGAGTCTTCCGTGGTGACAATCTCGTGCAAATTGTTCTGCCGATCAACTTCTTTCCTGGGATGAGCCTCCCATACCTCTTTGGGTACCTTGTAGAAAGTCACCCAATCCTCGGCCTTCTTTTGAGGGGCCATCATCTGCGCCTTGAGATTGACTTTCTTCAACGTCCGCATGCAATGATGCGAGTAGCATCGACCAAAGCTATCGGTATCCTCAATGTGCAGTTCTTCCAGATGAAGCTTGGCAGAGTAACATCCAGTTCCAGTAATCTGGAACAGAACACCAGAAAGACTGCCCGAGCCAAACTTCACCCATTCCTCTTCTTTGACTAGTGCTCCTCCTTCAAGCATACCGCTGACAACACGTGAAGCCAGTGTTTCGGCATCAGCAATGTTCATCGTAGGCACCTTGTGAGTGAACAAAGCTACAATAGCGTCGGCAATTGCTTGCTCTTTGAGATCAGTTTCATCCTCGGACAGATCGCGAATCCAGGACAGAATCGAGCTCAAAGCCCACGGCTCGCTACACCTTTTGAATTGTTCCGAGGATAGCTTCGCAGGGTGAAACCTCTTGCGGCGACCAGCTGGGATGCTTGGTAGATCCAATGTGGCAGCAGCGGCCGCCGCTTCAGCCGGATCTATATGTGGGAGCTCCTTCTGCCGGAGTTGCAACATGAGCTCATGCTGCTGCTGTCTGTATCTGACTCGGTCCGCATCGGTTTTTGATCTGATGGGGGGATCGGAACGAGGACCAATGGGAGTCGACAAAGATGACGAGCGCGGAACCTGGGACGGGCTGAGCAGAGCATCGCCGTATGAATCTGCAGAAGCTGGCAAGGATGCGTTGTGGTTATACTGGGCATAGCTGTTATTCAATTCCTCTTGTTCATGGTGATTATAGGTACCAGCAGGCATCAGATGTGAAACAAGATCAACATTGCCAGCAGGTTCGACAGGTGCGGGTGGAAGTGGACGCATCCCAGGATGGAAAAAAAGATCTTCATGGGCGGCTCGGTGGGGACTTTCATCCTCTGATTGATAGGCAGAATGAGGCTGGTCATATGGTGACTCTCCTTCATCACCATAGTCGAAGCTCATCCGGCGACCATAGGCATCGGGTGCAGATAGGCCACCCGTACCACCTGCATCCACCCTGGCGTCAGGGTTGGGAGGCAGATG